TTTGGGGGTTGGTTTTGATGCAGGCGTACACACCTCTCATTCCACACCTTCCATAACAACCTATTTTTGTTTGTTTACGTAACCAAGGTGTTGTGTGAACCCACCTTTCTAAAAATCCTGGCTATGCCTCTGTTTTTTAGAAATTTGTCAATATCATTGTGAGACGAGATCGTGCAGCATCTTTGCACAGGCAAATGGTTATGTCGTTAACTTGTTTACTATACATGAACTTGTAAGAGCCTGTTTAAGAGGATGACTGCCCAGGTCCTCCAGTGAGATATGCTCTGTAGTCATGTGAAAAAACAAAAGCTTGTCTTGAAGGATGTGTGAGAGACAGGTCAGCCATGTAGCTGGTAAGCTGAGGTATGCCAGGCCGGATCAGAACTTGCTAATGCTTGTGTAATGACACAAAGGCGATACAACAGTTGAGATAAATGGACTGCTTGCTTGACAAGGGCAAGTAAAGCAGACGATACGATTGATGTCTAACCAAGCCGACAAAACACTAATGCTAAGAGGGGACAGGCACCGGATTACTACAAAATTAATTTGTCCTTTGACAAAAACAACTGTCGTTCAGCTGTAGTGGGATTACCAAATGTCTATCGGTCCCAGCAGCGTGAACTCTGAGACTGATATGCTTGAGAACATGTTGGAAAATGTTGCCGTCTGCTTCAATGAAGGGAGGATCTTTTCTTGACATCCGCAGCATCCAGACACTTGGCAACCAAAATAGCTGTTTATAGCTTCTTCCATCTTACCTCTGTAGGCTCATAACAGTAGCCATTTTGGAACTGGCAGGGAGCCGTCTGCTTGTTGGAGAGTGAGTAGCAGACGTATGGAGAACACTTTAAAACTGGGAGGATTTTTCTTTGGAATGTTGTTGAATGAATTCTCATTGTTGTGATGGAATGTTGTCTATTTTGGGATGATGTATTGAAATAAACAAATCTGCTTGTTCTCCTGAAACAAGCTGGTCTGGTGTGGGGGTGGGGTTTAAGAAAGACAGAGGTAAACTGGCAGCAGACAAGACGGGTATTAATTTCAATGTAAACAATACCTTAAGATACACACAAAACATGTTCAGCTTAACATCTTCGCTGAAATATTTGAGAAAGAGAATGGGTGATTTTCCTTATGCTTTTCGGTGCAACGGACACTTTAGAATGTCCTCTCTGAATTAATATTTCAGAAGAACTAGTGGTGGGGTCTATTTTTATTCTATGGAGTCTGCTTGTTGTTTATATATCACATTGGGTTTTGGAGTTACTCAGACTTGGATGTAACTCCCCAGGATTCAATATGTCAGGCCTGTTCTAGGTGTCCCTCATCATAATTGTTGGTTGGTTGGTTGGTTTGTTGTTTAACGCCGCACTCAGCAATATTCCACCTATATGATGGCGGTCTGTAAATAATCGAGTCTGGACCAGACAATCCAATGATTAAGATCATGAGCATGGATCCACACAATTGGGATCGATGACATGTATCAACCAAGTTAGCAAGCCTGACCACCCGATCCCGTTAGTCGCCTTTTACAACAAGCATAGTCACCTTTTACGGCAAGTTATAGTTACCTTTTTCACCCCGGAGTCTCACGGGCCTCATCATAATGGTAAAGACACTCATTAAGCAGCCAGATAAAATGAGATTCGGTTTGACAAGGTTACCTTGACAACATCAGGTGCTGCTCGATGCAGTCGGGTAGCCTAGTGGTTAAAGCATTCGCTCGTCACGCCAAAAACCCGGGTTCAATTCCTGACATGGGTACAATGTGTGAAGCCCATTTCTGGTGTCCCAGATATAACTGGAATATTGCTAAAAGCGGCGTAAAACCATACTCACTCACTCAGGTGCTGCTCATGCGAACAACTACAAGTTTGGCTGGCCCATTGCTGAATTTCGCAGTCTTTAGAATTAAATAATCTTCACTCACTCACTAACCCGTTCGTACAGAGAACACTGGTGAACAATCTGTATGCACTAAATATGTTATCCACTCCTCTGAAGGTCACTTAACTCAAGGTATGGTTTATATCTCCATGGGTCATAACACCACAGTGTTTCAGCCTTGAATGTTACAAAATCATTGAATATTAATGCAGACTAATATACCCTGGACAAACCTGATTTACCGTGCGTCCATTACCCAGGGAGGAATTCCCCCATGGGAGGAACCCTTATTTACCTGGCTTCTTGTTTACGAGACCCAGGTTGTACCCTCTGAAAGCTCTCTACGGGGCTTTGTTTGTTGTCTGACACTCGGCTCTGATCTACAGGTAGGCAGCTTAAGGGGGAGATGAGCTCACTTCCATCCAAGCCAACTTTAAACGAAATGGGCTTTCTTAGTACCTATAATGCTGTCAAACTGTCCTGATTTATGGCTGCGGACTGCGATGACGGAATTTAGTTTTGGGAAAGCAAACACATTGTTCATTTAGTGTTCCTCTGTTGTGAAAGGTTAATTTAAGAGATGTGTGGCAGTTGTGATAATGGTGGCCGTCCATTGCTCAGTTGTTTTGCATGCAGACGGCCAATAAGCAGGTGTTGCGTAAAACAGTCTTGGTGATTCTGTGGTCTTTCTACAGTTGTGGTTTATGAGATCATTATATTAACTTGAGATAAGCTTTTGTTGGGGTCTACAAGAGTGGGTCTCCAATATGGCCGAAGTCTATGTGGGTCTTCAGGGAGGGTACTGGGGTCATATTAACTTGAAATGTGTTCAGGGTCCACAGGAGTGGGTCTCAAATACGACCAAATTATACAAGGCTCTAGATGGAGGGTACTTCATGTTGGATGAGGTTACAATATCAGTTTGGGACGAGCTTATGTTTAGGGTCCGAGGCTCTCCACAGCTTTCTTGTGTGATACTCCTCGGAATAGGTCTTATGAGTATGCTTGCCTTTCAGAAGAGCCAACTTATGAGCTTGTTGGCATGTCATTGTACCCTGACTGCGGTGGGAGGGGAGGGGTTTGTTGTGGGATGGGTTCATGATATCAACCTCAGGTTTACATCATTGTTTAAAGGCTGCCATGATATAGCTTGAATATTGCAGGCTGAGGCAACAAACAAAAAAGAAAGCAATGTGAAACATACTTCTCAAATCTTGGCCTGTTTTTAGATGTAATACAGATCACATTTGAAAATAATTTCTTCAAATTCTTCAAACATTATGGGGGGCGGTCGGGTAGCCTAGTGGTTAAAGCGTTTGCTCATCACGCCGAAGACCCGGGTTCGGCTCCCGACATGGGTACAATGTGTGAAGTCCATTTCTGGTGTCCCCCGCCGTGATATTGCTGGAATATTGCTAAATGCGGTGTAAAACCATACTCACTCTCTCACTCGCTCAAGCATTATGGGGGGCACGGGTGTCCCAGTTATCTAAGGCCCTGCAACCAGAAACCTATGGTTGTGGGTTTGAATCCCGGTACGCCCTGATTATGTTTCAAGGTTTGTCAGCACCATACCCGTGCTCGTTGGTTTCACCGACGTGGTAAACATCTGAGACCTCCATCACTTTGGGCTTTCCTCCCACATTAAGCTGACAGGGCGTGATATAACTGGAATAGTGTTAAGAAGGGTGTTAAACCAAACTCACTCACTCACTCATTGAATCATAATGAAGGAGAGTCCTTTCATTTCATACATTCAGTCATACCCTGCAAGCACAACCTGGTAGTGGAAAGAGGTAATATATTTTGTCATCATCATTACCTACAGGGGAGGGGCGGTCAGGTAGCCTATTGGTTAAAGCGTTCGTTCGTCATGCCGAAGACCCGGGTTCGATTCCCGACATAGGTACAATGTGTGAAGCCCATTTCTGGTGTCCCCTGCCATGATATTACTGGAATATTGCTAAAAGCGGCATAAAACCATACTCCCTGCCTCACTCACTCACTCACTCACTCACTCACTCACTCACTCACTCACTCACCTACAGGGGAACATCTTTAATCTTGATGGTTGGGGTTCCAAGGAAAATTGTCAGGATGAATGAAATTTCTGGATTAAGGAAACATGGGCCCAGACTTTTACATGGTGTAAGGACCACATTGTTGATTTCATCTCAGTGGTTTTGTCCTTGGCAAGGCAAATGATGCCAGTGAATCATGTTTGCAGTGATGCAGCTAGCAGGTCTTGTGTCAATATGATCGGAGTAAGGCTGTGATCAATTGTACGGGGGGATGAAACACTAACAAGTGATAGCTCCGAGGACAGACAGTTGTCTTAGCTTAGTTTGTCACAGCTTTTATGCCCTCAAATCCTAATGTTTTACATACAGGGATCACGATTGGTGACTCCGTTGGGAGCCTGGGTTAGAATTGGTCTCCAGCAACCTGTTTTGGCTGTAAGAGGCGCCTGGATCCAGTGGTCGAGCTTGGTCACCTGGATCCAGTGGTCAAGCTTGGTCACCTGGTTGATTGGGTGTCATCTTACCCAGACAGTGTGGATCATTGGCCATAATATCAATCACTGGATTGTCTTGTCCAGACTTGATTATTTACTGACCACCATTGCACAGCTGAAATATTTACAACAGACAACTTGTTAGCTTGTGATAAAAAAGCATCCTTATTTTAAGAACAGCTTTGCCTGTGCTTGCTTTATATGACAACGCAGTATTAATGTATTCTCACTGAGAAAGAGAAATCTTTTTTTATAGTTCATGTTCTTTGCAAATATTCCAAGATGTAGGAGACAAAATAAATAAAAATATTTGTATGGGATAAGTCAAAGTAAATACAAAAAATTAAAATAATCTTATAATTAAGAATGTTATCTGTGAAATATCTGTTCTGAGTAAGGATATTTGTGTTAGTTATTTGAAAAATCATTTTGAAATAAAAGTTAAAAGTGAAAATTTAAAGTTGTTCAAAGTAAGCATGTTATCAACCATAGCATTTTACAATCCTTATGTTATTTAGACAATTTAGGACACATTCAATAATATACAGCCAATTTGACAGGTGTAGAAATTAACATGCGTTTATTGTTGCAGCTCTCTGGAAATCTTCCACTGGCAGTTTGAGGTTGAGGACAGCATCATGAGTCCAGAGAATGGCCGCATCATCTGGACCATCGACTACGAGAAGAACGCTCCGGCCCTCAACTCCTACTACCCGCCTCGCAACTCCCGCGTCACGGCACGCATCAAGATCGCAGGACGCTACCACGAGAGAATTGTCCCTGTTTTCAAGGTCAGTATTTTCTTGACATGACAAGGTGGCAGTGCAGAATTGCATTCCTTTGCCGGAGAAGAAACCTATGATCATGGGTTGGAAAACCTGATTCACACTGATTGCTTCTTAGCTTATCAGCACCATACCCTTGTTACGGTTGATGTGTAATTTCTGTATAATTCTGCACGTTCAGAAAGGCCAGTGACCTCCTGATTCAGAATCAACTGAAATGGTGTGACGTCATCTTAATGGTTGAAATGCTGGAAAACTAATGCTGGTATTCCTAAGGTTTGGACGTTTAAGGCATCGTTAAAAGAAACAAGTAAAATTTGCAGTTTATGTTTAATGAGGGTGTGCCATGCGCTGGCTCCCATCAGTGACAACCTTAGGAGAATGTTACGATGTACTGTACGGAGCTGCCTGCTAAGTGTCTTCACAGCCCAGCTGAACGCCTTCTTCTGGAGCATATGGATCCGTTAATGAGTTCACAGTCTTCAATCCCCTGGCCACATGGTGTAGAGGTCTCGCAAGATATTTATCTGGGGATATTCTGAAGACACAAGTCAAGTTGTGAGAATCTGAGTAAGATCACTGGAAGGGAAGCCACAATCACCAGATCCTGGCAGTACACATAAGGAGTTGTGTCCCCTGAGGCCAATATGGCCGCTGCTGTGTTCCACATATTTTCCAATGGAACACAATGAAGTATACAGCGTTCACCTTCTCTTTGGTGCCCAGACACTTTTGGCACTCATTATTTTGTCACACAGCTCACAAGAGCCAGGACTAAGACAGCAATAACCCCTTGGGGATTCTGGGGTAGAATAGGTCCCCAGCTCACTGTGCGCAACGTTAGAGGCGACCAAATGGATCTGGTGGTCAGGCTTAGTGACTTGGTTTATTGCGTGTCATCGTACCCTGATGGCGTGGGTTGTTGCTCACAATATTTAATGACTTGATTGTCTGGACTTGATTATGTAGATGAGATTTTCCGAATAACTCTCCATTCCTTAAAAGTAATGGAACCAAAGCCCTGAGATACCCTTACAGTTTAAGAACATTCTAGAGATCCATGTACCATGCATTATAGATCATCTGTAACAGCAGAAGATAACACAGTCAAGCCGAATTTTAAGGACCAGAAAAAAGATTCTGTAGAAGTGGGTCGGCTTATGTATGGGTTACACTTTCATCAAACTATTTTTCTGTTGGTAAAATAACTACATCGTATCACTTCAGGTGAATGAACAACGCTTTGTCAATAGAAATGTGAAAATTGCGATTAAACATGACTAGATTGTATTTCTCGTTATACTAGGCATTGTTTTATATGCAGGGATAAAAATTACCATATGTATTGTCTCGTAAACTAAGCCGGAAATAGCAATCAGCTGTACTCACGTGGTCTCCCAAGCTACTGGTGATTACGTTAAAACATACCCAATGATATAACGGATAAGAATTTTCATGCAGTGATTGGAAAAAGTAGTATCTTAAATTACTAGTTTACTACAAATAATATATTCTGATATCGAGTTATTTTAGTTGCTTGTCTTACTATATATCTTCAAAGTTAGGATAACTATAACCAGGGTTATGCGGTGGCACTTTTGTGTATTGTCGGATACTTTTTTCAAATGTAACACTTTGACAATTCACCATTTAAGTTTCATGTGATCTCGCTAATTCCATTGCCACTTCCATATGCTTGTTAAAACAATTTGCTGATATTAGTTTGACACCTGTGTATTGTGTGTACATTCTGCTCCTGGAGGGTATGTAACTGTGTATCAGAACTGTGTGCCCTTCCTGAGAACGCTACAATGGCCCAGTTCTCTAAGGCGCAACGATTCGCTGTGCAGAGTTGCGTCCCTTGGGGACGCCAGAAACCTATGATTGTGGGTTCGAATCCCGGTTCGCCCCGATTATGTTTCTAGGTTTGTCAGCACCATACCCGTGCTCGTGTGTTTCACCGAAGTGGTAAACGTCTGAGACCTGCATCACTTCGGGTTTTCCTCCCTCATTAAGCTGACACGCCGTGATATAACTGGAATAATGTTAAAAGCGGCGTTAAAACCCAACTCACTCACTCACTACAATGGTGCCTTCTGCATGGCCTATTACACAGACTGAATCTTGGTAGTCCTTGCATTGCATCACATTTATGATGTCACAGTCTACTCTTCAATGTATATTTTGCCAACAGCAGTATAGAATTTATTGCCCTTATCACACAGAACTTGGAAGCACAAATTCTGGAAACTTCAGTAAGTTTCTGCTAGACTATAGAGTGAAACTAATTTGAGGTAATTTAAGTTTCTTGAATTATTTGGAAATTGACAGTAATGTTTCTGTGTGTTTTTAAAGTATGTTTTATTTATCGTCTCTTGAATACAAACTGATAGATTATTGAGCTTGGAGACCATGATGGACACTTTGGAAAGTCTCCAAGTTCTGAATATCTACTTTTCGTAATGGTGCATAGTTATGCTGCACAACAATGACATGTTCTGGCTACAAACCAGGCATGATTTCACGCAAATATTCGTTCACAGTCTGTCCTGTTGGTGCCTATCGATGATGAAGGAGTATATTTTCTGTACGGCAAGATGGAAATCTTTATTTTCTCAAAGCAAAATCCAATAATAACCTTTTCAGAAATTCAAAGTGTCAGACTTATTGTTTAAATTTGAATAAGCAGTCAATATAAATTCATGTGAAGAGGATGCTATTCGTCTCAGCCATGACCTTCTAAGACGTGGCTGTGCCGAGATGCTACAGTGACCTTCACTTGAATGTTTGTTATGGCTGGACTTGGCATCCTGGGATTGATTTTCCAGAAGGTTGAAGTGCCAGTATTATTGATGTCACAGGTCACCGTGCCTACTGATTCCGTGCCAGGATCCAAGATTGGTTTTCTGGACTGGCCGAGGTTTTTATCGGGAGAAATTATCCCTCAATTTGACATTGTCTTGATGAGTCTTGTACAACAATGAAACTGATGAGGCGTACTCTGTGATGGTTTAATGGCAAATTGACGTTCCTAAACGCCTGCCCAAAGACGGATATTGGATGAAAGTTGTTGCCGTATAAGAGGTGATGGTGATGTTGATGACGTCCATTGACATCCCTGATTGTCACCACCAACACATATACTGCTATGTCTAGAGGAGATCATTATGGCGGAAGCCCAAACTAGTCATTAACAATGGCTTCACGGGGCTAATAAAGAACTCTCGTCTTTGATGCCTTGATGATGGATGTGTCAGACGTACATTTCAGGACTACATTTCTGATTACTGTCTGACCCTAAATCGATCATGTTTCCTTCTTGGTTTACTCCAACATTGTGCAAGGAATTGGAGTGTGAGCTGCATTCTGATTGGTTGAGAAATGTTACACGGCATTGGATCCTGGAAATCTTTCAGACATTTCACTGTTGTGAACACCTTTGAGAATATTGTTTTGGGTTTTTTTTTTCAGTTAAAAATTGGAAAATAAATGTGTGATATTTTTTTAAAATGGATACCACTATAATTAAATATTAATATGGATCAATATTCATTTGATATCATGGATGTATTGGATGTCATCCATTGTAACATGGTGTCATTGCGTTCCAGAGTGACGTCATGTCTGTCTCACAACTGTCATAATTCAAGTACAGAGATAGTGTAATCTTGGAATGTACAGTGTCGACAAACATGTGTTTTTGAGATGTATGGGTGTTATGGAGTATTCAAAGCCCAGTAATGTTTATCTCCTTTTTGAATCGGGGACACTGGTGGCCCAGTCGTCTAAGGCGCCACGATTCGCTTTGCAGAGTTGTGTCCCTTGGGCACACCAGAAACCTATGATTGTGGGTTCGAATCCCGGTTCGCCCCGATTATGTTTCTAGGTTTGTCAGCACCATACCCGTGCTCGTGGGTTTCACTGAAGTGGTAAATGTCTGCGACCCACATCACTTCAGGCTTTCCTCCCACATTAAGCTGACACACTGTGATATAACTGGAGTACTGTTAAAAGCGGCGTTAAACCCAACTCACTCACTCACTCACTCACTCACTCACTCACTCACTCCCTCACTCACTCCATGTTCCATCAGGACCCACAGCTCCAGACATGAGTTGCACCTTATTGAATCAGGGTACACCAGTGGCTTGTCTGTTTGCTTGTCATGGATGAGGAAGTCTAAAATTAGTTCCAAACATGGGAACCCTGTTGTAGGTGTCCCCACAGTTGTTTATGAGGCAGTCTCCTGTAGGGGTTCCGGGTCAGAACTGGCCTCCAGTACCTCATGCTTGTTGTAGTGAGTTGGGTTTAACGTCTTTTTTAACAGTATTCCAGTTACATCACAGCGTGTCAGCTTAATGTGGGAGGAAAGCCTCAAATGATGCAAGCCTTAAACGTTTACCACTTCGGTGAAACCCAGGAGCACCGGTATGGTGCTGACAAACCTAGAAACATATTTTTGGGCGAACCGGGATTCGAACCCGCAATCATAGGTTTCTGATGTGTTCAAGGGACGCAACTTTGCACATCGCATTGCAGCGCCTTAGATGACTGGGCCACCCGTGCCCCCTGCTTGTTGTTAGCTGAGCCTGTATGATATTAGGTGAGGTGAGGTGAAATGGGGTTTAACGTCGCGTCCAAGATTATTGCACTTATATAGCGACATGGATGTATGTGTGTGTGTGTTTTTTTGGGGCTGCTTGTACTAGTCCGGACTGATGCCGATTTATAGTGCTAGCTCACTGAGATACCATGCCGCAGTTTAACATGAATACCCCACTCAGACACAGTAGACTGACTCCAAACCGACCAGTCCTTGTTTTAGCCCCTTAATGCCGAGCGCCAGACAGCGCAACAACAAGTACCATCTTTTATCGTCTTTTGGTATGACGCGGCCGGGGATCGAACTTCGGACCTTCCGCTCTCCGGGTGGACGCTCTACCACTAGACCACGGAGGCGGTCGTATGATATTAGGATTGAGCAGAAACAATGTAAGACCTGGTTGATTGTATGTAATCGTGTTCCGATGACATGGAGTGTTGGATGTCAACTGCTGGTTTGCCAAACACAGACTGAAATAAAGCTTTATTATAAGCCATATTGTAGCTGGAATATTATTGACTTGAGCATTAAACAATATTCATTTTCTCACTTGTTTGAGGATTTATGGACTTGATTGTTCTTTGGTTAGTATAAAGAAGTAAAAAAGACGACATGAATAAACATACCAGTCAGGTAAATACATATTTTAAAAAGAGGGGTCTGAATAATTAATTTTGAAGCAGATAATTGTTGAAGCAACATTAATTACAAGCAAAGAGTAACCAATATTTATTTTATCATTTTTAAAAAATTCTTTCTCATCTTTATTCACTTCAGTGGTCTTACTGACAGACATATGCCAACATCTTTCTTGTTAATATTTTTGAAAAAGTAACATACTATGAATGTAGATAAAACTTTGCCCACAGTTGACGTCATCTCAAGGTGTGTTTCTACAGTTACCTGAATAAGTTGTGTCCCATATAGCATCCTGGCTGTCCCTAGCCAGACAGAGGGCATACGGCAGACTGTTTGATGTGTGGTTGATCATGAGATGTCCCCTTTGGCAGGTGCTTGCATGCTGCCTCAGAGAATAAGTGACAAAGTCACAAGTGTAGGTGGCGCTAGTGAAATGATGTTATTGGCCACCATCTTGTCAAGATGATGGATGCAGGCCTTTGCAGACAGGAACAGGATTTACTGGTTATAAATTCAAGCACTCTGTCATTTTCAGTCTTGTTATTTGTGGAATGGTTAAGAAGCTGGGGTAATCAATTTATGTGCGTGGGCAGATTTGTCAAATTTAGTCAAAGCCTTGAAAATATCAATAATAAAATCCAGACCTAGTTAAAATCAGAATGCTACTTATTTCATTACAAAGTACTCCTTGTATAAGTAGAAAAGAGTTAATTTAGAAAACTGCAATTTTGTCTGGGAGTAAAAGGGAATGTTTTCCAATTTGCTGAAACGAATGTCAAGGTGGAACGGTATAGGAATGTAATGTACAGGAGTGGTTGAGGATGTAATGCCTGTAGTCAAAGGGGGAGGCAACATGGATGCTTCAATATGTTTCCACATAATAATGGTTATTTTGTTCAGTCTTGGAAAATGCAGATTTTTATTTTTTGTGTAGGTGTGTAATATAATTAAGAATTTACAATTTCATTTTGATTAGGTCCTGATTTAAGTTTAAAAAGACAGAAACTTGTGCATCTTATTCTCACTTCCACAAGGACTGTTGTGATAAATAAAATATATATAAAAAACATCTTCACAACCACCTGATTATATAAATACATATATATTTCCATGCTTATCTCAGTTTTGTGATAAAAGTACATAGGCTATCTTGAATCTTGGACTTTTAGTTTACTGTAGAATTTTGTACCTATTTCTTTAAGTTGACATTTGCCACATTAACAGTTTTGAGAAGCACATACGGTATTCGACGTAAAAAGCGCCCAGGGCGCTCTCAAAATTAGAAATAGGGGGCTCTTATTAGAATGTTATTTTGGTTAAAAAAAACAGAGTTGAAAGATAAATTTCGTGGTTTATGCTGACAGCATGAAATGTTGAGGTACGACAGATATATTTTTCCAGAATTAAATGCCCATAATTAAGGGTGCATATAACACACGAGTGCGTATAATACGCGAATAAATAAGTCTTGTGTACATTGATCAAACGGAAGGGGTGCTAATTGGGATTGTTCACTAGCCAATATCTTAGCAAATGTCGCCGTGGGCGCTTATTACGTGGAATACGGTATATATCTAGTACCTTTCCCCATACATCATAGCTGTAAGAGTACGGTGCCGTTGAAACCTATCTATGATGCTGTTACTTACCTGTCTGGAAGTTCATGCCTTGTTATTTCTGATGTCCAAGATAATGGGTTCCACTGTATTTGATAAAAAACGAACAGTGATGCGCCTTGAGAATCATCCTTTGTGAAGTGGGAGCAAGTTTCTACCACAGACATGAGCAGACAGATGCATTCTTAGACTTGCACAAGTGTCTAAGGGAATAATTATTAGTTTAAATCATCATCCCAAGATGTGATAAATTATATGAACAAGTTGTCCGTATAAAAGACTACAGTCGCTTATCTAGACTTGCTTATTATGAGGATAGAATTACTATACATCCATGACTTATCATTCAGTACAGACTTGGAGCAAGGCTAATGTATGGTGGATGCGGTGTTTCTTGTAGGGATATATATACTGACCAGACAGCCGTACTGACAAGGCCGCAGCCAAATCTGTGGGGTGGCAGTAAAAACTTGGGAATGAAGGGATCATATTGATGAAACTCCTCTATATAGCTTATAGTATTACTGTAGGTTATCTTTTTTGTCCTTGATGGTCGTCTTACAACAGAAATATAAATAATGGTTGGGTATAGTTATGTTTGTTGTCTGTATCAATGCTCTCACATACGCATGCATGCACACACATGCACAAACACGTACATGAGCATGCTCACGCAAATATTGGATGCACCCACACTGGTTGCCTGTATCTGTGTAAATGCACAAACACACACACACATGTACACACTCGCTAATATTGGATGCACGTACACTGCTTGCGTATATCGATGCACAAACTGGTTGCCTGTATATATGCACATGCATGCGCTCACACAAATCTTGGAAAGTGTATGTGCATGTACGCAGGTTGCTTGCATCTAAACACACTGGTTGCACAATTTCAAATCTTTTCTCAACCATGTATTCGTGAAGCAGAATGCTCAAAATGATTATCTTGTTTTTCAGGAGACTGAGATTCTGAACACAGCCATCTTAACAGGAGAGAGACTGTCGTTCCCGCTGAAAGTCTATGCTGTGTCGGACGTTGGGATATTCCGCGATGTGTCGGTTCTCACTGCCTGCCACTCAACAGACAAGGACGTCCTCAAGGTAACTGTTGTCTTGAACATTTCATACATGTTTTGCCTTGTGGGAATTCCAGGTTAGAATTGGTCCCCAACAACCTATGATGGTCGTAGGCGGTGACTTAATGTTGCGGGTGGTCAGGCTCAGTGACTTGGTTAATTGTGTTTCCTTGTACCCAATGACGTGGATTGTTGCTCACAGGATTGTTACTTGATTGTCTGGTCCAGATTTGATTATTTACATGATGGCGTCATATAGCTGGAATATTGCTGATTGGGGCATTAACCAACAAACAAATTATTCATAGGAATTCTAGGGGAGACTGAATTTGAAATTGGTTATAGTGTGTGACCTGGCTGATTGTGTCTTGTGCCCTGATGATGTGCTTTGCCTTGACCAACTTCATTCTTGCCATGATATGGCTGGAATATTGCTGAGTGTTGTAAAATAAGAATCACTCATTCATTTTGTTATTAACGATGTAGTATGAATACCAGTGATGTGTAGAAAGTAACTTCAGTGTGACCAGCAAAAGCTTTAATGACTATAGTGTTTTAGCATTTAAAAAATGGAAGTGTTTCAGTTCTATTTTCAATACTTGTTTCTTGTTCTTGCATTTTGTAATTCATTGCTTATTTTCTTTGTAGGTTGCACCAGATTGCTCAGAAATCTACTTTGAAGGTAATGAAACACGTGGCTCGCACAACGTCACTGTGATCGCCAAGACTGGCCTGTACACGGACAACATGTACATCCGCGTGTGGGTTCCCGAGAGTAGGCTGGACATCCAACTGTCGGACAACAAGCTCGGACAGATTCGGGGCTGGAAGGTGCAGACCAAGGCCCAACGAAGGTCAGCAAACATTTCTTATGTACTAATTGTAGTTCTGTGAGAGCACTTACATGTGTGCCCAGAGTTAAACATATGATATCATTACTTCCATTTCGACTCAACTGTGCTGAATTTATATAACCTTATATTTGAGAAATATTTGGTACTTACTTTTTTTATGACCTTTTTCAAGATATTTGACCTTCATGCCATCATGCAAAAACATTTCTACATTTCCCTGGAAAGCAGTAGTTTCAGTGAACTTGATTTTGTGGCACATTTCCCTGTCCTATTGAGCTGAGTTTTGTGGCAGTGATCCAAGCATAAGTTGTATGAAACAAACATTTCTTTGTGCTTAAGATATAAGTAAACTATACAGCCTGATTATAACCCAAACCTAATCTGTCTCCCAGACCTTAGAGAATAATGTAAAAAAGTGAATCCAATTAAAATCTTGAATGATTTGGCAAGTCTGGATTAGTCTGAAATTGAGCATTGTTCAGGGCTGCATTTGGATTTTATTTCGTAGATATATATTTAAAAGTAAAATTACTTTGTTTCCTGGACTAAATGTTAGTCTTATCCCAGACTGCACTACCAAAATGGCTGACAAAATACATTATTGAAGAAATCACGATCATGGTCCGCTACGCGTTCCCAAAATAGTACGACATGTTTGATATTGAAAACTAAATGAGAAACTGGCAAGTACACAAGCTGATACACGATCGCAAAAGATGAGATTTCTTTCTCCCAGGGGACCACGTTTTACATGGTGGATGGCTTCTGCCTGTTTTACCATCTTGTTTGATTGTATCCTCAAATTAGTCGTTACTTTGAATTCTTTCACAGCGGCTATACCTACCATTACTGTTAACCTATAAATCACAAGGTAATTTGTTAACCAGTGGAAGCTTCCAGTTAACATCCTTTGATTACCTGAACAGGAAAATAAGAGCTTTTCTCCATCAGTACCGCATTAGCCCTGCTCGTTACTGAACTGTAGCTGCAGCTCCGCAGTCGGGCTCGCTAATTATAGAGCATCCATAAACGTGATGCCTTTCACGTTGAAGGACCAGGAACCAGTGCTTAGGAAAATACTTTTAAGTCATCAAGCTTGATTATGGTTAGATTAATAGCATTGCCACTCATCTCTGTTTATGCCTTGTTTGTTAGGTACCACTTGGTAAACAACTAGTTCTCATCATGTTTGGTCGTGAGAATGTAGGGTAAGGATAATGTTGGTGCTATGAAAGGGAAGAGAAAGTCTAAGTTTGACACTGATGTGGAATTGGACGAATGTTGATGTTCTCCTGGTGGCAGGATGGTTACAAAACCACTGTTATGCTAAAAATTAAAACTCTTTATCCTCAGATGATGACTGTGAAAGTTATGGTGTAAAGAAGAGTGCAATTTCACTGTCAAAGTCTTCACCTGATATATTGCCCAATTTGACATTGTCCATGTATTTGAAGTCTTTGATTGGCATTTAGAAATTGTTGAATATCCATAAAATGTATTGTCTCCATCATTGTCTACTATTTAAGAGAAGTTAAAGGAAACCTATTTTTTCATGTGACTATAGCTTATTTGTCGTGGCTGATGGGTATTGCATGACACAGCCTTCCAACTGTAGGTGTTCTTTAACTTGTTAAGAACTGTATATATGAATGTTACATGTTCAAAATGACCCACGGTACAAAGAAGTAGGGTTATAATTTTAAAAAATCGCAAAATTGCCGGGCATGACGACAAACAGGAATACTGTGTATGTAATGAGCAGAATTGTGTCTATCACATTTTTTCTGTGAATACTGACGATAAACCTCCAATTTTCCACAAGTCCATGCTTCTTAGGGAAAGGTCACTGAAGGTGGTCAATGATGGTAATTTTTTATCCAGGGCAGCTTTTCCTTTTGATTGAATTTTGGCCGATTTCCATCTTTGGCCCAGGTCCCATTAACATTATTAAGTCGTACTATCATCCCATAATGATGTGAGTGAGTGAGTATGGTTTTACATCGCCTTTAGCAATATTCCAGTAATATCATGGCGGGGGATACCAGAAATGGGCTTCACACATTGTACCCATGTCAGAAATCGAACCCGGGTCTTTGGCGTGACATGGGTGGTCAGGTAGCCAAGTGGTTAAAGTGTTCGCTCGTCACGCCGAAGACCGGGGTTCGAATCCCCAAATGGGTACAATGTGTGAAGCCCATTTCTAGTGTCCCCTGCCGTGATATTGCTGGTATATTGCTAAAAGCAGCGTAAAACCTCATTCACTCACTCACTCACTCACTCACTCACTCACTCACTCACTCAGAATGGCAGGTTAAAATTCACACATTCACCATTCGTGCCTACAGTGACTGTGGGTAACGCGTCCAGGGGGACCCCATTATTTTAGAGTCCAAACTCACTCACTTTGGCGTGACGAGCGAACACCTTAACCACTAGGCTACCCAACCGCCCCCATAATGATGTGAACCTTGGAGTATGCATATTTGTTCTCAGTGTAGATACATGATGGATACAAATTAAACATCTTGATATGATTATTAATCCTTCCCAAGAGGCAAGGTCATTGCAAAGGACCTTTATTTAAAAATAAAATGTAATTATATCTATAGCTAAATTAGGGTAAAATCTATCTGATGAAGAAATCACAGCTGCAAAACCAAAAGGAAATTGAGTATAGAGACTGAAAATAGCAAGCAAATACATAATTTGTTGTGGCCGAATTGTAACAATATGCTCTGTAACATTGGACCATTTCCATTTTGGCACGGGCATGAATGTATAATATAAATGTTCATGGGACAGGAATTAAACTGTACTGACAAATATCCATTTCCGCACGCTGCTGCTACATTTTGAGGTCACAAGAGGTTAGTTGTCAGGCAAGCAGGATATCCATGGAAGTTTGTTCAGGGAGATAAAAAACCAACACTTGCACTTCACTTCAATATGTTACTAGAAGATAAGAGAGTTATATAGGATGTTTTTGTTCAGGGGCATTCACATGTGCATTTGAAAAAATCAGTCTGGGAGCAAGTTCAGTGCATGTGTTTATGATTCTATGTTCAGGTGGTGTTTGTAGACCATGTTGTAACTCAGAGGACTGGTCAGACGTTTTGGATGCACTAATGTACTGAAAATATTGACCCTCTCCTAATTCTTGTCATATTTTTGGATGACCCTCCTCATGTCCTTGTACATTTTTTCATGGCCCTCCCTGAAAAAGAAAAAATGCAAGAAGCACTTCATTATTATTTTTATTAAATGTCCATTTTTTCATGACCCTCCCCAAATATGTGTTATATTTTTTATAACCCTCCCTGAGAGACCGTCATATTGCATGGTGATCCACCCCAGATTTCCCCTGACTGGCCCCCAAGACAGTGGGCATTATTAATTGGATGTGGTGTACTATTGTTATTGATGCCCATAACAAGTTTCTATGGCAATGAGGACCGCCTCCGTGGTCTAGTGGTAGAGCGTCTGCCCAGAGAGCGGAAGGTCCGGGGTTTGATCCCCGGCCGCGTCATACCAAAAGAAGTTTAAAGATGGTACTTGTTGTTACCCTATCTGGCGCTCGGCATTAAGGTGCTAAAACAAGGACTGGTCGGCTCGGAGTCAGTATACTGTGTCTGAGTGGGGTATTCATGTTAAACTGCTTCATGGTATCCCAGTGGGCTAGCACTATAAATCGGCATCAGTCTGGACTAGTACAAGCAGCCACACACACACGTACATGCACGTCGCTATATAAGTGCAATAATCTTGGACGCGACGTTAAACCCCATTTCACCTCACCTATGGCAATGAGTAGCATTAGAAGACTACCAGCCTAAGAATTGTCTTTTTTAAGACAAGTCCTGGGTCCCGTTCCACAAAGCGATCTTAGTGTTAAGGAATGCGGGTTTAAATCGTTTTAGTGCTTAGATCACATTAAGGAACAGCTCTCAGAGGACAAGTGTAAACTAGTTTCACTCGTCCTTGGAATTTGTAGCGAGTCCTGCTTGAATGAGACAAAAATATTTACTGTGTTTAAAATTTTCTGTCAGGTTTACTTGTTTATAAAGGTGGCACAGGTGGCCTAGTGGTCTAAGGCGCCACGATTCGCTGTGCAGAGTTGCGTCCCTTGGGCATGCCAGAAACTTATGATTGTGGGTTCAAATCCCGGTTCGCCCCGATTATGTTTCTAGGTTTGTCAGCACCATACCCGTGCTCATGGGTTTCACCGAAGTGGTAAACCTTTCAGACATGTATCACATTAAGCTGACACGCCGCGATATAACTGGAATACTGTTAAAAGCAGCGTTAAACCCAACTCACTCATTTGTATTTATAGAATTATGAACCTCAAATGCTTCTAGTCATTGAGGACCACCATCGTTGAAGTTTTACTTTTTCTCTGCACAATTTAGTAGTCTTGGGCAAGAGGACTATTTTGAAGGTCCTCCCACATCAAGCTGACACGCCTTGATATAACTGAAATACTAAACTGTATGACAAAGTTCAGTCCCATCTGTTAAAAGAAATAGATTTCTGTAATAAATGTGCCCCTGTTTCTGTTCCAGCAAACGGAGTGTTGATTTTGGACTGCTGACCCACTCAGGGTTCTATGTTAGTGATCGTAACCAGAAACTGGACCGTCATGGCTGCCAGTTGCGTCTGCAGCAAGCTGAGGTCGAGGTCTTCACCCGCTTCCACATAGAATCTCGGTCTCGTATTGACTACTACCACAACCGAAAGGCCTATCTCAAGGTCACTGACATTGTCTTGAAGAGGATGAGAATGTCGGATCCAAGGATTGCTTCCCTTGAAGGGAACATCATCCAAGGTCTAGGCCAAGGAAGGACTGAAGTCCAGGTACACTTTTAGAAATTAAAATGTCCTTAAGTAATTGTAGGTTTTCATAAAAGACCTGTAGAGCTGATGTCATTTGAGTACTTATTGTACTTATTGTATTCCTATGCAACCCATGCTTGTCGTAAGAGGTGACTTATGGGATCTCCCTGACTTGATCCTTTTATCGTATCCCAATTGCGTGCAGCAATGCTCATGATGTCAATCACTGGATTGTGTGGTCCAGACTGGATTATTTACAGACCGCTGCATATAGCTGGAATAATGCTGAGTGTGGCGTTAAATAATAAACAAACAAAAATCTATGTGCAAGTGAGTGAGAGAGTTTGGTTTAACGCCGCTTTTAACGGTTTTCCAGTTATATCACGGCGTGTCAGCTTAATGTGGGAGGTAAGCCCGAAGTGATGCAGGTCTCAGACGTTTACCTCTTTCGTGAAACCCACGAGCACGGGTATAGTGCTGACAAACCTAGAAACATAATCGTGGCGAACCGGGATTCGAACCTCACAATCATAGGTTTCTGGCATGCCCAAGGGGAGCAACTCTGCACAGCGAATCGCGGCGCCTTAGACGACTGGGCCACCCGTGCCCCCCTATGTGCAAGAGATACCAGGGTGAAAGTACTAACATGTGCCTGTATAATGCAGGTGCTGTCACCGACCGGGCGTGTCATGGCTGCCAGGGAGGTCCGTGTGGGCAAGGAGAAGGTTGTCATAGAGCGTCTGCTCATCCGAGTCATCAGCGGCGTCCGGCTTGATATCGTCAAGGGTTCGCTTCCTGGCACCCTCACCGCCATTGCTCACCTTGAGCACAAGCTGATGTCCAAACACAAGGTATGCTACAGTTAGGAGTTAAGCATTATGTCAGAGGGGTAGACAAAGTACGGACCCGAGAAGATCCGGGGTAGAATAGGTCTTCAGCAACCCACGCTTGCCGTTAAGGTTGACTTTGCTTGTCGTAAGAGGCGACTAACAGGATCGGGTGGTCAGGCTCGCTGACTTGGTTGATCCATGTCATCGATTCCAATTAGGTGGATCGATACTCATGATATTAATCACTGGATTGTCTGGTCCAGACTTGATTATTTACAGACCGCCGTCATATAGCTGGAATATTGCTGAGTGCGGCGTTAAACAACAAACCAACCAACCAACACAAAGTACGTGATCTAGACTACCAGTTGTCAGACTATAATTTTTGCGGGAGCCTCAGTGGCTGAGTGGGTTACTTTGCTGACTTTGTGTGTTGGTGATTAGGTGCCTCACTCTGGCAGTGTAGAGTGTAGGTTCGAGTCCCGGATGGGAGTCAACCCCTCAAAAGTACTAGAATCTGTACTTTACTAAGAAAGTGTTATCCCAAATATAACATTTGTTACATTATGTCGTTTCAGGTTTGTGGGTGTTAAAGTAGACACAATTTATGGATAGCAACTTCTTTATTTTACTGTAATGGCGTTGTTTTGGTATACCATTGTCAAGCAAGGCTAAATAATGAACATGGTACAGAATATATATAGTAGGTGGAGGATTGACAGTAACAACAATCGCATGCATGAGGAAGATTAACAAGACCCCATGCTGGTCGTAAGAGCAACTTGTCCATGCATGGGTTTCCGGGTTTAATATGACAGGACTAGTGAAAATAGAACGCCTGCTGACTTCCACTTTTGACAAAGGACGAGATAGGATAAGGGCCCTTTTTGATCCACAAGCTCTGTTTTATTCAAGTATTGAACACAAGTCTTAGAAATTCGTATGAAAGTTATCAGATGTGTTCAAATGAATGAGAACTAGGTTAAATTGTGTCACCAAGGATTATTTTAGAGGTTTTCAAGGAGCAATATCTAATATTTGAACAGGAGCAAGTTTTTTGCCCAAGCTGATTTTCTTAGGCCTAACAACAGTAGAAACATCTGGAAACAACTCATGTTGGGTAACCGACTTGCGCTTAGTGTTTTTTTTTTTTAAATTTGAATAATCTCAGCCTTTTTCACTCATTTTAGTGATATTTTTGTATATGATCATGTCAGAAGTCCAAAACGTGCACGTTTAAAGAAGAGAAAAGGTTACATGTCAGTCATTTGTACATGTCTGATAATTTTCACGTTTTCCCTATATTTATAATTTGACATTCTTACTGAGCCACAAAGGGCACCTGTCCTACCTTGTCCTTTGGATGAAAGCTGATAATTAATTTGTGGTCTAACAGCTTAGAACAATGTCTCACTCATTCAAGGCTGATAGCTGTTGATGCAGCAAGTCTTCAGACCTGAATCAATTGCTTATTTCCAATTTTCCACGTTGAATGTAGACCTTGTTTGTTGTTGTGTAGGCAGTTCTAGATCCAAACCTGCAGTAACTGGTTTGTCTTGAGTACGTCCCATGGCCGTACGTTTTCATGTAAAAAAATGACTTCATCTCTCTCAACAACTTGATTCACTTTGCTGCAAGGCAGGATGACTTCATAGACCTAATAATGTTCATTAAGAGACATAGCCTTTAGCATCTGACATTTAAATCAAAGAATTTGTTTGAACATTTTGTGTTGCAAGTGGCCAGGTTGAGGTACGATATAGAGATGTTAGCCTGAAGAAATAGTCCGTTTCTTTGGATACGATTGAGCATACATTCTACTGCAGGCAGTAGTCTGTTTGTTTTTATGAAAAAAGACAGAGAAAAAAGTTTGAGAACTGTGCAACTGATTTTAAGCACTGGCAATGTTTTCATGTGATGTACAAGGATTTGTTTGGTTAATTTTATTCAAAGAAATTCGTCATTTCAGGTCACTAAGTTTCTGTTCCTGTAATGATGTCCTTATGACTTTGATGTCAGTATTTTTCTCTTGATACTTTCCCTCGAGCATCTAACCAGTCTACATCAAGTGTTGAGTTTGTGCGTGTTATCTTGTGTGATGTATGGCTTTGAATTGCGTAGAAACATGGCCTTGTAATGTTTTCCTGCTCAGAATCCCCCATGATCACAAGTCCAACCATTTGATATTCTGAGTCTTTGCTAGTTTGATCCAGCAAATCCTTGAATTTTGTGTTTTTTGTCTCAGTTTTTTAGAAAAACATTGTTCACTGAATGTCCTAAAAATATGTTTTTGGTTTCCCCAAAATTGTTTTATGCAAAGAAATAGAGGTCACATAAAATATATTCTGTCTCAAACACAAAATCTCCAGCACTTCTTTGTCTCTTTGTTGTTGCACTGCCTGGTGCTCGGTGTTAAGGAGATAAAACAATGACTGGTTGGCTTAAAGTCAGTATACTCTGTCTGAGTGGGGTATTCATGTTAAACTGCAGCATGCATCTACGCTTTAAAACTGGCATAAGTCGGGACTAGCATTAACACCCCACACCCCCAATTTCACCTCACCCCACCCTTTCTGTTTCTGTGTGTAAGAGGTTTCAAGGCACAGTTTTAGTAATTGATTCAGAGTTATTATTATGTTTTTGCTGGGTTAGCCAAGTGGTTGAGGTGTTTGCTTAACCATGTCAAATACCAAGTTTGATTCCCCTCATGGCTACAATGTGTGAAGCCCATTCTTGGTGTTGTAACCAATGATGTGGTTGTAAGATTGCTAAAACAATATTCACCTCAATCAAGCATGTATCTACCACTATCTACCACTGGTTTGTCATTCATGTGTAGATGGAGGAAATATGAAACAAAAGGTGTATGTTTCCTGTTCCTTTAGGCTATATTACAGCATTAACACAATAGTGGAAACTTTGTACCCATGTGGGGAAACAAAACCTGACTTATTTTAGATAATGAACGAAATCTCTCACTACTTGGCTACACAGGGGTAGGTGGAGTACTGATGAAAGTGCACATGGGTAGAATATGTGAAGCTCAATTTTGTGCCTTTGCTGTGATGCGGTCAGAATAATGGCTAGAATATGGCTAGAAAAATTGTTAGAATATGGTTAGTAGAACGTGGCCGGAATGTGGTTACAATAATTGCTAGAATATGGATTAGAGAGGTGCAAGACCAAACACACTCAAACTAGGCTCCGAAACACCTCTTTGAAGCAGTAGTGAATCAGCCTCTTCATAAATGTCATTGTCTGTAAGATGTCTTTGAAAGCAAAAATGTTTTTTCCATGATTTCAGGAGGCAAGTCTGGATGTGTCCGTGCAGTATTCTGATGGCACAAGCTTCCCTCTAAAGTACATCAATTCTAAGGACTATGACATAAAGATTTCCTCCCTCAACCACCATGTGATCGACATTCTTGACACGGACAACTACGAGATCCGTGCAGTTGGTGAAGGAAGTGATGAATTCGTCAAAGTTGTTTTCAGGCATGGAGACCAATGCCCACGAAAACGTTCCCGCCCACTCTCTACAACCTATGTATATGTGACTGCCGACTTCTCCAAGGAAGGTAGCTACCATGACAGTCTTCAGAGTGACGGCAACTACAACAACCGCGCCAGCGGACGGTGGGAGGATGAAGATGATCACAACCAGAACATCCAGAAAATACATATTGACAATAAAGACAAATACTTTCAACACCAGTCTAAGTCAAAGTTCGATAAGATTTTGAAGAAGGACAAGTCTGATCCTCAAGTGATTCCTGTCGATTTGGCCTTTGGTAATCTCCCCATGTCCAAACCCAAATCTGAAGCTCACCAGCAGCCAATCCGAGAAAACAACCGCCTGTCTCCATTGGAGATTGGCATGTATGTCCTGCTGGCTGTATTCTGCGTGGCCATATTGGTCTTTACTGTTAACTGTGTTGTATTCATGCTCAGATACCGCCGAAAGCGTATTCCAAAAGGTCCTAAGGATACAGTATCTCAGGCACATGACTGGGTATGGATCGGACGCTCAACGCTCGAGCGTAATGGTGCTCATCACACACGCTGCTCACAGACGCTCATGCCAGAGGAGGACTTCAATGGGAACCAGATGATTGTTCGTCCTCAGAGCAGCAGTCACAGCTCTAACAGTTCACAGAACGGTGGAAGCAACCGCAACAGCACCGTGTCGACATACAAAGGCTCGGAATGCAGCATTCGGATCACTGCCAACCCACTCTTGGATGGGGCAGAAGTCCCCAACCCAGAGGATGCCGAATGGGATTATGAAGCAATGGGGATGACATACGATCAACTAATGGAATACTTTGATAATTTGAAAGAGTCAACTGCATAACGCCTTAAGTTTTAATCTTCTTCTGAACTATTTTCAATTTTCTGCTGTATACGAGAGAGCATGAACACTATGAGGAATATGGCACTTTGCTTGCATTTTCGTCCTGTTTCATGTCCAGTGTTGAGGGAACAGTTGGATGCAGTGCGTCTTGCCTTTTGCCAGAATGAACAGGAAAACACAAGTGGAAATCTCTCCCTTACGAAATGGTTGTGCAGAAGACTGGATTAGGGCACGGTGTGGTACTGAGCTGTGGACATGAGTGTTGTTCAGGTATTTAATGGGCCAGGTCCTCGTTGTGATGTGAACCAAGTATTTCTTGAGGACCCACACTCATCTAGCAGTACTAGAGACTTATACCATCATACTGGCACCCTTGTATTGTCTATACTACATGTGTAGGATATACGTGATTATATGCCACACTGATAGTTTGTGATCCTATATTGGAAGTATTCACTGTAAATAATTGTATGCTGCCTGAAGGTCCTATTGAGATGTTCCATGGCAGGAAAAAGGCAGGTGGGACCTGAAATGCATAATGACTAAATTTGAGAGTTTATGTATCAAAATGGCGGCCTCTTAGCACATGCCTGAGCAGTGAGATGGCATTATAGTGCTGGTGTATATAATACTCATATTGTCTTATATATTTGCATGTGACAGGCAAAGGAGACAATCATGGCATATGAGAATGTGGTCCTGAGTCAAAGGAGTTGGTAAAGGGAAGTAACTCTAACAAGGGAGAGAACTGGTGATGATAGGACCAGGCACATGCACAGTGAAGAACACTGTGTGGTGGTCATGTAGAATAACATCAACTACTTCTACAGACATGGCAGATTATGTTGAGTCCTTTCCCGGACAATGTAGGCGAAAGTAACCAAATTTCCTTGAAGAAAATGTTTTGGTCAGATGAATTTAAAATCTTTTAGCTTGATCTTGGACATTTTTTACTGTCTGTAACCGGCTGACATGAAGACTGCAAGATGAGATAACATCAAATGCTTTTTAAAATGCACTGTAAACCAGAGTGTATTTTTGTGTCGAAAAAAATATTGTGGAAAATAATGATCTGTAAGAAGTGGATCTGTATTGCTCGCTGCAACTGTTCTCTTTGTCGAGAATTGTTCTTTGTTTTTGATGGTTAACAAAAAGTAGTTGAGTATCAAATATCCTGGTCAGTGTGATTGTTGTGAAGTTACTGCAGGCCACCCCTATATGTGCGTTAACCAACCCTCCGCTGTACACCCAACAAAAGGTTGCCATTTGGTTCTGGGAGAGTCCATTTAACAACAGGGATGGTACGATCTCTCTCAATATACCCCTTGAACAATTATAATATATTTCCTTAGATTATTTTCCATTCTGTTTGTGTGTATTCTCCCTGCTTTGTTCAGTGGAATGCCCCGGGGCTGTAATGCCCATCAACAGAATGGAAGAGTCCTGTCTTTAGTAGGGGTGTCAAGTGCAGCCCTGTCTGTTTTTTAACTGAGCTGTTTTCTCAGCCCTGTGTTATAGTGTTGTTTATTATGCATATGCGAAATGCAATATATTGAATATATGCTGGAACCCCCTCACAGTGTCTTGCTTTGGGAAATTACTTTGATCAGCAGTGATAAATATAAAATTGAGAAATGCATCAAGACCAGTTTGCATTTGCTTGATGGAAAATTAGTGAGGTGGTAGAATCATCAAAGGGGCAGCAGTTTGCTGTGGTGAAGGTCTGAGACCTGCATCACTTTGGGTTTTCCTCCATCAAGCTGACTTGCTATTAAATAACTAAATACGGAAAAAAGCAGTAAACTCAATGCACTCACTATGAAAAATTGCGTGTAAAGAATATTGGCAATTTTGTCATGTGAAAAGTGATTTGAAATGATTTCAATCGATATTTCCTTCTTGAAAAAAATGGCTGTCTTAACTGCACAGATTAGAGGAAAATTTGACCTAAATTTGAGAAGTCAAGCCAACAATTGCCAGAAAATTTGGAGTAGTTTTACTTCCATCTGCGTGTGTTATTTTAGACAGGTGGAGTAAGTCCTGACCAAGACACTGTGACTAGGGAGCCAGCAGTTACTATGACTATGATGTAACTCTGTGTAGATTGTGTTAGCGTGGACACGTCGCTTCAGTGGTGCTCCTGTGCAAGTCATGTGACTTGTCATTTCACAGCAAATAGATCTGACTTTCCCCCACTCCTCACGTCTTTTTCATTAGTCATTCAAAAGATTGTGATTAGTTGCCAAGGTAATGTTGTCGAAATCTATATCAGGATTACAGATCTTGTAATAATGAAATCTCAATTCAAACTTTTGAAAGGTGATTAATTTCGTTCAAGAAATTTGATATTAGTATTACTGATTTGGAAATTACTGAAGCAAATATAAATGCAACGTAGTGCTAAGGAATTGAATGGCATGACAAAATCAGTATAAAGCAATAGGCGTTTGCTTCATGGGAAGTATGTTTATTTTGGAATTTCCTCTTGGAGATTGTAATTAGCTCCTTTTTAGAAAACAAGTGAAGTTGTTGTTAGTGACCTAAATATTGCAAACCACATGTAAAATATGACACTTTTACTGAAAGTATTTGTGTGTGTTGATGTTTGTTGCAACCTAATCCTTATTGTCTTTAGGACGCTAGGATAGATATTAAAATGTTATTTTTTTTAATAAAAAAAAATAAATTCAGTGTCTAAGGCTATAGTGAATTAATTATAACATTTTCAGACAAAATTACCCAAACAAACATATACCACTCCACTTTTGATAGGAATAATCAGATATGTCATTATATTTAAATTGCACTTGACATACCGTATTCCACGTAATAAGCGCCCTGCTCTAATAAGCGCCCACGGCGATATTTGTTAATATATTGGCTAGTGAACAATCTCAATTAACACCCTTCCGATTGATTAATGTACACAAGACTTATTTATTTGCGTATAATACACACTCATATGCTATATGCACCCTTAATTATGGGCAATTAAATCCTAGAAAAATATATCTGTTGTATATAAACATTTCAGGCTGTCAGCATAAACCACGAAATTTACGATCTTTCAACTCAAAAAAATATTCTAATAAGAGCCCCCTATTTCTAATTTTGAGAGCGCCCTGGGCGCTTATTACATCGAATACGGTATTATGAGTGTCTGTTTTGTGTATCATGAAAAGATAAAAAAAAGATATCCCTATCAAAAGATGGAGTAGTGTATATTAAACAACTAGTCACTGTTTCAGGTTTGGATTCAGAACAATTGAATATTTTTCCCAACAAACCCAACTCCAAACCAGTTCTTGGAACTGTTTTGATGGGAATGGGATCTGTGAAAAATGACAAAAAAATGATTCATTTTGGCAGATTTTAATTTGTTGTGTTTAAAATAATCAATTCATTATGGTCTTGTTTTTTAACTAGTGAAGACCCTGTTAAGTTTTGCACATTTCTTGATTGTGACAACACCTGATGTTAATTAGTTTCCTGTAACCATGGTAACAGATTGTTCATGTCATTGTCTTGTTAAAGTTCCCCAGATGCTTGGTTGCCCCTACTGTTGTCTAATCAGCAAGCCTTTGTGATACTATCAGATTTAGCATTTTCCTCAAGAATCCACAAGTAAATATCACTTAACTTCTCTATAACTACTTTACAAGTCATTTTTAGATCTGTATTTTTTCTTCTATTCTATAACTTTCCATGATTTGCTATGTGTTAATAAGTATTTGGACTTTTTATTTACATATTTTTGTTTTTTTATTTTGATGGCCATTTTAATGATGGAATTTACTGCATCCTATATTTTTCTCATGATCATTGAATAATGGGACATTTCTCATCTTTTGTTGCATATTAATTCTAGCAGTTGAGAAATTATGAGTAGGACTTAATAAACTTTGAATTATATTAGTTATTTCAAAATGTTACTGATTTAGGCTATTTGGCTAAAAAATACCAACCAAGTAGGGTGGCTTACACATTTGTTAGAAATTTTTATACCCTACCTGAATTCAACAGTCTTGATGGCATTTAAGAAAAAGGAGAATTGAAGTCTATAAATTTGAATAATTAAATCCTGGCAGTCTTAATCAAATCAGTTTCTGAACATTTGGCATTATTATCCTAAGGTTCACAAACAGTAATCAAAATACATATTTCATATCAAGAAAACAAAGTTGATTAGAATTACTCCAGGTTGGCCCTGTAGTGTTGACTTGTGTAGTTAGCTATTGTATAAAAATCTGGTGCTTACCGAAATACGGCAAAATTAGGGCGCCAGACAATGACCTGGAACTGTAAATGTTGAGCCTCCTCCTCACCTTGTGTCCTGTTCCACAGAGCAGACTTAGCTCTACAATCGTTGTTAACCTGCTTCATGGACCAGAGCCCTGGTGAGGTGAGCTAAATCAATATTCTTGTTGTGATAAAGTGATATAAGAGGCTGGGTAAATTGCTTAGGTAGGCGGTCGGTCATGAGAAATGAAAGAATTATTTTAACAAGCCTTGGATAGCCATGCATTGTGAAAGACAACCGTATGTGTTCAGCACGTCTGCCTGTCTGCCTATGGTCACAATGCTGCAGCAACACTACAGTTTTTTGGGTATTTCCTGTTAAGTTATATCCCTCACTGTCTTCAAGTCTGTGTGGATGTGTGTCTGTCTGTCTGTCTGTCCTGTGTTGTCATGTGACTGTCATGTGACCTGTCACATGACATAGCAGTGACAGTGTGTCTGTTGTTTGTGACAGATCAGTTCTACTGTCAATAAATCATTTCATTATAATACATTGTTTGTTGTGTTCATGCTGTTCAATGGGAAAACACATCAGGGCTTCAGAAGGAAGAAATATCAGTCCTTGGAGGTTGAGATCAAGGATGAGGTTAGGAATCCTAAGACTTACCTCTTTGCTTGGAGCTGGTCATCTGGTGGATTTGAGGAGCATGTAATTCGACAGTTTAATATACCACTCTGGTGGTTGTACGAGCATAGTGTTTGACAGTTATAAATACCCACTGGTGGATGTACGAGCATAGAATTTGACAGTTATAAATACCACACTGGTTCATATACGAGCATGGTATTTGACAGTTTTAAATACCCACTGGTGGATGTGCGAGCATAGTATTTGACAGTTATAAATACCCACTGGTGAATGTACGAGCATGGTATTTCACAGTTATAAATACCCACTGGTGGATGTACAAGCATAGTATTTGAAAGTTATAAATACCCACAGGTAGATGTACGAGCATAGTATTTGACAGTTATAAATACCCCACTGGTGGATGTACAAGCATAGTATTTGACAGTTATAAATACCCACTGGTGGATGTACGAGCATAGTATTTGACAGTTATAAATACCACACTGGTTCATATACGAGCATGGTATTTGACAGTTATAAATACCCACTGGTGGATGTGCGAGCATAGTATTTGACAGTTATAAATACCCACTGGTGGATGTGTGAGCATGGTATTTGACAGTTATAAATACCCCACTGGTGGATGTACGAGCATAGTATTTGACAGTTATAAATACCCCACCGGTGGATGTACGATCATGGTATTTGACAGTTATAAATACCCACTGGTGGATGTACGATCATGGTATTTGACAGTTATAAATACCCACTGGTGGATGTACGATCATGGTATTTGACAGGTATAAATACAACACTGGTGGATGTACGAGCATGGTATTTGACAGTTATAAATACCACACTGGTGGATGTACGATCATGGTATTTGACAGTTATAAATACCCACTGGTGGATGTACGATCATGGTATTTGACAGGTATAAATACAACACTGGTGGATGTACGAGCATGGTATTTGACAGTTATAAATACCCCACCGGTGGATGTACGATCATGGTATTTGACAGTTATAAATACCCACTGGTGGATGTACGATCATGGTATTTGACAGGTATAAATACAACACTGGTGGATGTACGAGCATGGTATTTGAAAGTTATAAATACCACACTGGTGGATGTACGAGCATAGTATTTGACAGTTATAAATACCCCACCGGTGGATGTACGATCATGGTATTTGACAGTTATAAATACCCACTGGTGGATGTACGAGCATGGTATTTGACAGTTATAAATACCACACTGGTGGATGTACGAGCATAGTATTTGACAGTTATAAATACCCCACTGGTGGATGTACGAGCATGGAATCTCACAGGTATAAATACCCACTGGTAGATGTACGAGCATGGTATTTGACAGTTATAAATACCCCACTGGTGGATGTACGAGCATAGTATTTGACAGTTATAAATACCCCACTGGTGGATGTGCGAGCATGGTATTTGACAGTTATAAATACCCCACTGGTAGATGTACGAGCATAGTATTTGACAGGTATAAATACCCACTGGTGGATGTACGAGCATGGTATTTGACAGCTATAAATACCCACTGGTGGATGTGCGAGCATGGTATTTGACAGTTATAAATACCCCACTGGTGGATGTACGAGCATGGTATTTGACAGTTATAAATACCCACGGGTAGATGTGCGAGCATGGTATTTGACAGTTATAAATACCTCACTGGTGGATGTACGAGCATGGTATTTGACAGTTATAAATACCCACGGGTAGATGTACGAGCATGGTATTTGACAGTTATAAATACCCACGGGTAGATGTACGAGCATAGTATTTGACAGTTATAAATACCCCACTGGTTGATGTACGAGCATGGTAATTGACAGTTATAAATACCCCACTGGTGTATGTACGAGCATAGTATTTGACAGTTATAAATACCCACTGGTGGATGTACGAGCATGGTATTTGACAGGTATAAATACAACACTGGTGGATGTACGAGCATGGTATTTGACAGTTATAAATACCCCACTGGTGGATGTACGAGCATAGTATTTGACAGTTATAAATACCACACTGGTGGATGCACGAGCATAGTATTTGACAGTTATAAATACCACACTGGTGGATGTACGAGCATAGTATTTGACAGTTATAAATACCACACTGGTGGATGCACGAGCATAGTATTTGACAGTTATAAATACCACACTGGTGGATGTACGAGCATAGTATTTGACAGTTATAAATACAACACTGGTGGATGTACGAGCATGGTATTTGACAGTTATAAATACCCCACGGGTGGATGTACGAGCATGGCATTTGACAGTCATAAATACCCACTGGTAGTTGTACGAGCATGGCATTTGACAGGTATAATTACCCACTGGTGGATGTACGATCAAACATGCTGAAGAGAGAAGCTCTATCAATACCATTTCCTGGAGACAAGAAAACGAAATGGCCCCTTGACCTTTGAATCACTCAAGCATTAGTAGTTATTTTACGCCAGCTTCTTTCGATAATTACCGTTTTGTTAAGAATTGACTTCTTCGCGGACTTACATGCTGCGTGCTAGGGCTGGGGCAAGTCCAAATTTACTACCCGGGTACCCCCCCCCCCCTTTTCCTGACCCTACCCGGGTACCCACTGTAGGTCTCAGGAGATGTCTCAAGTCCGATTGGGAACATTTTTAGCAAAGCCCTGGCAAAACGTATTTAGATACATGTATTAAACAATCTGGTCATTCATACACTGAAGCTGAATTAAGTTATATTTTTATTCAACCGTATAAAAAATCGGAAGGAATGCGCATGGGTGCATAGTCAGAAAGAAATGCGAACATTAGTGACTTGTAGTGTAACCATAGAGTTCTAGATAATTTTTGTCATTAAAACGGGTCCGGGTAGTCCTGTACGTGGTACCCGGGTCCTACTCAGTACCCACCCGACCCGGGTACCCGAGTTACCCATCCCAGCCCTACTGCGTACACCTGTTTATGCGTTTAAATCTCCTGGCAAACAAAAAAGTCAACAATACTTACTTCACAGACTGCTTATGTAATCATGAACAAAAATATAGACAACGATACGAAATCAGTGACATCGATCTGCGCAATAATGCAACACAAACTACTCGATGATCATTATTATTATTATTATTGTATATTACTGTTGTTTGTTGTTAACCCCCCTGGATGCCATTTGGACATATATATATGTCCCTACACAAAACGCATGTTAAAAGAATTGAAATAAAATATTTTTGGATTACCCAAGCCCATAGCAATTGCAACATCGCAAAAAGCAGTAAATTTCCATCACATCTGTGTCATTTTCACAACTCTACTGTCAATAAATAACGCATATGGACATTTTGTAAAAAATCGCATATTCAATACGTTTGCCGAGCTATAAACTACTGTTAATCACGTTAATGCTTTACAATATTTACATAGACAGTTAGGGAAATGGTTGTGCTGTTATAGTGTGAAATTTGAAAATTGTGGGTTTTATCGTTGTTACGTTACGTCGTTTTTAGACGAAAGTGTGCAGTTTCCAGAACGTCACTCGCAAATAAACTCGGCACAGCGATAGTACACAGGCTATTTTTAGGTGGCAGCCAGAGGGTTACGCCGCAATCAGCAATATTTCAGCTATATGACGGCGCGGTCTGTAAATAATCGGGATCGGGTGGTCTGGCTCGCCGACTTGGTTGATGCATGTCATCATATCCAAATTGTGTAGATTGATGCGCATGTCAATCACTGGATTGTCCGATCCGGTCTCGATTATTTACAGATAGCCGTCACATAGCTGGAATATTGCTGTGTGCAGCGTAAACAACAAAACAACCAACCAACAACCAACCCACGCGTTTGACGGTCCCTCAATCCAGAAATAAATTACGCCTACACTAAACATTAGATCTTGGGCAATTTGGGATATTGACGTCCTCCCCTTAGACTACCCCTATCGTACCCAATTCGCCATTTTGTCTGCTCATTGAGATACTGTCTTGGAGGCACATTTAAAACGTGTACTTAGTTCATTTGCATAAGTGATTGTGAGTCGCAATACTTGTGTGCACGTGCATCGAGTGCTGTACATGCATGAAACTGTGAAATTCCATTGCGATTAGATGTAGCGTTCAGGTGAGCGAGAGCATGGATCGCTTTGCCGCCAAAAAGTGTATGACCCGTTGCTAGCATATGACATCATAATAGTTAAATGACGTCATCATTTCGTGTGCTCTTTTGTCAACATTGACAAAATGGCCGATGTACGTTGACTTCAGGTGGCCGAGGTTTGTGAAGCGTTTTTTCTCATAATCTGACCAAACAAAAAGCTGGTCCAATGTACTTGGTAATCTTTCACTTCGTTATCTATGCATGGTAATAGTCTCAATGCAATGCAATAGCATGGCAATGTCGAAGGAATACTATTTTGGTGATAAGCTATGAGATAATGAAGATACAAAATACGTTCTAGGCCTCACGGCACAATCTAACATATATACGTCACAAGGCACATTCCGAGACCGACATATTAACGATTAAATTGGAGCTTCAAATGACCGGTATTCAGATATTCGTAGGTTGAAGAAACCTGTTTTGCCAAGAGATAGACGCCATCATCTTATGAACGTTCAATTTTGTTTTCAAGCGCGACCTTGACCTTTCAGAACTTTTGCGGCGAGTTTGTTTGTTATTATTATTAGTTACATGGTCCTGTGGTCTATGTGTCCTATATCTATTTAATAAATGTATATATTAAACTTCTTAAACTCAACAATATTCCGCTTATATGATAGTAGTTTGTAAATATGTAAGGATCAGAAAGTCCAGTGATGGGCATGCAAATGGGAAATGATGGTATGCACATAGAAATAAATATGTGCCGTTTGGTTACAGAATAGCGTCCAAAGAATATAGTTTTGTATTTATATGCATTTAAAAATATAATTGAGCACTTGTTTATGTTTGGAAAAAAATTATTGAAAGAAAATAATGCTGAGCTCAAATCAAATCCTACACCCAAATGAAAATCTGCAAATGGTTGCTCCCCAACCGATATCCAGTACTATCCACTAGGGCTGGGACGAGTCCAAATTTACTACCCGGGTATACCCACCCCCCTATTACCCGACCCTACCAGGGTACCCACTGTAGGTCTCAGGAGATGTTTCAAAATGTCCGACTGGGAACATTTTTAGCATAGCCCTGGCAAAACGTATTTAGATACATGTATTAAACAATCTGGTCATTCATACACTGAAGTTGAATAAAGTTTTATCTTTATTCAACCATATAAAAAATCCAAAAGGAATGGTTGCATAGTCAGAAAGAAATGCGACCATTAGTGACTTGTAGTGTAACCATAGAGTACTAGATATTTTTTGTCATTAATCAATATATCACGTTACTAACCACGGGTCCGGTTAGTCCTGTGGGTACCGGGACCTACTCGATCACTACCCAGCCGACCCGGGTACCGAGTTACCCGTCCCAGCTCTTCTATTCACAGTCTGTTATGGCTGGATGGCGGCCTTTAAAATTATAGTAGAACTTCCGACATTGGGGATTTCCTTATATATTTTCAATATTTGTGCTGGTAATTGTTTCAGGCCAATTTTGCTGGCTGCCCTCAGTGTGTTAAGCGTGCTTTGACCTTGGTCAAAATGAGCAGCCGTCAAGTCCCAGCTTCTGTGCAACATGACCTTGCCTGACCTTGATGGTTTACTGACAATGATACTTGATGTTTCAGATGATGAAGATGAAATACTAGCAAGCATGATTAAGGCCATTGGATTGGGTATTTTCCTCATCTGTTTGGCTGTCACAAGCTCACCAATCCCCTTGACCCTGATAACGGTAACAATATTGGGGCTATTTTCACTATTGCCACTATCGCAATAGTTCGTTCGTTGGTTTGTTGTTTAACACCGCAGTCAGAAATAGTCCAGCTATATGACGGTGGTCTGTAAATAATCGAGTCTGAACCAGACAATCCAGTGATTGACACCATGAGCTAGATCCACGAAGTTGGGATACGATGACATGCATCAACCAAGTCAGCGAGCTTGACCACCCGATCCCGTTAGTCGCCTCTTACGACAAGTTAAAAAGTATAGCCGCCTTTTACTGCAAGCAGGGTTGCTGAAGACCTATTCTAACCCGGATCTTCAAGGGTCACTCATAAATAGAAGTAGCAGATAAAGTAGAGTGTTAGGGAGGTTTGAGTGCGGCGTAAAAATACAAACGGACAAAACAGAATATGTAGCCACGTTCCTATCATCAGGTTTAAACAAAGGAAAATTCAATAACAATTGCCCCTTTATCCGCTTTGTTTTCTCAGACGACAGGACCAGCGAGTGACAGGAATGCAGGATCATAAATGAAAGCAGCCCTCTTAACTAATCCTGTTTTTTTTCAGTTTTGAAGTAATTAAAATTCCCTACGTGCCATAATTGCCAGGGGAACTCTATGTCAGAGGTAGTGAAGCTGTTGTAGCATCTCGATATTGTTTCAGACCTGTGAAGATTCCGGGGTAGAATAGGTCTTCAGCAACCCGTGCTTGCTGTAAAAGGTGACTATGCTTGTCGTAAAAGGCGACTAACGGGATCGGGTGGTCAGGCTGGCTAACTTGGTTGATGCATGTCATCGTATCCCAATTGCGTGGGTCGATGCTCATAATATTAACCACTGGATTGTCTGGTCCAGACTCGATTATTTACAGACCGCCCTCATATTGCTGGAATATTGGTGAGTGCGGCGTTAAACAACAAACCAACAACCAAAACCATATTGTTTCTCAGGAACGTCCCTACCCGCAATTATGTCAGACGCAAGGAGACTGTGAAAACCTCTATCAAACGTGCCTCAGGCCACTGCACCAGAACTTTGGGCACTGTATTGGGGAGGTAAAACATATCGTTCGTTTCAACCATAAAGAACTAAGTAATGTTTATATTTTATGGCTTGACCTTTGACCTTCCATTAAGTTGAGCTGCCTAACTTGCCTATCCTGCTTCCTTAAAACGGGAATATCGACAAAATATGCGTATTGCTATTATAAATTAATTCTCGAAAATATGGAAATTGTATTTTCTAATTGAAATTGAATTTCTAACGAGCTTCAATGAAGTGACACAATTTGAGCACGCATCTTCCCGAGGCAAGAGCGTTAACTGGCTATAAAAGTCCAGTTTTTCCTTCGGAGAGAGGCTGAGCTAGTCATTTTGAAATACCTTTTAAACTGCATCATGCTATATGCTTCATAGGAGCCCGGTACTACCCCAAAGCCAACCCCAGGTGTCACAGAACAATCCACCAAAGATGGACGCCAGAAGAGAGAAGTCATCAGTCAATGTATGTGTACAGGCTGTTACAGGCCCGTGAAGATCTGGGGCAGAATAAGCCTTCAGCAATCCATGCTTGCCGTAAAAGGCGACTATGCTTGTAAGAGGCGACAAACGGGATCGGGTGGTCAGGATGGCTGACTTGGTTGATGCATGTCATCGATCCCAATTGCGTGGATCGATGCAGCATGCTCATGTTGTCAGTCACTGGATTGTCTGGTCAAGACTCGATTACTTACAGGCCGCCGTCATATAGCTGGATTATTGCTGAGTGCGGCGTTGAACAACAAACAAACAAACAAGCTGTTACATCGATTTACATGAAACTTTCTCACTCAGTCCATGGATATCTCGCCAAGCCATATCGGAACGAATTTTGTGGACGCGACTTTAGCCAGTAGTCCGAAGCCAAACTCTAGTCAGTTTCTGTTTGGTCTAGTTTGTTCAGCTAATTAAAGTCCACACAATAACACTAAAAACTAAGATGTTAAGAGACAAGTCGGGCTAGTGTAACTGTTGTGCACAGACGGTGGTTGTCACTCAACATAACACGGCCTATCAGATGTCATATATACAGAGACGCTAAACTGTGCGTCCAGTATGCACAGATGTAGATAATGGATCCAGAAAACTATGCACTGCGTCTCTGGTGACGCACAATGATATTCATTGTACCTGCAGTGCATCAAGTGAGTGAGTGAGTGAGTTGGGTTTCACGCCGCTTTTAACAGCGTTCCAGTTATATCACGGCTGTCAGCTTAATGTGGGAGGAAAGCCCGAAGTGATGCAGGTCTCAGACGTTTACCACTTTGGTGAAACCCACGAGCACGGGTATGGTGCTGACAAACCTAGAAACATAATCGAGGCGAACCGGGATTCGAACCCACAATCATAGGTTTCTGGCGTGCCCAAGGGACGCAACTCTGCACAGCGAATCTCGGCTCCTTAGACAACTGGGCCACCCGTGCCCTCAGTGCATTAAGAGCAGTTATGGGTGTCTGTCATTTCATCCATCAACCATGACCCGTGTCCGCATGATCTTTGATTCATTCCGGTACTAAAGAAATGATCAACATCTACAGTACTCAGTACTTTACAGGACCCTCATATTGCCTGCACGGGCCCTTTAATATTATTATTATTGGGGTCTCTAGACCCCCACTTTGGTAAGTCAATGTAAAACCCTGTACAACAGCTCCTGTCTCCAAATCAAAATGCATACAATAACACGTCTTCAAAAATGACCGTGATGTTGTAATTTATATGTGACAATCAATGAACTTCAGTGTATCCCATGCCCTGTGGTTCACTTGAATAGATTACGTTCTATCCCTGCCGTTGATCCCGCTAGTGGTTTGGAGACTGATGTGGACGATGTGAGGCAGTGTTAAGACGTGTCTGTCATGTGGCACACTTGAATAGATTACCTTCTATCCCTGCAGTTGATCCCGCTAGTGGTTTGGAGACTGATGTGGACGATGTGAGGCAGTGTTAAGACGTGTCTGTCATGTGGCACACTTGAATAGATTACCTTCTATACCTGCAGTTGATCCCGCTAGTGGTTTGGAGACTGATGTGGACGTATGTGAGGCAGAGTGTTAAGACGTGTCTGTCATGTGGCACACTTGAATAGATTACCTTCTATCCCTGCAGTTGATCCCGCTAGTGGTTTAGAGACTGGTGTGGACGATGTGAGGCAGAGTGTTAAGACTTGTCTGTCATGTGGCACACTTGAATAGATTACCTTCTATCCCTGCAGTTGATCCCGCTAGTGGTTTGGAGACTGACGTGGACGTATGTGAGGCAGAGTGTTAAGACGTGTCTGTCATGTGGCACACTTGAATAGATTTACCTTCTATCCATGCAGTTGATCCCGCTAGTGGTTTGGAGACTGATGTGGACGATGTGAGGCAGTGTTAAGACGTGTCTGTCATGTGGCACACTTGAATAGATTACCTTCTATCCCTGCAGTTGATCCCGCTAGTGGTTTGGAGACTGATGTGGACGTATGTGAGGCAGAGTGTTAAGACGTGTCTGTCATGTGGCACACTTGAATAGATACCTTCTATCCATGCAGTTGATCCCGCTAGTGGTTTGGAGACTGATGTGGACGATGTGAGGCAGAGTGTTAAGACTTGTCTGTAATGTGGCACACTTGAATAGATACCTTCTATCCCTGCAGTTGATCCCGTTAGTGGTTTAGAGACTGATGTGGACGATGTGAGGCAGAGTGTTAAGACGTGTCTGTCATGTGGCACACTTGAATAGATTACCTTCTATACCTGCAGTTGATCCCGCTAGTGGTTTAGAGACTGATGTGGACGATGTGAGGCAGAGTGTTAAGACGTGTCTGTCATGTGGCACACTTGAATAGATTACCTTCTATACCTGCAGTTGATCCCACTAGAGGTTTGGAGACTGATGTGGACGTATGTGAGGCAGAGTGTTAAGACGTGTCTGTTATGTGGCACACTTGAATAGATTACCTTCTATCCCTGCAGTTGATCCCGTTAGTGGTTTAGAGACTGATGTGGACGTATGTGAGGCAGAGTGTTAAGACTTGTCTGTAATGTGGCACACTTGAATAGATACTTTCTATCCCTGCAGTTGATCCCGCTAGTGGTTTGGAGACTGATGTGGACGTATGTGAGGCAGAGTGTTAAGACTTGTCTGTAATGTGGCACACTTGAATAGATTACCTTCTATCCCTGCAGTTGATCCCGCTAGTGGTTTGGAGACTGATGTGGACGATGTGAGGCAGAGTGTGAAGATTTGCCGGTCCTCTGCCGACTGTGAGGCCATCAGTCAAGTGTGCAACACTTCACGTCACCAGCTCTCTGGACATTGTATTGCAAAGGTAAGACCACCATTTGTTTCATCCCTGAAGTGTTACACCTATTGGAAGTTTATGGTGTGAACTATGAACCATTTGATTTGTTGTTAAGAAAATATGTAGGTCGACACAAAGTGTATCGTACAGCAGCGTTAGAAACTTAATTTTTTTGTGTACTAGTCCTTATAATGATAGCATATAGCAAAACCCTTAAAAACGGCAAATTTCTACTACTCCTATTGGGCAAGGACCCCGGGACTAGTGCCAATTTCTATCGCTGTACAGTAGTTTTTAATCATCTAAAGTTTGATTTGGATTGGTAGGTGATGAAAAATAATATTCTTTGTCTGGTTTGGGTCCTTACAAATAGTCTCCATATTAAATAATATGATTTGTCATTGGAAAAAACTTGTTTTAGTACGCTGGATTAGTTTTTATCTTCAAGTGATCTTTTACTGTCTGTGGTATAAAAAATACCTTGTCATTTGGATTTGATTTTGTTTCTGAATTTACAATTTGATTTGTACACCAAGTTAATAAACGTAAGAACTAAATAATGTTTTGTAATACAAATGGTGTTTGTCATGTAAGTGACATACAGGTGGGAAATTTGAGTTTGAGATTAGAATTCTTTTCATATCCTAGTTTTGAACTGGGGTATCATCACCTTTTGTTTCCATTTCTATTGTTGTTTGTTTGTTTGTTGTTTAACGCCGCACGCCGAAATGATTTGGTATTGTCCGGCACAATGATCCGAGCAGGTCACTTGAAATTATCCTTTCAAAATGTTCTTGTCATCATACTCTGTTTCATAACAGGAAAACGTTACGACTACGACTACGCCTACACCTACCCCAGGTGTCACAGAACAATTGGAGAAGTTAGGACCAGGGAAGATCCATGGAAAGACACCAGCCGCCCCAAATCAGACCAAACGGTTGCAGAAGCGCATGAAGCGGAACAGTGACTGGATTAGAAATATCAGGTATCTTGCTCTATCACCTGGTTATGTTCTGTAAGTGAGGCAATGTTACTCAACATTTTTATTTATTTTAGACCCCAGAAGATCCAGGTAGAATTGGTCTTCAGCAACCCATGCTTGCCGTAAAAGGCGACTATGCTTGTCTTACAGGCGACTAACGGGATCGGGTGGTCAGGCTCGCTGACTTGGTTGATGCATGGCATCGTATCCCAATTGGCTGGATCGATGCTCATGTTATCAATCACTGGTTTGTCTAGTCCAGACTTGATTATTTACAGACCGCCGTCATATAGCTGGAATATTGTTGAGTGCTGCGTTAAACAACAAACAAACAATTTACTTTAGTTGGTTTACAAAAACGTTGTCCGAAAATGTGGATGGTTAAAAATGAAAGAAATCCTGACCAGTCGTGCTGCTTATACAAAAAACAAACTTAGGTCACACCATCACGGAATTACTGTTCAAGCTGAGAAACAATACCAATTGATAACTGATGTTTTGTTTTGTAAGGATATACACATTTTTTATACTTGTTATTCACCATTTCTTCTCATGTTTTTTTTTCAATTGAATTGAACGATGTTTAATGCAAAAATATAAGCATGAAAAATCTTTGTCACAGCTCGTAACCTGGCACGATTACATCTATGAAGTTCCATATTTCTAATAAAGATCGCAATTTCCTGCTTAAAACGTTCAGAATAACACGATTCAACAAAATTATTTCGTCAAATTCTGAAATTTATCATACCATAGATGTAATTTGATTGGCCGACTTAGGTCACGTGCTCAGATTTGACCAGTCACGAACCTTGTAGCAGATTTTGGCAAAGACAGAGTCATTAGAAACCTATTTTATCGAAGCTTTCTAGCGACGTGTCACATGGCAGTCTTCGACGAACGTGTTATTTGAAAACGGAGGTATCTCTTCATGTTACTGAACGGACAGCCGCTGTTATCGGGAAATGGGTGATGGCAGATACCAGATCTATTTACAATTCTTTTAAAAATATTTTTCGAATTGCGTTTTTTATGAAATCTTATAGATTCTGTTTGCAAATATCGTCAATTTTGCGCTTCCTTGGTCCTTAATCTGGACGTTATGAATGTGTTTACATTTTCATTATTTACAACGAACATAATTAAGTTGTAAATGCATTATCTAAATAATGTGATAAACATAACATATGTTATAAACAATAGGATTGGAACTTGAAATGATGTATAATATGTGGTAGCAAAGATGATTTACAAACATGCAGATATTTTCTTTGATAAATGTTTTATGAGTGTAATTTAATTACTTTGTTATCTGAATGTCATAACATGCATAATCAGCCATTATTTATATGCAGCATAAATCATGATCATGCAATCTTGTGATATATATTTTGAAGTTTTGAGTTGAGAAAAAATAATTGCTTGTTGATTTTTGATTTTGCTTGTAACTTTTAAAACCACAAGCAAAAATTTGCTTGTGCCTAAAAAAATTAAATTCTAACCCTGTAATTCACCTGAGTGTAATTAAGAATTGACTTCCACTTTGTGTGAGTTCATTGGAGTATAAACCTTCATAGAGTGAGGGCCAAACTGTATGAACGTCGGAGTAAAATAGTTCTTCAAAAAGAGAGGTGACATGAGCGTATGGATGCACAACTTGCTCTTCAGAAACATCTTACGCAGTACATGTGTTCAAATCATATCCTCATTAGATGAGAAAGTTCTGTAAAGAACTACCTCAGTAAGTCAGTCACAATGACAGCGCGTCGTAATACATTTACATCGAGTACAAGACGTCAAAATGGCCGACACGATGAACGTGACGGGAGAGATTTCCGAAGTTGTTAATGAACCTGTGGCGGTTACATGTGTTAGTCATCATTGATCAACTGGCCGATCATTGAAAGGTGAATAAAGATGCGTCAAACAGACACTAAGGCAAATTCATAGATTGCTGGAGACGGTCAGTGTCAGCCGAAGACACGGATTGAGTCGATACTACGATAGTTTAGATTTCTTCGTTTGTTCATTGGGATAGGCCGTAGCGAGGATATTCGTGAACAATCATGCAGTCACGTTCTCTGACATTTCTCAATGTATACTCATTACTGAAACGCTGAGACCAAAAATAAAGGTTCTAAATGATCAGGAAGAACACTTACCGTATTCGACGTAATAAGCGCCCCGCTCTAATAAGCGCCCACGGCGATATTTGCTAATATATTGGCTAGTGAACAATTCCAATTCCTTCCGATTGATCAATGTACACAAGACTTATTTATTCGTGTATAGTACACACTCGTGTGTTATATGCACCCTTAATTATGGGCAATTAAATTCTTGAAAAATATATATGTTGTGTATAATACACACAGACTTTTTTTTCTATCATTTCAGGCTGTCAGCATAAACCACGAAATTTACGATCTTTCAACTCTGTTGTTTTTCACCAAAATTTTATTCTAATAAGAGCCCCCTATTTCTAATTTTGAGAGCGCCCTGAGCGCTTATTATGTCGAATACGGTATGTATGTTTTCGTGCTAGGGAATTCCCAGGGGTTTCCCCAGGAATGTGGAAGTAGTCCGTCAGTGTTTACGTCATTTCAAGAACACGGTCGCGTGAAAAACGTACAAGTAGAGATTGCTGCAGAGCATCAATAGCTCCCCGCCATATAATGTTATGTGCAGAGGAAGGAAGTGTAAGCTATGGGAGGAGAGAATTTGTGTTAAGTACAAATTGGTTGTTATTAATGTACTTATCTTTGGAAAGCACAATAAAAGAAACAGTGTCTTTAATTGGTCAGCACAAAGATAACCCAGGCAAGAAAACTGGTCCTGTCAGGCAAAACTTGATGTATACCCACTATTAGTACCAATAAAAAAAATCCTATATAGATAACACAACAAATGTCACTCTAAAGCATGCTTTTGCAGCAAATATCAATATTTCTGGTCAAAATGTTGGTTGGTTTAAATAAAGCAAACTTTTAAAATAGTAAACACAAAAAATGTAATGAATACACTCTAAATATACTTCAGTTCAAATGTAAAAAATCACGCAATCATTAATGGATTCCCATTTATCTAGCAGCAAGTTAGGAACATACAGTTTGGTCACGTTATCTATAAATATTGAGAATTATCTTACATATTGTAAAAACAAAGGCCATAGGTCACTTTTCTCAAAACTTCGTTTAAGTAATCACAAACTAAAAATTGAAAAAATTGTAGATATACAAAAACACCAACCCCATTTGAACAACGTCTCTGTGAAACATGTGATGTCTCAGAAGATGAACAACATTACGCACTGTCTTACATAATACAACCAAGAAAGAGAATCACAAATAATTCCCAATCATTATAAAGAATTTGGTACACTCTGTTAAAAGGAGCAGATTCTTAATAAGTTTACCAACAGTTATCCAGAAACAACTTCCAAGATCTGTTAACATATCAACAATTACAAACAAATTCCTTGTACATGTATGTACTACATTACCATAGTTTTGCTCAATTCTCATATTAATTCCATATCATTATAAAACACTTGTTTTAGAAATTAAATTCTACCTCTTTTGAATGTTGAATGTTCCTGTGTTTTTTAATTGTCGTTTATTGTGCATGTATTTTGTAGTTTGTGATTGTGCAATATTGCCACTGTTTCTTCATGGAATGTTCTGCAATACATATGTCATCTAAAACATCTTTGTTGTATAATAGTTTCTTACAGTTGTTTACGGGGGCATGGTTGGCCCAGTCGCCGAAGGCGCTGCAATTCGCTATGCAGAGTTGTGTCCCTTGGGCACGCCAGAAACCTATGACAGTGTGTTTGAATCTCGGTTCGCCCCGATTTTGTTTTCAGCACAAAACCCTTGCTCGTTGGTTTCACCAAAGTGGTGAACGTCTAAGACCTGCATCACTTCAGACTTTCATCCCACTTCAAGCTGACACGGAATACTATTCAAGACGGCGTTAAACCCAACTACCTCACTCACTCTTGTGTATGGTTCCGTTTGGTTAACTGGGTTTGTGTTGTGATTGCTTCCGGCTTAGATTGGAAATTTGTTTAGAAGAATGTTACTATGTTCAACCCAAACATCGTGAAGATATCATGCAACCGTATTATCTTTTTGGAAAATAATTGCAAACTACAGACCAACCTGTTGATTTCCTATGTATCCAGAAGCAAAGAACATATACGGGTGTATGATCTCTGCTGGAAGTTATTTTTTTTGTCAAAGCAATAAACCATGCAGAAACGTAAACCGCCGCATGAAACGGTATGTACCATACATTACATACAGTGAAGTATTTAAAACAATGCTGTGCTCAACTATGCACAGCAAGCGCCATACATGTGATTATGAAGACAACTAATAAACAAATTCTCATATCAAACCCGTTGTTTTACATGTGTTGTTTATTGAAGAAAGTCATACTTTATGGAAGCCTGTTAATTAATCGTGTTGAACAATATGTTGCAATAGCAGTGTGAAAATTGAGTGCGCGTGACAGGCTTGGCCTAAATTCCTTCCTGGAACGTTTCTCGATGGCTGCCTGAATAACATACGATACATTGCAAAGGTAGTGCGCAATTGAACTGTTCGGGGAAGGGAGACAATCACTCACTCTCAGTGATACAGCTTGAATAAGATACGATGTACAGCAATGCAAGGTCAGTGCGTGAATTTATCACTTCTATACTACGCCTATAGCTAATGGAGATAATCGCTCAATGCGCAATAGTTTATTCTTACAAAATATAGACCGGTTAACTTTAGCGAAATGGGATCATTTTTAGCTCTTTTAAAAACAAAATGAACAGATTTCATGGGTTATCAGCATTACGAAAAGTGACTAAGTCTCAGATAGCAAGACGATTTTGAAGTATCTCTTATTGCTGGAAAAGATAAACATCAACATTTCACGCACATTTCACATGATTTGTATGTTTCGTTTCGGTAACTGTGTGGCTTGAAATTTCTAAGAAACCAACATGTCGACTTACATGCTCCAAAATTAACCTCTCCCGTATACTTCCCCGCCTTAAGGGCGGGGAAGAATGAACGTCAAATTGTGTCGTTCATACACTTATGAACGTCAATTTCGCGGTCATGTGACCGACCTCTCGTCCAATGGAAAAGCCGTATATCGTGTAAACTTCAAATTATAAAATTATAACAAATTATCAACCAAAACTGGCTCTCACAGGAGATATCGCTGCAATGAAATTGCATCACAATGCTTTGGAGAGCATCATGATGTCATTGGTTACCATGACGTCACAATCAAATGACATCACTAATGGCTCTGCTACTGAAGCTCTTAGCAGTACTTTTTAGTAATTTTACACTTAACACTTTCAACACCGTAGGCCGGTTTTCCGGCCAAGAAGCATCGAGTCCCCAAACACCGTAGGCCGGTTATCCGGCCAAGTATATATTTTTATGGACCCTCCTGTAATATCATTCATTTATCAAATCTATTACATTTCCCAATGTCTGAAATACGTATTCCATTTCAATTTATCATTTTTTATCGATAAATTAAAAAATTATTCACTTTTTCCCGCGATGTTATTGAAAATAAAATTCTCGGACACACATTTCGACAACGGGTCCACATCGAACACGTCAAAGAGGAAAATAAAGACGTTTTAAAAAAATCTTTAAATATATTATACAAAGTAATAAATAAAATCAACAAAAATATATCTAAAAGTAATCAAACTTACATCTAAGTTATTATTTCCATCTGTTCGTGCGATCGGGTGTAACGTAAGTCAAATGACATCTCGGCTTTCGTCGCCTCCTTGAATTCTCGGCTCGGACACGATGTTTAATGCAAAAATATATGCATGTAAAATTTTTGTCACAGCTCGTAACCTAGCACGATACATTCACGAAGTTCCATATTTTTAATATATATCGTGATTTCCTGCTCAAAACGTTCAGAATAACACGATTTAACAAAAATCTTTCGCCAACGTCTGTAATTTATCAAACACGAGCTTGTATCATATGTATCATATGCCATTCTTCGACGAACGTGTTATTCATACGAAACCTCGAAAACGGGGGTATTTCTTCATTTTACTGAACGGACAGTCGCTGTTATCGGGAAATGGGTGATGACAGAAACTATTTATAATTCTTTTTAAAATGATTTTCCAATTACGTAAACAATGAAAATAAAACAGAAATAGGTAAGTGGATTTTATGAAATCTTATATTTGCCGAAAATCGTCAAGTTTTCGCCTCCTTGGTCCTTAATCTGGATGTTAACAACGTGTTAGCGTACATTTTTATTTACAACGAATTAAATTAAGTTGTAAATGCATTATTTTAAATAATGTGAAAAACATAACTTTCATAATTATAAACAATAGGATCAGACCTTTCAAATGGTGTATAACATGTATTAGCAAATATATTTTACAAGCAGATATTTTCTTTGATAAATGTTGGCTTCATCTATCACATAAGAGTCTCTGGGAACTCGGTGTCCCAGCAGTAAACACTTCTGGTTGACTGGTGTTGAAAGAGTTAAGACACTGCTTATTACTGTCTACAAACTGAAAAAGTTGGAAGAATGATGTTGCATGATAAATCAAATCTCACCCTCGTGTCCATATAGTTAAAATGAATAACTATGTCGGACAAACATGTTTTTATCAAAAGTCTTGTTTTACTTCTTTCGTATTTTTTTACTGTCAATCAGTCTTGTGAACCAAAAGAAACCACGGTTTTGTAGAGTTGATAGAATATGAGTGGTTCCATCCCCTGGCCATATCTCTCCAGGACTTAAGAGATGGTACTTGTTGTTACCCTGTCTGCCGCTTGGGGATAAAACAAGGACTGGTCGGCTTGTACTCAGTATAATGTGTTTGTGTGGGTATTCAGGTTAAACTGCCGCATGATATCTCAGGGGGCTAGCAGTATCAAACTGAACTTGTGCAAACAACCACACATACATGTGCATAATATTTAAATATAGGTCCAATGATGTTAAACACGAAATTAAACCCTATTTCACCTCTCCTCATTAGCATTTCGTTATAAGTGTGTTCGTTATAAAAGTAGTTTACTGTATTATGTCACAATACTTTGCAGGTCACAGCCTCAGCCCAGGACAGTTTCCACCAGGGACCCAAGCAAACGGTATCAAAAGCGTTCCCTGAATCTCGATTTAGACATAGACCATGCTTTGGATAGTACTTTGTCCGACTTGGAGGTCAGTCGACTATCTGACTCTGTGAAAGCAAGTAAACCCCTCATGGATACCCCCAAAGCTGGAGCAAACCTGAAGAGAGATAGAGGGGTGGTGGTGAAAGGGGATGTGGAGGTCCATGTGACACACCATGTTATTCATACCACGGCTGATAATACACCCATTGGCAACACATCCAGTACCTCAAAGGTTGTCAAACTTAAGCAGTTACATGGGCTTGAAACCAACTGGAAGAGGATCATGAATGGAGGAAATGATTTCCTCAATGCATCTCTTCCTAAGCAGCAGCTTGACTTGCGTCAGATGGGCTCTCTGTTAACCAGTGTGGCGAAGGCAATAAAACATGATGTTAATAAAGATCCTTTGAAAAAAGGAAATTACAAGTCTTATTCTGGAGACATTGGCGACATTCAAAAGGAAGGCCGTCGTGATCCTTTTAAATATGATGATATTAATGATCTTCATCAGGGTAATAATCATGATGATAAATCGCGTAAAAATGATAAGGAGGAGAAGGAGGAGGAGGATGACGAGGAGGAGGATGACGAGGAGGAGGATGACGAGGAGGAGGAGGAGGAGGATGACGAGGAGGAGGATGACGAGAAGGAGGAGGAGGAGGAGGATGACGACGAGGAGGAGGAGGAGGAGGATAATGACAAGGATAAATCGAAGAACGTCAAAAGTAAGAAGAAGCGCAGTTACGACAATAACACCAAAGCATTACACAAGAATAGGAAGGGTGCAAAAGGTAAACAAAAGAGGAGTTTTGGTATTGTTCAAGAAGCTGTCGAGGCAGTGTTTTCTGACAATCATCATCACTATTCAGACGAATTCTACAAATATTCAAAAGTGAAGACAGACAGAGACAGAAGAAATATAGGGTCAGTGAAAGAGTTAGCTCCCGTGCCTCACAACGGGAAAATTGTCCCACAACAATATGCTGTTTTGCATACGCCAAAAGATGTGTCATCGTATCACAAGCAGTCTCAGGGAATCCCAGGTAATTATACTCGTAATGTGTTATTACTGCCTGTTTTTCTCACAGTCAGAACTTCTCAAAGTCAACGGTTCATTGGGAAACGCAGATGTCGGGAGCTTCAAAACAGGGATAGATAATCAGCGGTAGAAAGTAACAGTTTCAGTCTACTAGTCCTTATATAGTCCATATAGCAAACCCCTTAAAAATGGCAAATTTCTACTAGTGTGCTTGCACTATTGTGCAGTTTGGCAAGGACTAAAGGACTATTGCCAATTTCTAACGCTGATAATTCTCTTGACACTGGATTTTAAATACAGTTGGGTCTTTGACAGCCATATACCTAACAATTTAGTCCACTCGTCCTTAAAATGATAACATGTTGCAAAATCCTTAAAAAGGTCAAATTTCTAGTCCTTGTGATAACATAACTATTGGGCATTTTAGCAAGAACTATGGGACTAGTGCCAATTTCTAACACTGGTCTTTTGGTTATCTTCGAATTCAGACAGGTTGTGTTTCAGGTTTTTAAAAATAATATTGGACATGCTGGGTTTTCCTGAAATAAATATGTTGTCAATTAAAATAAATAGAGAATATAATGCAGCCAAGTGTGTTTTCATATATCGTAAATATCATATAGTTTTGTTTGTTGTTTAACGCCGCACTCAGCAATATTCCAGCTATATGTTATTGTACATGTATTAGGAATAAACATTGCATCGTGCTAATTTGTGAGAGCTTTTATATTTGATATTTAGCATGTTAATGATATGGAAATACATGAGGAAAATAATATCTTTTTTTTTTACTTGGCCGTTGAAGATACAACTGTTTTATGGCAATAAGCTGGCATTACACATTGTTTGATACCAAGGCCTGTGCTTATGTACTCCCGGAAGTAGTTTCACAAACAAATATTGAAAACTTTCGACATTGCTGAGCTTATTCAATGACATTACGTGTAGAGCTGATAGATCTTGTGCTTAAACACCTGGGACCTGCATCACTTTCAGCAATAGAAAGTGGCACTGGTCTTGTAGTCCTTGCCAAACTGCCCAATAGTTAAGGTTTCATAAGGACAAGTAGAAATATATATATGGGAGTTTGCAATATGTTATTATTATAAGGACCAGTGGACTAGAAATGGACTTTGGACCGTCTTCTCTTTCTCCCCCCCCCCCCCCCCCCCAAAAAAAAACAAACAAACAAAAAAACACCAAAAAACAAACAAAAACAACAACCAACAAAACAAAAACAAACAAACAAAACACAACAAACAACAACAAACAAACAAAACAAACAACAACAAGTCAAATAGTCTGTTATATTGTATCTAGCAATTTGTTCTTTCTTAATACTGAGTAGATTACATAGAACTCTTGTTCACTGTTACAGCCAGCAGTAGGTGGAGCGAGTGTAGTGTTACCTGCGGCCTGGGGTCTCGGCGGAGGACGAAGGTGTGTGCGGATATGACCTGTACACCTGGACAGACAGAGATAAAACCATGCATGATGCCGACCTGCTGATGCAAAGCAGCTCAGCCACACCAGCTGAACACTGTCTGGCGTTGACCTAGACCTCCTGGATAACCTAAACCTAATTCCCACAATGACTCGCAATATAACCTTTGAGAGACTAACAGTGAAACTCTGCTACTCCAGGGCCCACTTGCACAAAGCGATCTTAGTGCTACGACTATTGTAAGCCTATGTTAAAGCATGGTAGTTACGATCATCTTAGCGCTAAGATCCCCTTGTGCAAATGGGACCAGGTCCTGTTATTTTGCATGCCCCGATTTCCGGATGATCGATGTTGGGATTATCAGTATGTTAATTAGGGGATTCTTTTTACATAGTTGGTTAACGGAATTGTGTTTTGATCCTGGTGGTGAAAAGACATACATATCTTGACGAGGCACATCATCCTGTATATCTTCAGGGCTTCCAATTCGATAAACCTACACAAACCCAAGGACCTATTCACATTGTTTTCGCGTTAATTACCTGCCCGTGATTTTCATGAACATTTTACCAACCAGTCAAATGTTGAGATAAAGAAAAAGAAAATGGGTAAGGGATGTAACTCGTATTGCCTAGAAACCAAAGCCATCGATATTTTTTTTTGGACAAATTTTTTTAGGGGTTTCTTTTGCGTGTCAGTCAGTTTTTCAAAGTTGAATCCCTCGCAAACTCGATCATAATCTGTGGTACATATTAACATGTTGCTTATATCGCCAACCAAACACTGAGGCTGGTTTGTAACTCGCATTCTGATTAGTGCGTTAGACCTAGTAGCGTAGCCAATCAAATTGGCAGAAGGAAATCAAGGGCAGGTAATTCAAGATCGCGAAAACCTTGTGAATAGGTTCAGTTCAGGTTTACCGAACTTCGAGCCCTGTGAGATATAAAGGATGGAGGCACATGTATGTCGCAATTTTTACCACTTAAAGGTCAAACGGATATGTCATATAAAAGGGCCGTAACTCTTATGTCTAAATTGCTTCAAACTTTGCAGTGAACACTTCTCAGTGTATTTTAGTATTTAGCATTTCGCAGTGACTCCTCCATTGAACACAAATTAATTTGAGTGATATTTCATGTTAGGTTTGTCATTTTTCATGTCAACATTTTTCACACCAACATCTCCACCCAACCACCATAATAAATAAGCACAATAGGATGTCAGCTGGAATTATTTAGTAAGGCTGTTAATAAATTGTTTGTTTCTCATGGCTTTTTCTCAAAATCAAAAAGGATTTTTTTTTTTAATTTAGGTTACAAATCTCACAAACTAACATTGATTTAATGTACCACTTAATGTATTTTGGCCACGACAGAAGAAAAAGAAAATTAACTTGAAAAAGTAATTTCTTTACAGTGATTAAAAATAATTATAAATAAATCGGGCAGGGGCTTGTCGTCATGAATACAAGAAATGCAATTTCCCGAGCCTCTTGTCAGCATTGCACAACTCAAACTGTTGTCTGTGGGAGTGTCAACGACATAGTTGTAGTCAATATATCGCCCATGAGAGTGAGAGAGTTGAGTTTAACGCCGCTTTTAACATTATTACAGTTATATCACGGCGTGTCAGCTTAATGTGGGAGGAAAGCCCGAAGAGATGCAGGTCTCGGACGTTTACTACTTCGGTGAAACCCACGAGCACGGGCATGGCGCTGACAAACCTAGAAATATAATCGGGGCAAACCGGGGTTCGAACCCACATTCATAGGTTTCTGGCGAATCGCGGCGCATTAAACGACTGGCCCATCCGTGCAAACGGTGCAGTCGGTAATATTCCACATATATTTCAGTTGTCAAAGATACACCTAAGTACATCAACAAAAACAAATAAGTCCCATTTGCTTAAAATTAATATGAGAATTTAAATAATGACGACTGTATTGTACCTTCTGAAAATATACAGTGATGATTACACATGTCAATCGTTCGTCCGGGCTGTGAAGATCCGGGGTAGAATAGGTCTTCAGCAACCCATGCTTGCCGTAAAAGGTGACTATGCTTGTCGTAAGAGGCGACTTACGGGATCGGGTGGTCAGGCTCGGTGACTTGGTTGATGCATGTCATCGGTCCCAATTGTGTGGATCGATGCTCATGTTGTCAATCACTGGATTGTCTGGTCCAGACTCGATTATTTACAGACCGCCGTCATATAGCTGGAATAATGCTGAGTGCGGCGTTAAACAACAAACCAAACCAAAAACCAATCGTTCATCCGGAATTTTGTTTATTCAGAATAGTGTTCATCCTGAAATTTGTTAATCAGGAAGACATCACTGGACGTCTCAGATATTCTTTAGGATTAGCATGTGCTTGTCAGACATCCTTGTCATTTTGTACATAACATGTATGATAGCATTACTCACCATTGCATTTGTAACATATATATTTATAGATTATATAGTTCATTGTTATCAGATACCCTTTTGTATTTTGTCTTTGCAACATGTAGATACAAGACCAGTGGATGAATGTTGAACAGTGCTGTCATCAGTACTTACAGATTTGTGTTTTGTTCGTTTGTTGTTTAACGCCACACTCAGCAATATTCCAGCTATATGACGGTGTTCTGTCAATAATCGAGTCTGGACCAGAAAATCCACTGATTGATATCATGAGCATGGGATACGCAACTGGTATACGATGACATGCATCAACCAAGTCAGCGTGCCTGACCACCCAATAACGTTGGTGGCCTCTTACGACAAGCATAGTCGCCTTTTACGGCAAGCATGGGTTGCTGAAGACCTATTCTACCCCGGATCTTCACGGGTATGATCTACTAAAAAGTTGGATACTTACTCATCCACATCAGATCATAACCAAAGCCCAGGTTTCAGGAGCAACCAAGGAGCATTCAACCTGGATGGCTGAAACTGGGGTAGTTGGAAAGTCATCCATGCTAATTCGCGAAGCTTTAGTGAGTGAGTTGGGTTTAAGGCAGCTTTTAACACTATTCCAGTTATATCGCGGCGTGTCAGCTTAATGTGGTAGGAAAGCCCGAAGTGATGCAGGTCTCGGACGTTTACCACTTTTGTGAAACCCACGAGCACGGGTATGGTGCTGACAAACCTAGAAACATAATCGGGACGAACCGGGATTCGATCCCACAATTATAGGTTTCTGGCGTGCCCAAGGGACGCAACTCTGCACAGAGAATCACGGCGCCTTAGACGACTGGGCCAACCGTGTGCCCCCCTGACATTTTGAGGCATGGTCAATTCTTGATAGTATTAAATAATACTTTATGAAACGATAACATTGAGGATTCATCACACACACAACATAGAGTCATAACATCCCACCCTTGTTTTGGCATTAATGCACTTCAGCAGATATATAACTTGACTACATTTTTTCACAACATGAAATGTTATAACCCCACGTTAGTCTCCGGTCAAAATGAAAACCAACGCCCATACAAATTCTGTTTCGTGGTCACCAAATGTTAGCTCTCTTTTTGTGGGAATTTTACGTAGGGTTATCATTGCAACAAATTGGCATTGAAAATACTTATTACATTTTTCATTTGGTAACCAATATTTTTTTACTCATCTTTTCATCACTCTATTGGTTTTTTTCCAAAATGAGCTAACATTTTGAGATTAAAAAAAGTAATAAAAACGTTTTAGATATACATAAGTGTTCTAACTAAAGGAATGACTCGGAAGGTAAATTAGGTCGTAATTGTGTTTCGGAAATTAGCTCCATTGAACATGTTGAACGCACTCAAACTTAATTGGGTATTTACGCATGCTGGTTTTTTTTATACATGTGAGTTTTTCATTAAATGCATGCGTTGCTGTACTCAAGTTACTCAGTGATTGGGTTTTTCATATAATTTTTTTGATTTATTAATATTATTATTATTTTAAAAAAAAATTATTTTATTTTTTTTTGGGGTGGGGGGGGAGGAGAGGGGGTATTTTACGCAAATACGCTGCTTATCTGTAGCTCTGTAAATCTGTGAAAAAGACGTAATTATAACATTGAAAAGCACAGGCTAGTAACACTACCTTGTGGGGAATAATTTTATATCAAATGTATACCAGGGAAGCCCTGTCCGACGCACACGAATCCTCATAAACCAATCACGGGTGTCCACCATTGTGTTTGCGTAATAACCTCTGAGGAAGACCTCGTGAGTTAGGTAGCAGATGAAGTATGGACGTATGGGCGTAGTGTTTCAAAGGTCCAAAGTCAACAATTGAAACTTCATTATGGATGACCCACAACCTCCTGATCAGTGGTTAGGCACTCTTACAAATACTCCACAGTACTGGTTGAAGACGTGTGGTTCAATCCAAGCACAGGCGTCCGTATCTAAAAATAGACGGCCTCATGCATATTCATGACCATCTCCACACGCGAATTTGTAGTATATGTAGTTATCTGTTATCGCGAGCCCGTGTGGAGATGGTCATGAATATGCACGAGGGCGTCTATTTTTAGATACGGACTCCTGCGTTCCAAGGTACCACCATGTCAGAGAATATGATATATTTTAGGAGCGCTTCTATAGGCTGTCGTAACGCACTTGTTTCGACAGTTCATAAAACACCCCTCACATTATATAATTTTAAAATAAATCCGTGTCTCCATTTCACATCATATGGTTTTTCAATATCGAAAACGCACAACACGTAATCTTGATTGCATAAAGCTTGCTTTGCTTCTGTCTGCAGTCGTGATGGTGATCTGTACATGGACGACCCTTTCTAAAACCGGGTTATAGCTAAAATGGCACCTCAGCAAAACGTCACCGGGCCAAAACGTCACCTCGCCTCAAAACGGCACCTTAACATTCACGGTCCTTAACATTGTTGTCAGGACGAACAATGAAGATGACAACTAAGATTGGTTGGTTTGTTGTTTAACGCCGCACTCAGCAATATTCCAGCTATATGACGGCGGTCTGTAAATAATCGAGTCTGGACCAGACAATCCAGTGATTGATATCATGAGCATCGATCCACGCAATTGGGATCGATGACATGCATCAAACTAAGTCAGCGAGCCTGACCACCCGATCCCGTTAGTCGCCTTTTACGACAAGCACAGTCACCTTTTACGGCAAGCATGGGTTGCTGAAGACCTATTCCACCCCGGAATCTTCACGGGTCGACAACTAAGAAGAACTGTATAATGTGTATATATATGTGAATATATGTAGTTATCTATGACTAACTGGAAAACTGTAAACACATCAAATAACATGTAAATACATCAAATAGCACGAAATAAATCATATATACTACTACATAAATCGCTCTTATCGTTATTAAAAATAGAGGTGCCGTCTTCGCCCGGCTCAAAGTAGCCGTTTTCGCCAAATGCGGTGCCGTTTTCCCCAGAGAAACCTGTGACGTTTTGCTGAGGTCCGTTTTAGCCTGGACCCACTGCATGTGCATGGCCGACTTGCACAAAGCGATCTTAGCGCTAAGATATTCGTAACTCCCATATTTTAACATAGGCTTACGATAGTCGTAGCGCTAAGATCGCTTTGTGCATGTGGGCCCAGCTGCACCCTCTAAAACCTGAAAACTTGTGGGAGAAGCCTATTCTTCTCGAGACAAAAATCCAGTATATTTGTGACCATAATTTCCATAATTTTGCATAGATTGGACGTGAGTGAAATATTTGTCTAAATGATGCAGGTTCAGTTGAATCTTTCACTTGTTGGGGGTACTGGACTCGGTGAACATTTCAGTTTTTGTAGAATTAACTCCCTTGGCTCGTTAACTGCAAACTCAATGCAGCGCGTTAAATCTTCGTCGGTGTGAGGAGATACCGCCACTTCCGCTTATAAACATTTACTTTGTTTGCATGTGAATTTTATCACATCGATACAATTGACAATCAGCGATGCTGTCGAGGTCTGTACGAGCTGAAACTCGAAGTCGAGCTAAAGAGGATATCAAGAGAGTTATTAATGCTATAGATAAAGTTAGAAAATGGTGAGTATGACTTTACCGGTGGCATTTTACAGGGTTTCTCGATCTATGGATTGAGGTCCAACAAAAGCCACCTGGCCACAGATTTGGTCAGGACAGTACAATGAAATCTGTGTATTGTAATTCGACCTGAATGCATTCCGAGTGTTTCCTTTTATCTACATCACTATGGTGAATGATTATGCGAAAGCCATAAGAGCCCATTAAGCCCAATAGTTATTGCTTACACTGTTACAGTGAGTGAGGCAGATCAAACGTTAAAACGTCAATAATACTAAAACTTACTATGTATTCTCAGCAATGTTTGAGATAATTTTAAAAACCCAAGAACACAGTCGGGCAGGTGACTGTTAAGTGTTGCCTGCTGATCTTCAAAGTTACCTGCCCACATAGAGGCATTATGAATATTGAAAAATCGCAGAAACTAATAGAAATCATGTCTTGATTTTGTTGAAATAAAGCAAACAATAACTTGAGAATTTACAAGAAGTTATAATAAGACTGAATATGTAAGTTGTCTTAAAATTAAATTATCTGCCAGACAGTCGGGTAGGTGAAGGAAAATTTCATGCAGCCTGACAGGAAAGTTTCGGGCAGGCAGTTATTCTGGGCACATTTTTTGGACACTGATTATTAGACACATCAGCTGATCCCTTAATTATAGATTGAAGATTTGGTTACAGCTCCACCTATCAAAGTTTAGCCCTATTATGGTGTGGGTGGGTGGGGTGGGAAGAGGGGTGCTGGGATTTTGTATGAAGACTCCTGCCATTGAAACTAAAAAGTTTTGTCCACTTGCCCATGTAATGAAATCATATATCATGTATGTAGCAAAACCCTTAAAAATGGCAAATTTTCTACTACCGGTAGTCCTTATAATGCCTTAACTACTTGGCAGATTGGCAAGTATAGAACTAGTTCTAATTTCTATCACTGAGAATAAATATTTTTTTCAGCTACACGTACATCATGGTACATCTGAAAAAACACATATCTCTACAACAATGTATTTTTTATGGCAGACAATTTCTACTTTTTTCAACCGTAAAAAGCATATTTTGTTTCAAGCAATATTTGGGGGTCATATTTGTTTTACAATATATTTTTGTAGTAATCACAGTCTCTTAAAAATAGTCATGATCCATAGAGCTCCAGATAAGCTTTTGGTGTGGTGGGTATTTTACACATGCATTTTAAAATCATTGGGTATCAGTAATTCTATCTGGGTATTCAAATTTCTGTTACCCACTAGTTTTTACACATGTAGGTATTTAAGTTAAATATTTAAAAACACTATTCATCTCGTCCCTGCAAACTGGTGCCGTGTGGGTTCGAGAGCTTTATCGGACTCAAAAATACCACGATACTTCCACAAGAAAGTGTGATGGCAAATGATCATGATGTAACTGTCATCGTGGAGTTTGGCAAGGTTGATGGAATGCCCGTTTATAATTTCAAAATAAGATGCTGATTTGCTAATCGAATACGCAGGGTTACTTCACAATATTTTGATGATACGCACAAGTTTTATTTTTGTAGCTTATCTGTAATGTTCGTTGCGTATTTGATATGCTTGGATTTTATTTTATTGCGTATTTCTGCATTTCTGATGCGTATTTTACGCAGATACGCAACTTATCTGGAGCTCTGGATCCTAATCTTTTTGTTCAGTACAGAAGTATGGCATTGCAACAAGCACAGAGGTACGAGAAATGCAAATAACATGAAAATGAGTTCACTTGTTATGTCATGGAAATATATGTCTATTTTTCAATTAAGTTTGTTGTGTTTATGTATCATAGTTACATGAGGAACTGATCATGCTTTTATGCTTAGTGTAGCAATATTGTCCTTTTCAGGGAGAAGAAATGGGTGACAATTGGCGACACCACCATGAGGATATACAAATGGGTACCAGGTAGGACATTTCTGCAATGGCATTTTTTTCCAAAGAATCGGGGGCACGGGTGGCCCAGTTGTCTAAGGCGCCGCGAATCGCTGTGCAGAGTTGCGTCCCTTGGGCAAGCCAGAAACCTATGATTGTGGGTTCGAATCCCGGTTCACCCCAATTATGTTTCTAGGTTTGTCAGCACCATACCAGTGCTCATGGGTTTCACTGAAGTGGTAAACGTATGAGACCTGCATCACCTTGGGGTTTCCTCCCACATTAAGCTGACAAGCCGTGATATAACTGTAATGCTGTTAAAACCCAACTCACTCACTCACTCACTCACTCCAAAGAAGCACCTGATTGCATTAGATGTTGGTTAATAGTGTGATTATTTAACTGTACTATTATATATATATTCAAGAAGGACACAATTTTATGAATAACAACTTCTTTAATACTGTAAAAAGTGACGTTTCGGTACAGATCCTTATACCGTTGTCAAGCAAGACTGAATGAGGGACATAGTACAGAATATGTATAGTAGGTGGAGGATTAACAGTGCATACATGAGTTGGATAACATGTGTAAGTGTGGACAACAGAGGGATAATACTGTCACAACACGGTGGCCAGAGAACAAGTAATGCCTATCAAACAATTTATTATGTACAGTCATGCCCCGCTTATACGGACTTCAGATATCCGGAAACCTCAGTTCCCGGACGATTTTCATTCAAAACGAAATAATTACTATATAAATTTACCCGTATATACGGAAATTCAGTTTCCGGAACCGGATGGTCATTTTCATACACAAAACAAGGAAATGCACACAAAATTGTCTCACTTACCCAGACAATACACTTCCGCTGGTGGTAATCCTTTGATTCGTGAAAAGTCAATTAACCAAGTGACACTGAGTTACGTTTGAGATGAGCTTGTTTATTGTACATGTAATCCCATTCAATAAATATGGCGTCTGTGGAGGTCAGAGGTCAAAGTTGTGACTTCAAACTGTGAGTTAACTGGCCTGTCAACCAGCGAAACGTAAGCGACACGCAGTTACAGCACGCGAAAAAAGGGAAATTTGTCTGTTTAACATGTTTAAGGAAAAACACCCGTCAGCAAGTTTGGAAACCATCAGTAAGCATTATGGCACTGAATTTGGACATCGACAATTGGTGACATTTTAAAAGACAAACAGAAGTGGCTAAAGAAGCTGGCTTCAGTTAAACGGAAATTCGTTTATACGGACGAATTGTGAAATGACACAAGTGTCCGTATAAACGAGGCACGACTGTATATTTTTTCAAAACACATTGCTGATACATGAATTCTGAGTCTATCACTTGTTTGATGTTTACCTGAATCCCAGTTGTTTTTCATTCACATGAAATCAATCCATTAACTTGATTAATAAAAGAAGCATTCCCTGCCTCATCCAAATATTTCGTGTAAATTCGTTGACTTGTCATACAAGACAGGCCCATACATAGAGAATCTCACCCGAGTGTCTTTTGATATCAAATATATCAACACGAGTTGATAAAAGTGGAAAAATTCCGAGGGCTTGCCGAGGGTTTTTGCCACTTTTATCAACGAGTGTTGATATATTTAATGTCAAAAGACACGAGGGTGAGATTTTATTTATCATCCAACATCATTCTTCAACATCATCAGTAATTAGCAGTGTCTTCAGTGTAAAAGGTACTGCTAACAGCTTCAGTAGCAGAGCTATTAGTGATGTCATTTGATTGTGACGTCATGGTAACCAGTGACGTCACAATGGTCTGCAAAGCATTGTGATGTAATTTCATTGCAGCGACATCTACAGTGTAGATATCGCTTGATCTCATCCAAGCGATATCTCCTGTGGGAGCCAGTTTGGGATGATAAATCTATTACTGTTTGTTCTCTCTAGTTTAAGGTGAATGCTTGTCGTAAGAGGCGACCAACAGGATTGGGGGTCTGACTTGGTTAATGCATGTCACCATATCCCAATTGTGCAGATCAATGTCAATCACCTGTCTCTCTGGTCTAGATTTGATTATTTTCAGACTGCTGTCATATAGCTGGAATATTGCTGATGTTGTCGTTCGAGAAAGAAAACCCAATTAACCTTTTTTTATAATTGTTACCTTTGCTAACTGGTTGATGGCAGATATCTTGGCTCTGGAGGTCTTTGACTAGTGCTGTAACCATGGTAATGATACGGCGATACAGTATTGTATCTCGATACAGAATAATAACAGAAACTCTTCAACAACCAGCTTCGCAGATTTTCTAGTATTTCCCTGTTGGCTATAAATAGCACAACAATCACAGAGCCCTCCAGCCTGTGTTTCTGCCCTATGATATCCCATCTTCGAACTTTGAAATTGAAAAACAAATGGTTATGGGTTCATGGGGTTGTGATTCACCTGCAAAAAGCAAGAAAAAAGAATATCAACTTATGAAATACAAGTACTGTTTCAGGATATGAATTGTATCGCACCCATAGCATCGGGATATAAAACATATTGCAACATCACCATATTGTAAAACCTCTACTTTTGATGACATAGATCTTTTTGGGGCAATATCTGTAGACCATGTAGATCACCCCCAATCTTTTGACAATTGTACTTAGTGCCCCTCCCACCCCCCATCAATAATGATGTTGGTAATCAATGCATAAACATTGCTTTTTCATTTTAACAACAATGCTGTAGACAAATGGTAGAGAATGTGAAAATATTATTGCACATGTTCTTCGCATAGATATTTAGATTTTTTAGCTTGAATCGTATGGATAATAACAATAATAATTTGTTACACATGTATTATTATGAGATAAGAATCCTAGTTGCCATGGTTACCTGTTGACTCATTAAGGGATGTTGTCATATATGTATCTATGGTAACTGATCAAGATATTTCTGTAATTTCAGTTGCTAACCAAGGATCCCCTCAAGTAAGTATAAGCCACCTCATCCCTGTGAAGATCCGGGTTAGAATTGGTCTTCGGGGACCATGCTTGTCATAAGAGGCGATGTACTGCATCAGGTCGTGAGCCATGCTGACTTGGTTGATGCATGTCATCATAATCCAATTGGGGGCACGGGTGGCCCAGTCGTCTAAAGCACGGCGATTCGCTGTGCAGAGTTGCGTCCCTTGGGCACGCCAGAAACCTATGATTGTGGGTTCAAATCCCGGGTTCGCCCCGATGATGTTTCTAGGTTTGTCAGCACCATACCCGTGCTCGTGGGTTTCACCGAAGTGGTTAACGTCTGAGACCTGCATCACTTCGGGCTTTCCTCCCACATTAAGCTGACACGCCGCGATATAACTGGAATACTGTTAAAAGCGGCGTTAAACCCAACTCACTCACTCACTCACTCACTCACTCATAATCCAATTAATCAATACTCACGTTGTCAATCACTGGATTGTCTGGTCAAGACTAGATTTCTTTACAGACAACCGTCATATAGCTGGAATATTGATGAGTGCAGCATTAAACAACAAAGAAACCAACAAACTAGCTATGTCAACAATGTTATTGCATTATTAGTCAAAGTGAAACTTGTGTGATGTGATTATGCAAATGTTGGAACTTCTCTCCCTTGTGTGTTCCACGTGTTCAGGACCGTCACCATGGTCCAGTGGTAGAACGTCCGCCCAGAGAGAGGAAGGTCAGGGGTTCAATCCCTTGTCACGTAATACCAAAAGACGTTAAAAGATGGTACTTGTTACCCTGCTTCGCCTTGGCATTAAGGGCTAAAACAAGGACTGGTGGGGTACTCATGTTAAACTGTGGCATGGTATCTCAGTGGGCTAGCACTATAAATCAGCATCAGTCCAGACTAGTACAAGCAGCCACACTTCGCTATACAAGTGCAATAATCCTGGACGTGTCGTTAAATGCTGTTTCACATCACCATGTTTTCAGATAAATTTGAATGTATTTGTTTCTGGGTCATGTGATTCCTAAAGGTGATGAGTCAGCAAAACATCATTTCCTTTCTCTGGTATTCATCAGATATTGACCAGTAAACATGGTACAAAAATGGCTTGGACTGAACAAATCAAGGGCTATTTGTTCCTGTGTCAGTTAGAAATATGGAATGCCTTTCATGGTTCGCAATTCCTTGTCTTTTAATGACAATGGCATGGTTAAAATATTTTTCCCAGTGCCTAAAAGGCACACTTATAAATAATGTTTTTTAAACTTCAGTACCTTGTGACAATGTTTGTTACATGGAGCTGGGGCGGTCTAGTGGTTAGAGCATTCGCTCGTCATGCCGAAGACCCGGGTTCGATTCCCAACATGGTACAATGTGGGAAGCCCATTTCTTGTGTCCCCCGCCGTATTGCTGGAATATTGCTAAAAGCGGCGTAAAACCACACTCACTCACTCACTCACTCACTCACTCACTCACTCACTCACTCACTCACTCACTCACTCACTCACTCACTCACTCACTCACTCACTCACTCACTCACTCACTCACTCACTCACTCACTCACTCACTCACTCACTCACTCACTCACTCACTCACTCACTCACTCACTCACTCACTCACTCACTCACTCACTCACTCACTCACTCACTCACTCACTCACTCACTCACTCACTCACTCACTCACTCACTCACTCACTCACTCACTCACTCACTCACTCACTCACTCACTCACTCACTCACTCACTCACTCACTCACTCACTCACTCACTCACTCACTCACTCACTCACTCACTCACTCACTCACTCACTCACTCACTCACTCACTCACTCACTCACTCACTCACTCACTCACTCACTCACTCACTCACTCACTCACTCACTCACTCACTCACTCACTCACTCACTCACTCACTCACTCACTCACTCACTCACTCACTCACTCACTCACTCACTCACTCACTCACTCACTCACTGTTACATGAAGCCAGTGATGAGTGTACTTTCACACAAGGAACCATGACACACACATGGAACATAATGCCCATGTGAACATGCTTAATGCACATCATGATACACAAGTTCAGGCTACCCACAGGACTACCTGGACCTTGGGGTTGTCACATCATATATATTTTGATGACAAACATTATCTAGAACTCTATGGTTACACTACAGGTCACTAATGATCACATTTCTTTCTGATGATGCACACATTCCTTCTGACTTTATATGTTTGTATAAACATAAGACTTCGGTCAACTTCAGTGTAAGTATGACCAGACCGTTTTATACATGTCTAATTACATTTTGCCAGGAGTACAGTCAAACGTTTCTCAATCTCTTGAGACCTATAACAGGTACCTGGGTAGGGTCGGGTATCCAGGTAGGGTTGGGTAATAGGGGTGGGTACCCGGGGAGGTTCGGGTAATAGGGGGTCGGGTATCTGGGTAGGGTAATAGGGTTGGGTACCCGGGGAGGTTCGGGTAATAGGGGGTCGGGTATCTGGGTAGGGTAATAGGGTTGGGTACCCGGGGAGGTTCGGGTAATAGGGGGTCGGGTATCCGGGTAGGGTAGGGTAATAGGGTTGGGTACCCGGGTAGAAAATATGGACTCATCCCAGCCCTAAATTCCATTCCAACAAGATGTGTGGATGTGATATGTTTGTGTTCCAGTCGTCTCGGTCAGCCCAGAAGGGTTTGTTTAAACAGAAGGGAGGCAAGTCTGTCGGAGACAAGGAGAACATGAAAGAATTGTCTAACGGTAAAACACTGTGTGCTTACTTCTTCTTGTATACTTGTAATCATAATGACTTGGTAGCGTTATCTTCATGATAGGGAACACTTGCATTATACTGGATGCCATGTTTCCATTCTCCTCTTTCAGAAACAAATATTTGGAAAATAGTTAGGCAATACTCAAAATTAACAGTAAATTATTAGCCATTTCATAGGCATTAAAATTTGAAATTCAATTTATACATAAGTGGTAATAAGATGCAAATAGAAGTTTTATAATGGCGTGTGACCACCTATCATGTATTTAAGTCAGGAGGAACATTTCATTCTACAATGCTCTAGTAATATATTTTCTGAACTTTATAATAGACGTGAATAGACCATGCTAATTTAGAAAGAGCTCAAATGTAACAAATGTTCTATTTGGGATAACACTTTCTTAGTAAATTCCAAATTCTAGTACGTTTTGGGGTTGAGTCTAGTCCAGGATTGGAACCCATACTCTCAGATGAGGCACCTAATTGCCAGCACACAAAGTCAGCGATCTAATCCACTTGGTAATAGGCGATGGCATTTAGTAATCTGAATAATGTAAGACTTTATTCAAATCCATATGGATGAACCTGTGATAAGATGGCCTCTTTTTCATTATTGTTTGCATATAATTGTAGTCACTTAAAACATTTGTAAGAACTTCTTTTTGGTGAGCTGCAGAATTGTTTTTGTTGAATTGTGTTTTTATTATTAGGCATGGCCAATTTTGATCTGTTTATAGAAGTCCTGTACCAACATGACGTAGGGTGTGACATACTCCGGGTATACCGTATTCAACGTAATAAACACCCAGGGCACTCTCAGAATTAAAAATAAGGGGGCTCTTATTAGAATATAATTTTGGTGAGAAAAAAAAACAGAGTTGAAAGATCGTAAATTTTGTGGTTTATATGACATTTACATACAACAAATACATTTTTCCAGAATTTAATTGCCCATAATTAAGGGTGCACATAACACTTGAGAGTGTAGTATACGTGAATAAATCAGTCTTGTGTACATTGATCAATCAGAAGGGGTGATAATTGGGATTGTTATCAAGACAATATATTAGCAAATATCGCCGTGAGGCCAATCCAGAAAAAAACTGGCCATGTCATAATAAGATTTTTTTTTTTTTTAAATAATAATGATGATATTAAATGTGTTTCTTCAGTTGGTTTCATTGTGAATTATTACTGTATTCTCTTCATATACTATGATATACATGGGGGTGTCAGGATTCACGATGAGTCAATGAATCGCAAGTTTCCACCTCATGTTGTAATAAACCTTCATATATAAGTTCATATTTTTATTCTGTATTAATTTTCAAGACATGAAACTTTTTTGGATAACAACATAAGATGTATCATGTCTTTGTCGTCGTCCACTTTCTAAATTCCCATCAAAGACATAGTATTTACAATATCTAATCAGGCTAGCATTTACCTACCGTCTGTCATGAAACGAAATTTTAATTTAGATTGATGCTACCTTTACAACGATCCTGAATAAGTCAGCAAGCTCTTGCCAACCAGGGCCCACTAGCACAAAGTGGTCTTAGCGCTACGATGATCGTAACCCCCATACTCTATCATAGACTTAAGATAGTCATACTGCTAAGATCACTTTGTGCACGTGGGCCCAGATTGCATTGAAATGGATTAGTTCATGCAAAACCAGTGCAAATTAAGTATAGCGATGGGTATCATGACTCAAGTATCTTTAAGATAGGTGTATCGTGACACCCCTAATATAATTCTTTGTATATTCAATGTTAAAGTGCTTTCTGTGGGATCTGCATTATACATCATAATACATGTTACTTTCTACAGCATTATCTTAGTATTTACCATGGAAAGGCCCCATTCCATACCCCTACCACCCTAATCTAATGCCTTGATGGCAGAAGAATTACGATGACCGTAGCTATTCCATGACTTTGTGTAAAGGGGTTGTGCTAATTGTGTTTAATATGTTTTAATGATTAATTAGAATGATATCCCCATTGCTGTTTAGTCTACCCGTACCTACTGTGATGGCATCTGTCTGTGCTTGCCCGGACCCTGTTGTGTGTGTATGCTAATTGGTTGCTGCCATTTTATTTATTTCTCCCAGATTCCTCCTCTCAGTTTAGTAACCATGGTAACCACCTGCCTAAGGGCGGGACTCCATCGTCCAAGAGTCGTAGCTCTAGTAAGTCGGCCCCCGCGGTCAGTGGGCGGGGTCACCAGTTGGGTCCCGCGTCATCCTCGTCCTCGTCATCTGCTGATAAGCCAGTTCTCGCTAAAAGTCAATCTAGTCTAGGTTTGCTTTTCTGTTCTGCCTCTTTCGTTGCATCCATTCACAATGTTCTGCTTCTGTTTACACAAGTGTTCGAAACTAAGGAGGAATCACTCGGGGTCCTAGTTGTAAGCAGTGTTTGCATTTACGGCGTCCCATTTACAGAAATATGTACTGAAAAGAAATGGGACGCGAAAAAAGAAACCTACATTACATGTTTTTCATTTTGAAAAAATAGTTTACTGTACACATAACTTAATGTTTTTTTGTTTCGAGTTTCTCTCACCTCCCAAAATCCATGTGATCCACATGAAGACAGACACTTAAAAATTTCAACCAGACACTTTATTTGTGCTCAGAATGGCAGGGGGGCGGTCGGGTAGCCTAGTGGTTAAAGCGTTCGCTCGTCACGCCGAAGACCCGGGTTCGATTCCCGACATGGGTACAATGTGTGAAGCCCATTTCTGGTGTCCCCCGCCATGATATTGCTGGAATATTGCTAAAAGCAGCGTAAAACCTCATTCACTCACTCACTCACTCACTCAGAATGGCAGGTTAAAATTCACACATTCACCATTCGTGCCTACAGTGACTGTGGGTAACGCGTCCAGGGGGACCCCATTATTTTAGAGTCCAAACACTGGTAAGCAATGTCCAGAACAAAACATGGAGGTCCATAGGTTAATCTAAAGGACCTTGGATCACCTTAGTTTCGAACACTGCACTTGCTGTGAGGTCACATGGACATGCCTGAGTTAGACTATACTGATGGTAGGAAATATGGGAACATCTAACAATGGATATAAGGAGTTGGTGCAAAGTGCTGTGTGTACTATGAGGAAACTGGGTATTTTTCAGAATCTAGTGAACGTATCAAATACTATTGTTTCACTCCAACTCCAACCTGCAATATTTCTTCTGTTCCCATATTTAATTCCATCAGTGTAATTGTTATGTATTGTTGGTTATGGAGAGGTATCTATCCAGATAGTTGGATTAATGACTGAAACTTGACTGATAGATCCTTGACTGATATACACTTGACTGATGGGTCTTTAATAGATAGATCCTTGACAGATAGATACTTGAGTGTTGGACCCTTCACTGATAGTTCCTTAACTGACATATCCTTGACTGATAGATCCTGGACTAATGGCCCTGACTGACAAATCCTTGTCTGATGGCTCCTAGACTGATAAATCCTTGACTGACAAATCCTAGACTGATAAATCCTTGACTGATAATAGATCTTTGACTGATTGATAGATCCTTGACTGATTGATGGATCCTTGACTGATTGATAGATCCTTGACTGTTAGATCCTTGATTGACAGATCCTTGACTGATAGATCCTTGATTGAGAGATCCTTGACTGATAGATCCTTGATTGACAGATCCTTGACTGATAGATCCTTGATTGAGAGATCCTTGACTGATAGATCCTTGACTGATAGATCCTTGATTGAGAGACCCTTGACTGATAGATCCTTGATTGACAGATCCTTGACTGATAGATCCTTGACTCTTCCTGCACCTGCATGTTCGACCTCCTTGCTGTTTCTGTGTTGAATGTGTGTCCTATAGTGTTTGTTGTTGGGTAGAGGCTCAGCCTGGTGTGTACTGTTTCTCCATGCGGCGTGCATGCTGGGCCCAAGGAGATTCAGTCTCCTTTCAATCAGATCTATTGCTCCAATATGACACCTCTCTGCACGAAGATCCGCATGAGACGCCTCCATAGAAGATTGTGTCAGTTGAACCATCTAATCAGCCAACCAGTGCCAAGGATTCTAAATTCTTGATGTAAGTCAGTTAAGCTTTCAAACAAGCATATCTGACTTCTGTATCTCTAAAACGAATACAATTGGGGAGTTCTGACTGCCCAAAATAAAGCCGCATGGCTGTATTGTTGTGGATATACTATGCACCCTGTAGTTTCTGACGGGCGTGTCATCCCAAGGGAATACGATCGAAGGAATATTTGTGTTTGAGTAGATTTTCATTTGTACAATGGAGCTGGTAAAGAATAAAGTTGAAATGTTTTAGAAAGCTGGCATTTGATTGGCTCAAGAGTCCATGTATGCTTCAATATCATTGGGCAGTCCCGGTTCTCTCCAGGTCCATCTGACACGACATTCTATGGAGGTGTTCGTAGGTCTGGACTCAGAGAGGTATAGTACCCGAGTACAAGATCAGGTCGTCATAAGATTGGAGGTGATTATTTGACATTGTGGACCTTGTGGGACATCTCAGTTGTGGCCAGCAAATTAATCTGTAGCTAACTATTTACGCATCACATTTTGTATGGTCTTCTGTGATATGCACACATGTTCAGGGAATGATTATTGCTTGAAGATATGCATGTTTAATGTAACACATGGACACTGATATGACAGACAATTATACATGTCGTATGATTTGAAATTCTCTTTTTTGTAATTTGGTCAGTACTGTCAGTGACATACAAAGAATACAAAACATGCTAGATTCTGAAAAGTTTTCTTTTTTCATAGAGAAAAGCTAAAATCATATCAAGAAGGGGAAAAATATCCATACGAGGCAAATTCCAGTATTGGTGAATGCTTGTGGTTAGAATTTCAATAAAATATGAAGAAAAATGTTATATTGTTTATTCACCATTTTCACAAGTATTGATTTTTTATGTGAAAGAAATCAAACAAACAAAATCAATCAAACAAATTGAATTTTGTTGTTGAAAGAACAATACTCAAAGGGAGGTAATCCTGATTAGCTGGTATTTTTATTTTTTACATTTTTTGGGGGCACAGAGAAGAATTTAGAGGCTGCAACCATCACTGACCCTGTTAGGAACTGAATTGGTCCCCAGTACCATGTTTGCCATAAGAGCTGACTAAATTTTGATTGGATGGTAATATGTAACCATTGTAACCTAAGTAATGTACTACTAGTGCATCAACCAAGGGTTTGTCTGGCACAGGGCCCTGTTCCACAAACAATCTTAGCGCTAAGGCAATTGTTAGCCTATGTTAAAGTATTGAAATAATGATCTTCTTAGTGCTAGGTAGACTTAACATCTAGTCTCTGAAATGAACGGGCCGTCGGTTAGCCTCGTGGTTAACGTTCGCTCGCCACGGCGAAGACCCGGGTTTCGATTCCTGACGTGGGTACAATGTGTGAAGCCCATTTTTGGTGTCCCCTGCCGTGATATTGCTGGAATATTGCTAAAAGCGGCGTAAAACCATACTCACTCACTCACTCTGAAATGAACATATTTACAGGTACAAACAGTTGTTAAGTTATAGGTATGAAATATAATAAAAAGGAGCCCAGAGACTCTTCATATTCAGCAGTCATCTAGACTTGCTAAATATTATAGACTTGTATGGGTTGTATTGGATATATTTGTTTCAGGGCCTGCATGACAGACATAGACTCTGATATACATAGGCCACCATAATATAACTGATATATACTGTTGACTATGGCATAAAACAACATTCACTTGACTTATGAGCCAAGCTGTAATATTACTGGCTACAGATTAACACCCCATTTAGCCACTCCCATATGCATGGTGATAGTACTAATACGTGTTGTGTTGTTGAACACCCCCAGGGTGTGTCCCACCTTTCCCAGCATGTATCACTGTCCTGAGCTTGTATGATACACTGTTGATGTGAGCACAGTTGTCTCCCTTGCCAGGGATGTCGTCCATGATTAATGGTGTTGATAGAAATAGGATGTTTATGGCTGTTACTAATGTTATTATTCATGGTGAGGGCTAATGAGTTTAGAAAGAGTTTCAGCATGATGTGTTGGGAATGGTTTAAATCTGTGATTCTTTCTTGATACAATAGAATGAAAATTGATAGATATGATTATTACCATGTGTCTATTTGCAAGGTAAATGTGGAAAACAAAATATATACTCGATTCTCATGCCTCCTTCAGCTGATAAAACACTCCTAAAAACTAAAAAGGCATAAAAGTCAATGCTTTTATCGTCTGTTTATATTTTTCCCCCTTATTCAAGCGATTCTAATTTTTAACAAACAATGACTCAATGTAATTTTATTATTGCATTTTATAATTTTGACCCGGGTAGAATTTGATTGAAATCAATATGCGAAAATTTTATGCTTTTTAGTACTTTTCAGAGACAGTTTACCATTGTAAAAGATGTGATGAAGTTTACCATTGTAAAAGATGTGATGAAGTTTACCATTGTAAAAGATGTGATGACTAGTCAAATTCAAGTTTAAAGGGGTGTCTTCTTATATTTCCAACCTGGCAGAGCTATTGTCAGTGTTCACAGGGGTGTTCACAGGGGTGTTCACACATATATTTACTTCAACGTGTGTAACTCTGTTGTCTGTGTTGACACAAATGTTTGCTACACTGTGTGTAACATGCTTGTTTGTGGACCACTGGCATGCAATGATATACCTACCCAGCCATACAGTCAGTCAGTCCAGTAGGAGGACACATGCTTGTGTGGACCACTGGCACGCAATGATATACTTGTACCTACCCAGCCATACAGTCAGTCAGTCCAGTAGGAGGACACATGCTTGTTAATCATTTGCTTTAAATTGCATGTTGAGATAAATATTCTATTTAGTTACTGAGCTTGATATATATAGTAGAGCATCACTTACTGATCAGATAATGTGCATGATTCATTACAGTAAATGCCTGGAGAGTTAGTGTAGGCTGAAGAATAAATGATGTCACAAGTTCACAAATTCCTTTCCAACCATTCTGAATTGAAGGGATGTATCTTCGCCTGCCCAATGATCAGTCTGTAACCCGATGTTTGCAGAAAATGTCCGTACAAATTCCCAAATTGGTGTTAAAATTTCCAAATTTATTGTGTTGTATTTGTAACTAATGACATGGATTTGTAGTGAATTGTATTTCACTGACAACAGGACCAGTGAAGAGGAAGTGGCCTTACTGAGTGAGTGAGTGAGTTTTACGCCGCTTTTAGCAATATTCCAGGAATATCACGGCGGGGGACACCAGAAATGGGCTTCACACATTGTACCCATGTTGGGATTCGAACCCAGGTCTTCGGCGTGACGAGCGAACGCTTTAACCACTAGGCTACCCGACCGCCCCCTTACTGCTTAGTTTGACATTATTGCAATTATGCAATGTCAAAGTACAATATTAAATATTTCTGGATTTAAGAAAGTAGCAAATTTATGTTAAAAATTCCAAATTTTAAATGTTTTTTTTTTTTTAATTGACCCCAAAGGGCATTGTAGGAACTCTTTTAGATAAATCCCTGAAAAATCTGACAAATGTTTTGTCAGCTTTGTGAATTGTGAACTTCTGACAGTGCTTTGAGTCATGTTATTCCCTAGTGTTATACCCTGTCTCTTCCTAGTCTGTAGGAACTTGGCTTTTTCTGTAGTTTATTTGAGTCTATATAGGTACACTGATGATTTAGGACGAAGGACTTGAAGCTAGGTGAACGGTTTGACAGTATGCTGGATGTTGCTTGTGTATTTCAGCTTCCGCCATGTTTGGTGAGGACAGCACCCAGCAGTCCTTCAATGACAGTGAGAACATGAATGAGGACTCCAACATGTCCTTCCCGGATCATTCTGTCCCGGACTTTTCCCAGGACAGCAATGATGTGGATCCAGATCTCAGAGTGGGGTTGTGTAAGTGTGCTGTAGGTCCAGATCTCAGAATGGGGTTGTGTAAGTGTGCTCTAGGTCCAGATCTCAGTGGGGTTGTGTAAGTGTGCTCTAGGTCCAGATCCCAGATTGGGGTTGTGTAAGTGTGCTCTAAGTCCAGATCTCAGTGGGGTTGTGTAAGTGTGCTCTAGGTCCAGATCTCAGAGTGGGGTTGTGTAAGTGTGCTCTAAGTCCAGATCTCAGTGGGGTTGTGTAAGTGTGCTCTAGGTCCAGATCTCAGAGTGGGGTTGTGTAAGTGTGCTCTAGGTCCAGATCTCAGAGTGGGGTTGTGTAAGTGTGCTCTAGGTCCAGATCTCAGATTGGGGTTGTGTAAGTGTGCTCTAGGTCCAGATCTCAGAGTGGCGTTGTGTAAATGTGCTTTCGGTCCAGATCCAAGATTGAGGTTGTGTAAGTGTGCTGTAGGTCCAGATCTCAGAGTGAGCTTGAGTAAGTGCGCTCTAAGTCCAGATCTCAGAGTGGGGAAGTGTATGACTGCTCTCCTTCATAGGACTATGTATATGGTGTAATTCAACATGTTAAGAAAGAAAGAAGCTCACACAGCAATTTTCTTCATATGTAGAAACTTAAAATATACTGTAGGACATTAATTAGAATAATATTTGTCCCAGAAACCTACAATTATGAAGTAAAATCCAAATGGAGCCCATATCATTCTAGGCTTTATTTCAATTTCAATTCTATTTTTTTTTTTTATTCATAGTAATAATAGATATCCCCGTTTAATCACTTTAAATATATTCTCATGGGTCTGGGACAACAAAATGATGTGAGGCAGGGGTAATCGTATGTGGGGTGGGTAGGAATGAAAAGCTAATAGTTATTATATTTCGGCATTAATATCTTTACCATGGTTCCTGTTGACTTAATACTGATGTTCTCTTTTTCCTGTATCAGCCATGAGCCTGAGCCGAGACGAGGACAAGTCACTGAAAGGAGATGAAACTAACGGTAGGTGTGGGGAAAATAGTATATCTCACAATATTCCATTTAAACATGCAATGCACAGCAACTTTACTTGGCCACACAGTAGTGATTTTTCAGTATGAGGTTCGACCAACAGGACTCACCACAATCAGAATATGTTCTGAAATGTTTTTAGGTTTTGTTGGATTGGATGGGAAGAAATATAAGACAAAAATCTTTTTAAAAAGTAGCCACAGTAACTGTTTGACTTCAGACATAATAAACAAATTTTATATTTGGAATAACACTTTCTTAGTAAAGTACAGATTCTAGTCCTTTGGGTTGAGTCCCATCAATCTAACCCAGTCAGCCACCTAGGCTTCCATAATAATGAAAGTCTGACAACTGGTAGTCTAGATCACATACTTTGTGTACCCCTCTGACACATGTAAATTGACAAGGCTCCCATCGCTGAAAGCTATGAATACACAATGCCTTTTAGAAAGTAAGACATAATAGTTGAATGCATCGTATTCTACTGAAAAATAGTTAAGGACCATCTGATTCTTTCATATTACTATCGTTAATCTGTCAAGGCAGAAAAACCAGCATTGTAATAACATCATATATTATAGTAAAAGGTGAGAATAAGGGGGGCACGGGTGGCCGAGTCGTCTAAGGCGCTGCGTTTTGCTGTGCAGAGTTGCGTCCCTTGGGCACACCAGAAACCTACGATTGTGGGTTCAAATCCTGGTTCGCCCTGATTATGTTTCTAGGTTTGTCAGCACCATACCCGTGCTGTGGGTTTCACTGAAGTGGTAAACGTCTGACACCTGCATCACTTCGGGCTTTCCTCACACATTAAGCTGACACGCTGCGATATAACTGGAATATTTTTAAAAGCGGTGTTAAACCCAACTCACTCTCTTAAAGGTGAGAATAAGATTTCCCAGTCTGACGTCACACAAGCCCTATTTCACGGTTTATATGCAGTGTTTGAAATAAAGTTGCCAGGCTGCCAGATTCTTTCATATTACTATAGTTAATCTGTCATTGTATCAATCAAGTGATCCCTAACCCTTTAGTTGGTATATATATATAGTCTCTAGTCACAAACGAAGACTACAAAGCCTTCTCTGACAAAAATAAGTTTATGTAAACATGGTATACGTTAATGCAAAAGTATTGAAAGCTTTAAATAGAATCTGCTGACCAACAATAATGTATTTCCAATTCAGTGACTAACAATCAGTTGTGTTGATGACAGCATCTTTAGGTACACTGTCGTGATTAGAAAGTTGTCAGCCATACAGTTTCTTGTTATTAACTTCATAAACAAATAAGAAATATTGAACTTCACAACAGCTACCTACCCATCATGCCCTTGGTATTCAGTTAGTGAGTGAAAGAATATTTTTATAAACTGTTCAAAATAAGCGCCTGCCCATAGGCCCATAGCAGGTAAGTCTTATGTTGGGCCGGTAGTTTCAAATTTGTATGGGACCCTATGACCTGCAGTAAATTTATGTGTCAATTTATTTAGTTTTAAATATGAGGCCCTGTGGATCCTGATGGCTGGCATCTTTATATATATTTCAAACACTGCATATTAACCGTGAAATAGGGCTTGTGTGGTTTCAGACTGGGAAGTCTTATTCTCACCGTCGACTATGATATGTGATATTCATTGGATGCTGTGGGAGATCTCGCTGACCGGAATATGGACTGGTGCCATGATGTCATATTTGAAGATGGGATGGGTGGATGCAATCTCATTTAAATCAGGGCCCACTTGCACAAAGGGATCTTAGCGCTAAGATGATCGTAACTACCATACTTTAACATGGGCTTACAATAGTCGTAGCACTAAGATCGCTTTGTGCGATCGCTACCACTACACTAAGATCTAAACGCATCTTATTACAAGTCACATGTGAACTTTGACGGACCAATGAAATGACTAACAGGAATTTAACACTGGCCAATCAGAAAACAACTTCAAGCACCGCATATAAACAGTTAAATAGGGGTTGTGTGGTCTCAGACTGGGAAATCTTATTCTCACCTTTGACTATAATATGTGATGTTATTTGAATGTTGTTTTTTCTGCTGTATTGGGTGATCATGTGACAAAGGACAAATTAACTATTAACACACAAGAAAGTGGTCAAATGTAACAAATGTTATATTTGGGATGACACTTTCTTAGTAAAGTACAGATTCTCATACTTTTGGGGGTCGAGTCGAAACCCGGATGCAAACCCACACTCCCAAAGTGAGGCAGCTAGTCGCCAGCAAACAAAGTCAGCGATCTTATCCACTCAGCCGCCAAGGCTTCCACAAAAATGAAATTCCGACAACTGGTAGTCTAGATCACATACTTTGTGTACCCCTCTGACAAGTGTAAATTATCACGGACCCAATGGCCAAAAGCTATGAACACACAATGCTATTTAGAAAGTATTCAAATGTTACAAATGTTATATTTGGGATTCACAAAGTATCTGATCCAGACTACCAGTTGTCAGACTTTCATTTTTGTGGTGCCTCACTCAGGGAGTGTGTGTTCCAATTCCGGATGGGACTCAACCCCAGAAAGTACTAGAATCTGTACTTTACTAAAAAAGATTCATTTTAACATTTTTTAAATTGACTATTGTCACAAATTTTATTGATTGTATCATGTGGCATCTAGATCAATCTCATTAAAATCAGACCTTAGTTCTCACTACCGCTAAACAAATATCTGAAGACATCCCATTAGGGGTCACATCAGAACGACCTTTCATCCGACCAATCAGTGCGTCGCTTACCAGATTATTACCACTTTTATGATTATGAAAGTGACAGTCAGAATATGATTTCTAATCATGCAATCTCGAAAACTTTAACATGGGGTATTCCGAACAATAGTTACGGGTTTAACGACTGAATCCTTACAATCTACACCATCGATTAACCATTCCAGAATATATTTTGTTCAGGTTTCAAATTTTTAATTGAGAATTTGTCAAAATATGTTTCGAAGCATAGTCGCCAATTTGAAATTTGTGCCATAAAGCACGAGAAAGCTGCCTTCTGATTGCTCATTCCATTGGTCAGTCAAAGGTCGGTCTGGCGTGACCCGTAATGGGATGTCCTCAGATCTTTGTTTAGCGATAGCGAGAACTTAGATCTGATTTTAATGAGAATGCATCTAGATTAGTAAAAAAAGTCGACATCACCAGCTGGTTACTGGCAGAGAATGCAAGTCAAGTGGTGTGCAGATGTGTTGCGCAGATGTGTTGCGATGTCTTGCTTGGTCTTCCTGCGTTGGCTCTAGAATGGAGGCCATTTTGTAAAGATGGTGTGTCCTGTGTCACATGATTCACAGTTAGAATTCTTCATGCTAAAACTCTTCACTACCGCCAATTTACAGTTAAATCAAACTCACTCACTTACTCCATGTTTATTCCATCACAGATTCAGAACCCCCAGTGTTGGAGCCTGAACTCGACCAGCCTCCCAGCAAGCGCTCCCGCTCAGACACGCCCACTGCCAGCTGATGACGTCACTGCTAGTCATGTCATTGTGTAATGCATTGTCATTGTCATGTCACGGTTTGGGGATCAATGTCAGTACACTGGTAACAGTGTTCAGGGTGCCGTTGTACAAAACAACCTTAGCGCTAGGACTGTCATAAGTCTATGTTAAGGTGTGGGAGTTACGATCACCTTAGCGCTAAGATTGCTTTGTACAACAGCACCCTGGACTAGGTTGAAACTGGACAAGTCACAGTAATGTCGGCAACAAGCTCCTGTATGCTGTAACAAATCTCCATGCATTGGACACTTTTACTATTTTACTTATGTTCATCAGTTAGATTCCGACTTTAGACTGTCATTGTCACACCTGAATAAAAGGGGTTAGTTTTGTATGTGCCTGTGACTGTCAGGTGAATCAGTGGGGATAGTTTTGTATGTACCTGTGACTGTCGGGTCTGGTGTGACAGGTGAATCAGTGGGGGTAGTTTTGTATGTACCTGTGACTGTCAGACCTCGTGTGACAGGTGAATCAGTGGGGGTAGTTTTGTATGTACCTGTGACTGTCAGACCTGGTGTGACAGGTGAATCAGTGGGGATAGTTTTGTATGTACCTGTGACTGTCAGACCTGGTGTGACAGGTGAATCAGTGGGGGTAGTTTTGTATGTACCTGTGACTGTCAGACCTGGTGTGACAGGTGAATCAGTGGGGATAGTTTTGTATGTACCTGTGACTGTCAGACCTCTTGTGACAGGTGAATCAGTGGGGATAGTTTTGTATGTACCTGTGACTGTCAGGCCAGGTGTGACAGATGAATCAGTGGGGGTAGTTTTGTATGTACCTGTGACTGTCAGACCTGGCGTGACAGGTGAATCAGTGGGGATAGTTTTGTATGTACCTGTGACTGTCAGACCTCGTGTGACAGGTGAATCAGTGGGGGTAGTTTTGTATGTACCTGTGACTGTCAGACCTGGTGTGACAGGTGAATCAGTGGGGATAGTTTTGTATGTACCTGTGACTGTCAGGCCAGGTGTGTCATCTGGATCAAGGGGGGTAGTTTTGTATGTGCCTGTGACTGTCAGGTGAATGAGTGAGGGTAATTTTGTATGTACCTATGACTGTCGGGCCTGGTGTGACAGGTGAACCAGTGGGAGTAGTTTTGTATGTGCCTGTGACTGTCGGGCCTGGTGTGACAGGTGAACCAGTGGGAGTAGTTTTGTATGTACCTGTGACTGTCGGGCCTGGTGTGACAGGTGAACCAGTGGGAGTAGTTTTGTATGTACCTGTGACTGTCGGGCCTGGTGTGACAGGTGAACCAGTGGGAGTAGTTTTGTATGTGCCTGTGACTGTCAGATGAATCAGTGGGGGTAGTTTTGTATGTGCCTGTGACTGTCGGGCCTGGTGTGACAGGTGAACCAGTGGGAGTAGTTTTGTATGTGCCTGTGACTGTCAGATGAATCAGTGGGGGTAGTTTTGTATGTACCTGTGACTGTCGGGCCTGGTGTGACAGGTGAATCAGTGGGAGTAGTTTTGTATGTGCCTGTGACTGTCAGATGAATCAGTGGGGGTAGTTTTGTATGTACCTATGGGGGTAGTTTTGTATGTACCTGTGACTGTCAGGCCAGGTGTGGATCTGGATCAATGGGGGCAGTTTTGTATCAGAATAAGCTGGAATCCAAACTTCTATAATTTGATATTGGTTTGATTGGAGCTAATAATATTCAATGGCTGGCCTTAAAAGCTTGTAAATCAATTTCTAGATCATGGACAGAATATGTCTAGTCAACAGTGACATGCACACCCATGTATGAAAAATGAAATGTCTGGTTTGAGAGAAAATTTTCAGCAAGGGAATTTATTCAATATAGATTAAAGGAGGACTACATCTGAAGGTGAACCAGTATCTGTTTGTAAAGAATCTGATCTTTTACACGTATTTCCTTCAGACTTCTGTGTTTGTGACAGCTCTACACATTGTTAGGTACACTGGCCAATGACTTGTTAGTTATGGCCGATACTGCTGATGTTTGTATGAAGTTTTGCCATAATGCTCGTCATCAACCATGGGCATTAGCCTTGCAACATTTATATCAACATGAATGATAGAGTGGAAGAACATGAGAAAATAAAGTTGAAATTATAAACTGTGTTCTTGTAGTCTGTTGCCTGACCGATGTTGTACTAATGGTAAAAATATTTCTAACAGTGCCAGACTGCCATTCACTCACTTCGGGATTCCGGGTTTGAATCGGTCCCAAGCAACCTATGCTGGTTGTAAGAGGCAACCATATTGATTTCTGGATTGTTTGATCCAGACTTGATTATTACTTCGTTGGGCGGGGGATATAGAAACGGGCTCCATCTGTCCGTCACGTTTCGTTTCCGGAGCATAACTCAGAAACTGTTCAATATTTTTCCATGAAACTTTGCATGTCTGTCAGGTACATGCTGATCTGGTGCCTTTTGCTATTTAGAAATTTTAGAAATGTTTATTTTTTACGTTTCCATGGCAACAACATGGACTTAGGTTCCAAACACTTCTTTTTTTTACAATTTCCATGACAAGTTCCAGGTTATGGTTTGTCTAGATTTAATTATGTCATAAATTCTGCAACAGGGGTGTGGGATATAGCTACGTTAGTGGCAAACTCTTGTTTACAGCTTGAATAATGCCAAGTGTGCTGCCTGTCTCACATTTATGGAAAATGGAAAAAAAGTTGTATTTGTTAACGTTCATCAGCTGATGAAGACAGTGCCTCACGTGACAAATTCTATGATGTGCGAAGTGCTTCATGACAGATTTGCTCATGTGAGGCATGTCAACAAATACAACTTCAATCCTTATATTGACAGATACATAAATCATAACAAAACAATCCATTAAACATCAATCTTTAATTATCTAAAGCGGACTATATGAACGCAGAGGGTCGTCCCAAACATTCCATTTTGAGTGACATCCCTTGGTTTTACAAACGGCAGAAATGGCAATGTCATTCACTTGAAATAGAAGTTGCACCCAGTAAAGTTGGCATTGGAAAGAAATCCAGACCGGGCTGAAAATGGATTGATGTTACCCGGTAACGTTCTGCGAACTCTTGGTGATTGTTTGAGTCATACTATGGCTGCTGATGACGGGGATTACCGCTTGAGGCGCCGCATTTGGATTACCCGAAGCAATACACAAGTGTGGAGCCCAGTGATTTCTTTTGGTAAGTCGAGCATTCTCTGTTATAGCTTCGAATGGACGCTTCATTTCAGTGACCCGACATATAAATGATCTGTCTGGCTTCAAAGCCTGCATCATTCATAGCCTGAATCTCAGTTTTCCCCAATGATTTTTAATGTTATTTTTAGACATTGAGGAATTCCCCTAAAGTAGTTCTGTATGTCTCCGCTCACGTGACATACTGACGTTCATCGGGAAATGAACGACCGTCAGCTTGGTAGTGTTCACCTAGGCGAGGTCACCCGCTGCTGTCAATATATATGAAGATAAAGTGCATTATCAGACGTAGTTCTGCAACTCCTAACCCTTCTGGATTCTGGGTTAGAATTGGTCGCTAGGAAACGGATCGGGTGGTCAGGATTGGAGATTTGGTTGATGGCCTGCATCATACCAAGACAGCATTAATTGTTAATCTGGAGCAATACTGAGTGCAGCATTAAACAACTCACAAAGCAAACCTTTCTCAGCATCTACACTCTTACCTATTGCAAGATAGGGGTGGAACAATACATCGGTGCATTGTGTATTTTCATGCAACAATACAAAGTGATACACTTGCTAAAATTGATTACTTATGACTAGTTTAATGAGCCCCGACCCCAGCGTTTTTGTTGGGCAACTATTGCAAAAATAGCAGCTATGAACAAGTCTACGCTAGCTTATCCTTTGGAGTGAGTACAGTTTTACGCCGCTTATAGCAATATTCCAGCCATATCCCGGCAGGACACCAGAAATGGGCTTCACACATTGTACCCATGTCGGGAATCTAACCCGGGTCTTCGGCGTGACGAGCGAGTGCTTTAACCACTAGGCTACCCGACCGCCCCCTTCTCCTTTGGAACCTCTGAATCTTTATAGTCAAGACATTTCCCTGTGATTTGATGTACCTATACCTATTGCGATATGTATTGTATCATGACCTCTGTATCATGATACATGTCGTATCAAGACCTTGCTGTATCGTTTCATCCCTATTGCAAGGGTTACTGTGTTTTTTCATAGAAAACAAAAAATAACAATAGATATTTGTTAACAAAATGGCTTTATTGCCTATTAAGCTATGAGTGATTTTACTATAACAGATTAGGTACAAATTCATATGGTTATATTTCAAAGGACAGTTGACAGGACAGCAGAGATAAGAGAAGACACGGAAAGACAGAAACACACGTTCCTCTACACACTATAATCATAATACTGACAGTTGTGTGGAATATGTTATATGTCAGAAATCACAAGAATCTTGATTCTGGAAATAGAGTCAATAGATTCGAGTGATTTCTCCGACTTAAACCATGTTATAGTTGATATATCATTTCACTATAACTTTTGGATAATGACTTAGTGTTGCATTACCGGTAGTTCTTAAAATGCATGTTCAGAACGGCCAGTGAATTCCAAGTCCAGAATCACCTGCAACAATAATAGCACAACGTCTTAATGGTTCAACAGAAAATAATTGGAAGTCAAAACATTTATGACTTGTAATGCTCGAAATATCACCACAAATATTAGATTCAAGTGTCTCCATTGATCTTTGAATAAAATATTAATAGTGATAGATTCACATGACACGAATACACATGCTTATCGTGTCAAGTAATACCAAAATCGGAAGGGTAAAATTTAACAATTTGGATTAAAAACTAAATTTTATAACCAACTTGTAAAACCCTTCTCTATAGTCATGATTCCTCACACTATATAATTATGCAGTACTTGCTGCAGAAAGTACATCAAAATCACAATGAAAATGTAAAGGCTAGTAAATACTGTTATTGCCTGGGCAGGCATATATATATTTTTTTAATACCAGCTAGTCTGAAAAATGAAACCTCAGTGTTTATTTTTCTGCAAGAGGAACTGAAATGTCCCTTCAAGAGCGAGACATTCAGTGATGATGATAAAGTTTGTGTGAAACTATAGCAGTATCCTACAGAATCCACTTTAGTGACATCAACATTATTAATGACAATACATCATCTGTCTTAAATACATGAAAGTTCGAACTGAACAACTGCACGACGGTGAAGAGATACAGACAGGGAGACAAGAACAGATGAAGAAATGCAAGCTGTACAGGTGATGGAGATGATGAAACTTCACCATCCTCACCAGTCAAGGAATAGCCTAAGGTACAAGAAATTTTAGAACTGCTGTTGTAAACAACATTACAAAATGGCATTCTACTGAGATGATCGATATGTATCTTTCTTTGACTTAACCACAACCTCTCTCTTCCCCCCACCCCCCTCTCATGTAGGTTACCTGTGAGTACCAGTCAGTGTTTGTACAAGGAAGTTACACCCGTTACACCCGCTCAAAGCCAATTTGATGCTGAATCTCAGATATCAAATCAAGTTTGTTTGTTCCATGATAAAGGACAGAATTCATGCTCAGTGTAGTTTAACAACAAAACACTATGTACTATTGACTGACTGGACTATTCACACACCAATACAGAATGCACAAAGGTGTTTCACATGGGCAAAAACAGGTTGGCTAACTCCATAAAGTTTTCACATACAAATATTTGTGGCAGACGCAAGTGAAAATCATGTGATATCTATGCAGTATCTGATTGGTTGTAAGCAGCCATTCACACATCAAAATCTAAGGAAGAGAATATATGGATGTCAACTTCTTTATTATTAGGAACACAACTTTTCGGAGTAAGCATATACTCCTAAATGTTGTGTTCCTCATAATAAAGAAGTTGACATCAATAATCTCTTCCTTATGTGAATCACTTCTAAAGGCCTTTCAAAGACCTGATCAAAATCTAGTTTGAAAAATGTTGGCCAAATTATTGGTGAAAATAGTAACCGATTTTTTCTCTCGCTAACAGTTTGTCAAACTCTTGAAATTGAAATTGCAATGTTCACACAGTCAAACGTATGTTTGTCAACACAAACTGCAAACATAAATTTGTTGAGTGAAGCCACCTTAGGACAAGCATGATCGTTTGCGACTGTCAAACCTCCTTGTCTCGTATCAGAAGGCACCAATGATTCATCCAAAAACATCAGGACATCAGTATACCACTAAATACCATTTTGAATATTCTATTAAAAGACGAGATTTTCACAAGATCAGTCATCTTTCTTGGCGCCGTTGTACAAAGCGATCTACCTTAACATAGACTTACGACAGTCGTAGTGGTAAGGCTTCTTTGTACAACGGCACCCTGGTGCGTAACGCAAGCATCACTTGAACCGACTCACCAGTAATGGTACGATCATTACCAGTGAATTTGTTCCGGAAAAACAGATTTGACAGTCCCAACTACACACAAAACCTGTATTCCAATTGACAGCAAATTATAAATATGGATGGAATTTGTGAACTTTATCAGAATGGACCAATGACAAACAGGACAATATGGATACCTACACCCTGACATTGGTGTGATTGCATGTGTAACCCCTAGCAACGAGTCCTGGACTGGCGAGGATGAAGTACAGAATGTCCCTGTGGGACTAGCACTAAAGCAGCACATACGAAATATATACATCAATGCTGAATACATCTGTGGCGAGTCACACAGTTATACAATAGATAGGTGTACAGATAGATACACTGTGCATACAATGCACCTGGATATTCACAATGAGAACACTCACCTAACTTTGTACATAAAGGAGCGCTCGAAACTAAGGGGGTCCTAGGGTCCTTGAGGATTGCTCTATTAGCATTTGAATCTAGGGACCCCCTCAATCATGAATCTACGGACCCCTCAATCATTAGGGCACTGACAAGGACCCCATGACTTTCAAACTGTTAAGTTTAACATTACAAAATTTCAACCAAAACCAAAGTTGAACTGACAGCAAATATAAAGACTCTTGTTCGAAACAATCTGTCCCACAATCAAGGTATTTTCTGGACGAGTATGAGTTTCCTATAAACAGTTTTCATATTTAATTTTACTATTCAGGTGAGAGTTGGGAAAGTAATTTTCCCAGGTGATGAAGAAAAAAAAGGATTAGAGAAAGATATAATAAACTTGCAGCTGACAATGTATTCAGCAAGGACACTGGCCAAATTCTGTGTGATGATAAAAAATGATGAACAATAATGAAATGTTATCTAAAAATATGGCTAAAAGAATATACAAAAGCAGGGTTATTTGAGCTAGCTTCTAAGTCATAAATATATCATTTTAACAACTAATCCCCACTTTGTATTTTCAGTCTAAATCTACTGAGCAACACGTATGGACTCCTCCTTCTGGTCAGTCTGTTTCATAATACTCTTCCATTCTTAGAAGCCCCTCCCTAGAGGTGTGAGCAAGTTATTCCTACATGTAAACTGCTATGGTTGGCTGGTTTGTTGTTAAACACCGCATTCAACAATATTCCAGCTATATGGCGGCGGTCTGTAAATAATCTAGTCTGAACCAGACAATCCAGTGATTAATATCATGAGCATCGATCCACCCAATTGGGATATGATGATATGCATCCACCAAGTCAGCGAGTCTGACCACCCGATCCCGTTAGTCGCCTCTTATGACAAGCAATAAACTGCTATGGAATGAATGTAAGGCACATTGGCCTTAACCTTTGAGGAATTCTTATTAACCTGAAACTGAGGTATAAATATGACAATGTTAAACCAGGGATTCAACTTAACAATACCCTGAGTAGTTTGCCAATGTTAACATGTCCCAAGGACTAGTAGAATGTCGGGGTTTCAAGGCACCCTTACATGTTATCACTGTTTGTAAACGTCAGGTTAATTTCTATCCCTGTAAACCCTGTAATATTCACATGCACATCAGCTGGATATTAGTCACGGTTTCCCATAGATTGTACTGGGATACACTGTTTTGCTGTCACTAATGTATCTGAATGATATTTGGATATACTTTTACCATAAATGCGATCACACAACCATTATCAATATGCTATTCAAAAGAAGTTAAAGAACACCCAATTCTTTCATATTACTGTAGTTATCTTTCATTTGAGTAGAATATTTGCAGACTGTATTAACTGTTATTGGAAGAGATAGCCTATAAATACTGGCACTGGCATTTTATAAGCAATCGTCAGAAAAAATCTGAAACAAAATAATTCAAGATGCAGAAGCTTTAGCAATTGTCGAAAAATAAACTAATATCACAATATTAACAAAATGCCTATTTAAAATCCCTTAGCAAAGATGTAATAAAATGTAGCAAAAGAACTAAAACATGAGAGTATTTCTGATGTCATCTAGGAATACAAATGAATGTGTGCTTCTGGAAGTAACCAAATCACAGGTAATATATATATATACACAACTAGTGTACAATCTGTCAAACTGAAATGCCACAGCACGACATGTCTACAAACATTGTTAATATCATGAATACTGATGCTCTATGATGCATTGTCATGGCAACACAGGTCATGTGACATCACAACGCTACTACAGCACAAAGTCTAGCACTTTTAGTACACAGTGGTCTCGATTCTTCGCCGCGCTTGAGTTCGAACTTTCAGGCTGCCATTTGTGATGGGTGATGCTGGTCGCCTGAAAGCAGAAGGATTCAGAGAATGGCAATCACAGACAATTTTAGGTGTGGTATTTCAGTTAGGTCACAATAAAAACATTTTGTTTCAGGCAACCCCCTAGCCTGCAAAATAATTAAATAAGACTGAAAGGTTTGTTAGAACCATTAACATTCTTATTTTTTAAAATGTAAATGTCCCCAAATCAACATGTGTATGTTTGTTGATCTGTAAACATTTGCAGTTGATCATATATGAATCTTCCTACCCACTCAGTCTCATAGGACCCGAGTCCCTTGCCATACACAAAATAGTATCACTGATGGCCTCATCTGATAAGTGATTGCACAACCATGCTATTTCAAACCAGAATCTCTCAAACAAAGGTTCCATAATACAGTCTGTCACTACCTTTGGTCAAGATATGCAAATCAACCTTTTTGTTTTCCGAGATAGTGAAGTGTGTGTTACCTGATCTTGGCCCGGTCTCGGAGCGTGGTGGGCGTGAGGGCGGCCAGTGCCTGCATGTTGGCTGTCAGTGCCTCCACTTCCCGTCTCAGGCGTGTCGGTGTCTCCACCATCTGTCTGCAATATACATACATCACACTGATACACAGACTCATACATGGCTCTGAAAAACATACTTTAGGACCCTCTTTTTTTAAGCAATTGGAACATTCTTGCATATTTTTCAATATAGGGTTGTATTTGAACACTTCAACATCATTACCCTCAAGCCAGTAGCTATTGCTGGGCGGTTTTGTTATGTGACGTCTAGTTTTGTCAACAAGTTTGTTTGTTTGTTGTTTTACTGCTGCTCAGCAATATTACTCTATATGATGTCAATCTGTATATAATCGAGTCTGGACCATACAATCCTGTGAATGACACCACGAGCATCGATCCTCACAATTGGGATCGATGACATGCATCAACCAAGTCAGCAAGCCAGACCACCCAATCCCGACATCTCTTAGGACAACCATAGTCGCCTTTTACAGCAAGCATGGGTTGCAGAAGACCTATTCTACTCCGGATCTTCACAGGTCTCTTCAACAAACATACGCAGAGACTAAAATGAAACTATCAACCAAGTCACCAAGCCTGACACCCAATTAATATAAGCTGCTCTTACAGACAGCATAGGTTGCTGGGGACCAGTTCTAACACAGAACACCCACATTCCTAGACGTCCAATCACATCAACCTCATCTGCCATAAAGGAAACAAAGCCTACCCTTTGCCCATACGGGGTCCATGTCTGGGTGCCTTCACAAGCTCCTTAGGGGTCTCTATGTAGAAGGGGGAGTAGATCTTGGTGTTTCGGTACGGAGGGGTCTTCCCAATGGTTCTCTTCCCCGCCCGAGTGGGTGTCCGTGGCGACATGCCTTTCTTTTCCTTCAGTCTCATCTTCCTGCGGGTCGACATGCGGAATTTCTGGAAAAGAATTAAACAGATAATTATCCTGATTACACTTAGAATAATCCTTAGTCTCTGAAAAAATACAATTATGATTTAGAAATGCAATTACATTTAAATTGAAAAGGAGAACCAGTCAGATGGGAGGATTCAGAACCTGAACTTGTGGAAAATTTAGACTTACTTCATATAGAGCTATAGGCATAGCATTATAGTAAGGGCTGATAGGAGGGGAAAATATTTTAGTTGAGGAACTGAGACCTACATTTAATCAAATCAGCTTTCACTGAAAACTTGAATGAATCTAATGATATGTTATTGTATTGTTTGTTTGTTGTTTAATGCTGCACTCAGCAATATTCCAGATGTATGACAGTAGTCTGAAAATAATAATGTCTGGACCAGACATTGACACCATGAGCATCAATCTACACAATCGGGATCGATGACATGCATCAACCAAATCAGTGAGCCAGACCACCTGATCCCGTTAGTCGCCTCTTACAACAAGCATAGTACCTCTTATGGCAAGCATGGGTTGCTGAAGATCTATTCTACCCTGGATCTTTACAGGATTAATTGCAAAGACAGACAATCCATGAAAAATAATAATCAAGCACTGCTAATCTTATTTTCCAGCTTGTGAAACCAAGTAAAACCAAACCCAAACAGATTCCAAAAACGTGTGTGTCGTGTTGGTAAGGGTCTAAACAGTCAATTACTACAAGGCATTGTTGAGACATTTCATTATCACTATTGACAACCCTCTGTCTTTAATCTCCTTGTTTATTAGCCCACCACTATCCCTACAGTTGTGGAAAACAAACAATAACAGCTCAACAGGTTTCCATAATCGTGATAATGGGTTTGAAAGTTCACACTTCCTTGCTTATCAAATCTGAAATAGGGCAATATCAGTCTGTATATTCCTCTTGTCATAAGAGGCCAGTGAAGATCCAGGTAGAAAATAGGTTTTCAGCAACCCATCCTTGTCCCTAACAGATGACTATGCTTGTCGTAAGAAGCGACTAACGGGATAGGGTGGTCAGGCTCACTGACTTGGTTTGATGCATGTCATTGTATTCCAATTGTGCAGATGCTCATGATGTTAATTTACAGGCCGACGTCATGTAGATGGAATATTGCTGAGTGTGGCGTTAAACAACAAACAAACATCAAAAGACTGATGATTTGGTACGGATGGTAGTAGTATGAATGTTACTTTGGACAGGGTGACTTGTATTTCCCAGATTACCACGGTTACAGCTTAGCTTGACACTACTGTATTTAATCCAATGCTAAAGTAATGATAATTCCTCTGAATTTATCAAAATAAGGACAAAAACACCTTCCCACCATTGTGCCTTGAGCCAGGCTTCCACTGGTCCTCAGCTGAAAGTCCTAAATACATCCCTGGCATGTTTACTTTGAGCTGCTTGAAGGATTGACACTGATGCATCAAGCCATGTCTCTGATTACTGTCAGTACAACACTAGACACATATCAGGTTACCCCTTCAGGGATTTAACTAAACCTGTGTTCAGAGGCCGATACTCGAACCCAGGTCTGTAAGAAATGTCAGAGCAATTCACAAAATGGAACAAAGAGTTTCCCAATTCATGTTCATATAGTTATAACTAATGTTATGTCTTTCAGGTGGACTTGTATCTCACTGATATTAGGACTCATGGAAGGAGAGGCTTTGATGCATGGTTTTACATTATTGCTTTGAATGCAGTGTTAAAACACCTTTGAATTGCAATTTTATTTAAAAAATGCCAAGTTTGAACAAAATAACTGTTCCCCTCAACTTTTGACAGAAATAATCAGATATGTCAGATATACTGTATTCGACGTTATAAGCGCCCCACTCTAGTAAGCGCCCAAGGCGATATTTGCTAATATATTGGCTAGTGAACAATCCCAATTAGCACTCCTTCCAATTCAGCAATGTACACAAGGCTTATACATTTGTGTATAATTACTCACTTTAGTTTTTATGCACCCTTAATTATTGGCAATTAAATTCTGGAAAAATATATTTGGCGTATATTTGACCACAAAATTTATGATCTTTTACTTCAGTCCCCCCCCCCGCCCTTCTTATTTTTACAGCACCTTGAACGCTTATTACATCAAATACAGTATTTAAATATACATTTGACATATTGTGAGAATCAGTTTTGTGTATCATGGAGAGATAAAAATATTCCCAAAGTATATTTTCTTCCCAATTTGCCTGACAAGGGTCCTCAGTTTGAAATCCCTGCCCTTTCCTCAGACCCCAGCCACATGGCCAGGGAGTCCCACATTTAACACCCAATGATGCAACCCATCTCCAACACTCGTTACAACTCAAACAGCTCCCATGGGGCACCTAGCCCCAGGGCATCAAGACAAGGACTTTGATTAAAGGGGCCAGTATGGCCTTGATGGACAAAGGATGACCTATCCTAGGGGTGTGTGTACAGCCTAATCTCCGGCCACTCAGTGGGGTCCAGAATCCATCTGGGTTGACCGGTCCACAGACTGGACCGTCCAAACTGACCATGTGTTGCAGTGAATAATGTGCATCTATTTAGCATGATGTATGGGCAAATAACCAATTACAGGATTACTTCAGTGTTTACATGGGATGTAAGGGGAATGTTAGCAATTAAATTCAAACATGAACAATGGTAGCTTGAGACCAACTTCAAAGGCTCCCCAAATAAGTTGATGTAAATAGACATTGATAAGTGTGCCTGTTTAAGTAGGGCCATTTTGTTGCCAGACCTCTATTGTTCAAAGAGTATCTAATTTGAGACTGTAGCCATGTGCAAATATGGCTGGCAAGAAATTGTGCAATTGGATTGTCTTAGATGTAATGATGTAACTCTGCGTCATAAATCTGTCAATCATTGGGAAATAAATGAAGCTGAAGTAACAAGTACAGAGCCTAGTTATTTCATACTATTCAAAGTAGTGTGATCTGGATTTTGACAACCTTTCAAATTGCAAAGATAGACACCAAATGTTGTCTAGTTTTGTTGAAAATTGAAATTAGCTCATGTCCCATAGTCCTTGCCAACAGTTAAGTTATCATAAGGATTTGTTGAAATGTGCAATTTTTAAGGGTTTTGCTATATGTTATCATAATAAGGACTAGTCTTTCTTGTTTCCTGTTAACATAGTACATGTGACTACATATCACATTTAAAGTTTGCTTGTTGCGTAGCACCACACTCAGGAATATTCCAGCTATATGACAGCAGTTTGTAAATATTCAAATCTGGACCCAAGAACCCAGTGATTGACATCATGAACATTGCTCTACGCAAATGGCTAACGATGAAATGCATCAAACAAGTCAGTGAGCTTGACCACCTGAGAGTCGCCTCTTACAAGCATAGGTTGCTGAAGACCAGTTCTAACCTGGGTCTTCTCGGGGAACACTTTAAGTAGTAATGTCAGCCACAGGTACATTTCTTTAGAACGTAAGACAAATTTCTAGGCCAATAAGCTAAGATGCAGCTATCAATCCATACACTCATAGTTCATGGGAGATCAAATACAGAGATATATATAGATAACACTCTTGGAAATACATTTGTTCATTTCATTAAAAACTTATTTCCTTTTTGATCAAAAGTCTAGCTTAAAATACAGAACTACCCAATCTGGCATTTGAAATAAGCATAACATAGTAATTTCATTTATAGTATTTACCTTCTTACACTTTACAGTATGCAGATATAGCTTTCCACGTTCATTTGCAAAATTTGATACCATTTTTCCTTAGTTTCAGAAACACCATACTTCTTCAATGATTATCATTGACATCATACTTCTTCAATGATTATCATTTATCAAGTGTTTTGTTAATCCATACTAAAACATATTGCAATTTGCAATAGCAATCAAGTCAGAATGGACAACAATATTAGTTAAACCTTTCTGAACCCTATAAAGCTTAAGTTATCAAAACAATTCTGCAACCAAGCCCATGACACTTTTATTCCCAAAATGTTTAACATCACACTTCAAAATCACACATCTAACAGCTGTGACATGATAGATTTTTTTAGGGAACCTTACAATCACATGGTCATTGTCATTTCACACCTGTTGCCATGTCAATTCTCACCTGGCCACGATGTTACAAGTCCACTCGTCCATATCGTTATCTCTTTGTTCATAGGAACTTAGCTGATCTGTGTGCTTGGGGGTTATACCAATTAGCTAGATTAGGTCAATGTTTACAAATGCATTAAAACTTAGAGGGCTGTTAAAGGGCTTGTTTGAATAAACCTCTCTTATGTACAAAACAATATTTACATAGTAGATTAAGCAGAAACAGACTGTCTGAATGAATCTTCACATTGATTTGTGATGAGATGACTCGATTCTCATTGCCCAAAGGAATCAACGTAGAAACTAACATTTTAAGCCCACTATTCCTTATAATACTTTAACTATTGGGCAGTTTGGCTAGGACCAGTGCCAGTTTTTAACAATCATCATCATCATCATCATCATCATCAGTGCAAAACTTTGTCAGCATCATCTTCAGTGGATCTTCGTGTTACATTCACTAGTTTTAGCTAAGCATAACAGTAGACTGAAAAAAATATTATTAGGTGACGTCTTTGGACTTGTCAACAGACTGATAAGTTGTTTCTCGTGATATTTCACCCAATCTTTATTCCTGTGAATGTTTTGGGATTAGATCAGGGGTAAGGTGACAGCATTAGAAACTGGCACGGGTCCTATAGTCCTAGCCAAATTGCCCAAGAGACTAGTAGAAATTAGCCTGTTTTAAGGGGTTGTGCTATATATTTTCATTATAAGGACTAGTGGACAAAAACTGTTAGTTTCTATCACTGGGTTATATGAAATGGAATTTAATGATTCGTTCAAGATTATTGCACTTATATAGCAACGTGCATATAGCAATGTCAGAGGCTGTTTGTATTACTAACTTGACCAATGCTGGGTTTTAGTGCTAGCCCACTGAGTACCATGGCACAGTTTAACATAGATACCCCTTTCAGACACAGTTTACTGACTCCTAGCCAACCAATCCTTTTTTATGCTTTAATGTCGATCACCGGGCAGGGAAACAACAAGTAGCATATTTTCTGATTTTGAGGGTATGATAAAAATGGATACAAATTTCCTCTGATTCTAAATCAGTATCTCAGATGTACATGGACTGCAATAACATGTCAAACTAAAGATGCAATGTTCATGGCATGTTCATAAAATGCAGTGATAGAAACTAACAGTTTTAGTCCACTAGTGCTCATAATGTAAACATATAGCCAAACCTTTAAAAGGGACAAATTTCTACTAGTCTTTATGATACCTCAACTTTTGGGCAGTTTGGCAAGGACTACAAGACTCATGCCACTTTCTAACGTGTAATGTTTTATTCATGAACAAGTAATGTGCTGACTTGAGTCTGACCTAGTTTGAAAGCAGCCGCTATTAATTCGTAAAACATATCCCCAGGATGGTGACTCACTTAGCATAATGTGAAGTTGGGTCCCAGACAGGATGCCAGCTGCCTCAAGAACAGGTATATTTGGAACTGTAAACATGTGTGCTGTCTTTCTTGGACAATGGTTTTTAACTGATATCTTGAATATTCAAATATTTTTGTGCACATGTTTGCAAACTGACACACAGAAAAACTGACAAGACACAAACCACTGCACATTAAATTGTTATAAATTTTCTGGCTAAATATATTCATACATTTGCCCCACAAAGTTTATTGCTTATCATTTTGACCCAAAAATGACAAGATTGTAACAAAATAAACTTAATACAATGTTCAAATATTACACAAAAATTAAAAAATACTAATTAACCAGAAAATATCAAAGTGTTCAATTCCAATGGCATTTATTTTCCTTCTAGTCTGGCTTGATCATTTTTAGTGTGGGGGTGGGGGTGGGGGAAACACAAAAACCTGTTGGTGATTCAGACTGTCCAGCTGACATCCTGTCACAGAGGATGAAATACAAGCTTAGTTATTAAAACCAGTTTGAAATGTGCGCCCTGGTGACAATAGCCAATTGGAATGTGGTGTCTGACATTGTTACAGTTCTATGACCTATGATGAGCAAGCAGGAGCTGGGAAGCTGGGCTTGAATGGGATGTCTTGTTTCCCAGAACACCTCATTATACTGCTATTCAGGCGTTTCATTGTGTTAATTCCCCAAATTAACTTTTCAAAAGTATGCACTTCAGGAAATGGAACACTAAATTCTAATGCACAATTCATGTTCAAATTTGAAAAAGATTGTAATTAGCTTCTAATGTATCTAGTTAGTGTTATAACAAGGCAGGATGCTGACGGGTCATGTAACCATGATTACAGTCACACTGAGTCAGGGAGATGAGAGTCAAGTGGCCCCTGTCATGCCTGTAAGCTTCCAGTTTCTATAATTAATCACATAAAAACAGATTGGTCTGTAACAGCTTATTTCTGTTTCAAATTCAAATGTAGATACTATTTGTCCGAATTCACTTGACACAAGCAATTGAAACAGAAAATTATGCTACTAGGCCTATAAAGCTTTTGTACAACGGTGTGTTTCAGCTCATTTGATATATATCTTGGTTCCGAGATTCTAATAGTTTGATTATCAATATGAACTTTTGAAGGCTTTAAGTTGCCACACCACTAACTTTTACCATATCATATTTTTGGGTAATTTGATGTCAAATGAAATCAGGCCCATGTCTTACTTTACTTAGATCTAGATGCAGTTTTCCCATACCATAGAAGTACTGATCATTAAGTAATGCATTAGTGATTATGTTTGAAGTCACACTTGATATGGTTAGTTAATGGTAGATGTCTAAATATCTAAAAGCTACTATCAATGTCAATATCCTCAAATGACAAGGCCTAATTTTTAAATGGCGATCAATGAACAATTTAAAGGGAAGGGAAAATCGGGGTTACACATTTCATATGATCTGTTCTCCACAAGTTAATCTGTAATCAACAGCAATAGCGTAAAATATTCCGTCTCACCTGTCTAATGTTTCCCACTGCATCTCTGACGGACTGGGTAACTTTGGAACCACGTCTTGGCAGCCTCACTTCTCCTCGATCATCGCTGTTGGACGAGTTGCCGTCCGAGTTTCGTCGCTTAGCGTATTTTGGTGTACTGAAATAGTCTGTTTGAGTTCCATCAAGAACACTGTACCGTTTTCCACGAATCGACATTCGCAGTGCCTTCTTAATAGTCGCCATTTCACTATGATCGCCGTAAACACGTTGTACAAAAAAAATCCCACTCCTTTCAAAACAACCGCCAAGTCAGTCAGGTCACTTGCACATGTATGGCGATAGGATGTATGTCACGTGACTCTGTTATTGACGGAAGTACTGTGTACCTAACGACTCCTTTTATATGTCCTATGTGAGCAATACTGCAGCCGTAGACTTTCTGATGGTCCAATCAAACCGGATGTAATTAGCATAATGACTGTGTATTTATGACTGTGTACATAAGTGTCACGTGTGACGTGCTCCCAAATTAATTAACAACCGGTGTGTATATTGCAATCAGTTTAGCTCATTATACGATCCCACCTGATTTTATGGTATGGCACGAGGAAATTTAAATTGTAGGAAACGTTAAATCCAGGCAAAATAGTGATATTTAATGTTCTTTCTTAAAAGGTGTTGCATACAACACATTTGGTTTTTTTCACATGTTTGAGGGCCACCGGGATATAGAACACCATGGAATAATATGTCTCGGTTTAAAAAAAACAAACCTCATAGATTTCACACCAAGACTTGTATATCGAAATAAATATTTATAGGTTACTCGTAATATCTGATATTGTAGAACCACATACCACATTCTTCTAGAATGTAATTTTTAGGAAGTTCTTTTTGACGAATGTCAAACTATCATAGTTTACTTCCTAAAATAATAGTTATTCTGATGCAAAGAAACTTGGTAGCTGAAATGCAGGTTATGGAATATGTAATTTAATGCAAAAATATCAAATCAAACAATTTTGAATGAAGTCTTCTGTGTAAATCATCTTACGTCCCTAACGAGTGAGTGAGTTATAATACAACGTCCCATCAGCAGCATCACAATATTGGTTTGAAACACAATCGCTACGTTAGAAATATAAGACAATGTGATGTGCTAAATTCTTAGTCTTATATTCCCAGCAGCATCTGTCTCTTAAACGAACCATGTTAACATTTGAAGTATTATTTTACAAAATCTTGTTTCTGTTAAATAAAGCCACTAGTTGAAAAAAAAATCAGACACTTTTTCCATAAGTTGCTTGTAAATTTTCTATTAATTTATTGCCATGTTAACATCTTAAGTATAAATCATTTGGGCCTTTCTTAAATTTGAACCAAATTCCCAAATCGGGTCATAAGGTATTATGTTATTTATATACATTCATTTATTGAATGCAGATGCCCGGGAATCTGCCCAGGGCTTAATTTTGCAAGTCTAGAGGAATTGTCGGTAAAACGCTTTGAAATCCCAGGAATTAAATGCGGGTCCTGGATGATGACTCTACCAGCAACACATAGCATACAAAGCATGTGTATTAATAATAGACTATCAGTCTGTCTGTGATCCCTGACGTTTATCACAGATGGGGAGGTCCTTGTCTGAATCTGTTGTTGTTGCTTCAAGTGTATATAGTTCGCCTTGTGTTCTAGCAATTTCGGCTGACCTGTCCCAGTTTGGGATTAAAGCGTATGAGTAGGGTGCACATATCTACTGGGAGTTTTTATAAACTTTCTGTTTTTGTATTGATGAGATTTCTATTTTCGTGTATTGATATGATTTCATATTTGGTATTTGGCTGCTCTGTTCCTATACGTTCGAGTAGCTGTCCATCTCTCAGAAATAGAGTTAGTTTGGCCTTCGCTGTTGCAACTCTTGGCTTTAGGATCTCTCTCTCTCTCTCTCTCTCTCTCTCTCTCCCCCCCCCCCCCCCCTCTCTCTCTCTCTCTCTCTCTCTCTCTCTCTCATATGCAACTGCACCCATTCGGACTCGCGGTAGATATTATTCTTCATTCTGTTATCTGTTCTTAATATATTTTATGCGTACATGATGAATTAATTTGCATAAAATAAAACCCTGCGACGCCTAATATTCGTTGTTGTACATCTCAAATAATACAATACTACTTGAAGATAAGAATCAAGAATCGCAACATAAGCGTGATCTGTAAATAATGGCCGATTACACATGAAACCATCTGACGATGCCCTGTCCTTGCGTGTGCCCGTCCGCCCACCCAGTGCGTATGACGTGTATATTTACTGATGCTACCACTGTACTCTCACCACTAACGACATGGAAGTACATGAGATAATTATAATTTGATGGGAAAATCGGCTTTGTTTATTTGCGTGCACTTGCTGTTGCATAATTTAACAAAATGCCAGGCTCGTGTTTATTTTATTGTTTGAAACAAGTTAAAAATAATTCATACCTACCGACGTGGTTATAAAACATCGAACGTCTATTCGTGCAATTTATTCAGATTTTCCCCACACAATTAAGGTGTATTTTTACATGGAAATCCCGTTTAAAAGATAAAACGAAATTTGAATATTATGCAATTCCGCAAATCTTGTACATTTGTTTAATTCTACAATTTAGGTTCCTATGCGTAAGAGTTCAAATTTCCCAGAATGTTACATCAGAGACCATAAAACAGTCCTATTCTATGGTCTCTGGTTTCATCTATGTAAGTGGAATGATTGAAAAACAATAACAATTTGAATATATATTTCACCTGACGCCGTATGTTCCCAATAACATAAGTTGTTAGGAATATCAAATATATGTTATAACTTCGTTTTTCCATATTAGAATGCTTTTATTATTATTAACACCGGGCGGCAATATTTGATCAAAATGAATGTATTTATTACCCATTTCAGAAGAATATATATTGTATGCAAAACTATTCTCGATCTCGCGAGAACTTGCCAACATGACTCTTATGAGTAACATGGCCGACATGGGGAACTTGTGGGAAGGTAAACACAGACGCGAACTTGTCAAAGTGACAGTCTATGAGATTTCACCTTAATCGGCGATGATACAGAATGATGAGATTGAAATGTTTTAACCGGTGAAATGACTGCCATTTGTAACAATACTACACTAAGTGAGATCAATACAAAAAATAATCACTTGCTGAGATGTCAAATCGATCGATTTTGACAAATACGGTTACTTTGGTATCGGTGTGAGGTTCGACTAACATTCCGATATTTTTGTAAGAACTTGATAAAAAGCTAATATATGTGGACAAGAGGAGCCACATTCCCAATTGGAAAATGTAGATGTGTGCATGGATTTGGACCTCAGTCAAAGACCGTAATCTTTAAATCAAGATAATGTAGCCATTTCAGTGAAAGGAGTAATTTTTAAGATCTTTTGAAGTTCTGTAGGCCTCTATGTAGACTAACATATAGTCTCTGAAATGAACATATCGTACAGAAAAAACAGTTGTTCAGTTATCTTAATAAAAATCTAATAAAAAGGGAGCCCAGTGATTCTCTTCATTTTCAGATACTGCAGTAATCTAGACTTGCCAAACATTATAGACTTGCATGGGCTGTAGTTGATATAAATGTATCAGGGTCTGTAAGACAGACTAGCCTCTATGACTGATAGTAAGTACAGACAATATCTAAATAATCCTTCGATATATGGTCATTTAATAAGTATTCCTCAGTGTAGCTGACAATCTGTCGCTGTGTAAAATTGTAAATGTGATTGATATATTGTATTTCCCAGAATTATCCCAGTAGAAAAATTTGCGATTGATAATAGTCACCATTATTTGAACGATATTCAACATCATCACTGTATCGGTAATACATGTTTTAACACTCAGAAGTTGATGATTATGTTTTGCTAATGTGTTTACATGTCAGATTGAGTTTCTTTAGCACACTGTATGTACCGTTTCATGAATAGATTACCTGTGAAGATCTGGGTTAGAATTGATCTTCAGCAACCTATGTTTGTTGTAATAGGCGACTAACAAGATTGGGTGGTCCGGCTTACTGACTTGGTTGATTCTTGTTAAATCCCAAATGCATAGTTGATGCTTGTGATGTCAACCACTGGATAGCTGGACTACTGCTGAGTGTGGCGTTAAAAAACAAACAACCTATCAAATCATAAATAGATATTGTCATTTGTTTCATAATTCATTAATTGGTGGCTTGCTTGACTTTTATTGATCAGCGTGAAAGTTTACCAGCTCCCTTAACAAACATTTCCTTATTAAACAAGTGCTTTCGACTTATCAAATAATAAAACATTTGCTCTGTGTCTAGATAACAATGTTACAAAGCATAAATTGATATGACATATATCTGTATAAACAGACCAGACCTACCGTATTTGACGTAATAAGCGCCCTGCTCTAAGAAGCACCCACGGTGATATTTGCTAATATATTGGCTAGTAAACAATCCCAATCAGCACCCCTTCCAATTGATCAATGTACACAATACTCATTTTTTCGTGTATAATATACTCCGTGTGTTATATACACCCTTAATTATGGGCAATTAAATTCTGGAAAAATGTATCTGTCGTATGTAGACATTTCAGGCTGTCAGCATAAACCATGAAATTTACGATCTTTCAACTCTGTTTTTTTCACCAAAATAATCTTCTAATAAGCGTATTTCTAATTTTGAGAGCGCCCTGGGCACTTATTATGTCGAATACGGTAATACTATTTTTAGTGCATATGTGAATTTGGTATACATGCAGACATATGCAAAGATATCTAACTATGTATGCACTGCTTCCGGTGACAAAGGATGTAACTACATCTTCCTCATTTGCATCACTAAATGTGAACTCAAAACTCTTTACAGCAATACCTATACAACTGAAGAGCTAGATATAACCATGATAACATGTGTAAGGTGTAGTGAAGATGACATGAGCTGTACAGAGTTTGTTAGCTAGCTGGTAACTACTCATTCCTCACTCATATAGCTGCCATTAATGGTCGTCAAATACATATTTATGGTAGAATTAATTTTCAAAGAATATACAAGTAATTTTGTTATTGATTTTATCATGTTTAAGATTATGTGATAATTTAGTTTTGGCCTACAAATGGTTTGTGAACCGATAATATGATCAATTTTGTATTAAGCATTAAACTTCATTTGTATTTAACATTAGCTTTTCAAAATGTATAAACAACATATTTTGGATTTTCAGATTTACGAAAACAGGCCCGACAACTTGAAAATGAAATCGACCTTAAGCTGGTGTCATTCAGCAAACTTGGAACCAGTTATTCCTCTCAGAGAGACTATGAAAGGTAACCTTTCTCCACATGTTTCAAAGTTTCATCATATCATAATTTATTTTAGTGATATTCAAGTCAATTCACTTTGTGACCAGGATGGTGTTTTCGGAGAAGAGTCAGTTGGATCTTCATGAAATATATACAGGGGTGGAAATTTGCCATTTCCCGACTCCCGGGGCAAGTAGAAATATGAGGTCGGGCAACAAAATCACTTACTTTAACTTGTCCGGAGGCAAGTAATATTGGAAATTACTATCACTGTCGACATGTCTAACTACTGGTAAAATGGTACAATAAATTAGCTGAGAGAAATTTCGTAATCGCGCTTTCGTGAAACACTGACACTATTAAAGAACACACGAGACTTAGTGTTACGTCCCTTTTCTATTTTCGTTTTAATATTCAATCGGAACAGTATGAAACAACATTCTACACTCGGTTTGAATGCTTTTCTCGCATTGCGGCCTAGAGGGATCTCATAATTGATACACGATCAATACTGCCTAGAGGGGTCTCGTAATTGAAACACGTCTTGGCCTCTCCAATGTAAACAGTTACGACCCGGTTATGGCGACACACAAGCAGGCGTCGATTAAAAGTTTTTTCGGTAGGGAAAGTGAAAATAAATCCCAATAAATCTGAAAATGCCGATGATGGCGAATCATGTAAAAGAAAACGACCATATGAGGACACATGTTCTAACAACAAGTATGATGCCGAAAAACGGGACAGGAAATTCATTCAGAGTTGGTGTGATGAGTTTCCATGGGTAGTGTATGACGAAATACAAAATGTCATGAAGTGCAGAATTTGTTGTCAGTATCCAACTGTAACATCCAGAAATAAGAAACATGTTTTTGTTGACGGTTGTACACAATTTTGAAAAAACATTATTTGACAAGTCATGAGGTTTCTGATATTCATTTAGAATTTACCTGAATCCTTATGTAGATATAACAGTGCTGGTGTAGTGTAATTTTGTTCAACGGTAAATAAACACATATTGATGATTTGAAGTTTTATTTTGAAATTATTTGGGCAAGTGAAAATGAAATCAGGGCAAGTGAAAATTGTCTTTCAACTTGTCCGATGGCAAGTGAAGTTTTTTTAAAAATTTCCACCTCTGATATATTGTACTTGTTTAATCAGACATTGAACAGTGAAACAGTTTATCATACTTAATCATGTTAATCTATATGATATGACATTTAACATAATGTTTGCTGCGAGATCTGTTAATACATTGATGATTTGTTTGATCAGCCCTCCAGCGAGTGATGAAAAGAGGTAATGTTGCTATGTTCTATCAGGGAGAATGGATCTGGATATTTCTGTGTTGTTGGTAATGTCATTGTGACATGTTTCATAAGTGTCTTCCCAAGGCAAGGGAGTTAACTCACTATGAAAGTCCAGTTTCCACACCTTACCGAACAAGGATGAACCAGAGGCTATTATGAGTTATGTCCCTTCTTTGTCCCTCAAATTGACCAATCAGATTCCCCTCATATCACTTGCATTTGCTTCAAACAAAATGGTGTTGCCCAGTCAAGACGATAGGATCGACAATCAAGATCTATATTGTAATGAAACTGGTCTTACCTTGCATAAAATCACTTGACCACCTTGATTAAAACATATAAGATTTGGATAAATCTGTAGACGCTCAGTTGATGATAAGCTTGATTTGCAAATCCTGCAGTTGACTAAAATCTACACGGCAGTCACCACATTGTTTATGAACAGGATGTTGATTTCATTACACAATTTTTTATTGGACTATGCATAGACTCTTCAGGCCAGCCAAACTATTACAGCCTAGTTCGGCAAGGGTGGAAACTGGACTTTTATTATCAGTCAACTCTCTTGCTTCGGAAGGATGGTTTCATCGGTGTCATGATGAGAATGCTTTGCTTTTTGGTGTGGGAGTTTCCCTATTTCCAACTTTGATACTTTAACTTTTTCTATCGTCAATACTTCATGAGATCGCCCGTGAATACATACGTCCATGTTGTGGTGTAGTCATTATTTCTAAACAATAAATCCAATAAAGGCCTGGTTCCAGAGGAACCCAGCAAGTGTTCAGACCAATCAGTGTTCAGCTTACATCACACAAACAGGAATGACTCTTGCTTGACATTGTGTGCACCATGTACCTAGTCTTGCCTGCTGTGTGCTTTGCCTCAATATGGCCAAACGTAAAATTCACACAGTGTTCATGCGACCCGTGAAGATCCAGGTAGAGAATAGGTCTTCAGAAACCAACGCTTGCCATAAAAGGCGACTATGCTTGTCGTAAGAGGCGACTAACGGGTTCAGGTAGTCAGGCTCTGACTTGGTTGATGCATGTCATCGTATCTCAACTGCATAGATCGATGTTCATGATGTCAATCACTGGATTGTCTGGTCCAGACTCTTTTTTACAGACCGCCGCCATATAGCTGGAATATTGCTGAGTGCGGTTGAAAATCAAGCAAAAAGCACAATGTTAATGCAAGAAGCAGGGCTCACGATATGTACATGAGATATAAAACGCCTCATTTCATTAGCTTACTAAAAAAAGACATGTCTCAACTTCACCACACAAGTCAGTATGTTTTCATAGGAGATTGCAGTGCATACTATTTTGAAAGCATTTGTGATGAACGTTTTCTTGTCGAATACATCTTTAGTTTAAAATTAACATTTTCATGTTCATCAGGGGGTAAATTGTTCATGACAATTAAGGCAAAGTCAAAGTCAGTGGGAGTCAAGGCAGGGAAAAAACTTGTCGATAACTCTCAGCATGATACAATGTAAGTTGTAGCAGGATCATGAGGGATTCATGGGGTTTTGTGCTAGGTTTTATACTAAGATCCAGAGGCGAGTGGTACAATACCTAAAGGACACATAAAACCCCATGTACCCTCAGTGATCCTGCCACAAATTTTTTATCTTTCCGTCATGTTTTAATATGACATTGTAAAAGAATTCAAACAAGCCGAGGTTAACTTGTGCAATGTCACTTGACTTTCATTGACTCGGAAAAGTAATGTGTCTTTTTACTTCAAGGCGGGGTATAAGCGTGTCTTGTTCAGGGTGGGGTATAAGGGATTTATTCTCCCGCTGAGAAACTTATTTCCCTCCAAGGTGGGATACATGATGTCCCACCACAGGAGCGATGCTAGACTGATATATGACATTATTTTGATAAGGTGTTAGCTGTGATGTAATCGTCATGTTCATTATGATAATCTGATACAAATAAATATGTATGTCTGATGGGAATGTTTGAAGTGTTTTGTATTGATACCATTTTTGCCATCATGTGTATTGGAATTATGCAAAGTCATTACCAGTTCTCTAAGTTGATGTGTAGGTGCATGTTGCCATGGTAACAATGTTACTCCAAGGTTACACATGCATGTTGCTATGGATACATTTTGTCATCAGTGATGTAAAAGTGCATGTTGATATTGTTTGATGAATGATATCTCTGTCAGTTGCTGTGGTACCTGGACACCCACAGGTCAAGTTGGTTGTAATGCTCTGTGTGTGTGTGTGATATCCATCTGTCAGTTGCTATGGTACATGTGAGACCTGCAAATTGGTTGCTATGCTGTGTATATGATATCCATCTGTCAGTTGCTATGGTACATGTGACACCTACATGTTGGTTGCTATGCGATGTGTGTGACATCCATCTGTCAGTTGCTATGATACATGCCACACCTTCAAGTTGGTTGCTATGCGACATGTGTGATATCCATCTGTCAGTTGCTATGATAACTGTGACACCTGCATGTTGGTTGCTATGCAACGTGTGTGATATCCATCTGTCAGTTGCTATGGTTTCAGTGATACAGCCCCCCTGTTAAACAAGACCAACAGTGAGCATATGTTTGACACAATGGCAATGGAGATTAAACAGCTGTTGGCCAAGGTAAGCACAGCTATTAATGATTAATAATAATTGATTTGTAAAGCGCCTAATATCCATCGACAGTAGCTCACTGGCACAATGATGTCAGTCACTGAACAATGATGTCAGTCACTTAAGGCCTCTGCTCCACGATGTGATGTCCATTTAACATGAATTAGGACTTAACCTTGAGTCTTTGTGTACAATGTAATAAGGGTATTTAAATATTTGTAAACTGTTAGTTTGATTTACATCATACAGTTTGAACTGGAGAAGCTGGTGTTTTAACAATTTTAATAAAACTTGCAAGGGCTGCCAGTTGGAGTATTACAAAAATGGTATAAAACCATTCCACTCACTCAGTCCTCGAGACATGCAACTTTTTATGAATAACAAATTCTTTATTGCTTGTAAATATGTCCCGGGGCTACTTCTTGACTGTCAGAATAATGTTGATATTCATAAACTGTTTCATGTCTTCATGTTTGTCAAGACCGCCTCTGTGGTCTAGTGGTAGAGTGTCCGCCCGGAGAGTGGAAGTTCCGGGGCTCGGTCCCCGGCCGCATCATACCAAACGGCGTCAAAAGATGGTACTTGTTGTTACCCTGCCTGGCACTTGGCATTAAGGGGCTAAAGCAATGACTGGTCAGCCCGGAGTCAGTATACTGTGTCTGAGTGGGGTATTCATGTTAAACTGTGGCATGGTATCTCAGTGGGCTAGCACTATAAAATCAGCATTAGTCTGGACTAGTACAAGCACACAAACACAAACACACAGACACACACACACACACACACACACACGTGTTGCTATGTAAGTGCAATAATCTTTGACGCGACGTTAAACCCCATTTCACATCATGTTTGTCAACTTGTGAATGAAAGACGTGATGCTGCTTCCTGCTGCAGTTGTCTGGAGTCAACGAGCGGATGGTGGAGTACACACAGAACATCAGCATGAGTTCGCCCAGCGCCGCCCTCCTGCACACGCTGCAGCGGCACCGTGACATCCTGCAGGACTACACGCACGAGTTCCAGAAGACCGAGGCCAACATCACGTCACTGCGTGAGAGGGAGGACCTGCTGGGCTCCGTACACAGAGACATCAAGTGAGTACACACTGTCGCAAGATGCTGGGCTCCGTACACAGAGACATCAAGTGAGTACACACTGTCGCAAGATGCTGGGCTCCGTACACAGAGACATCAAGTGAGTACACACTGTCGCAAGATGCTGGGCTCCGTACACAGAGACATCAAGTGAGTACACACTGTCGCAAGATGGCGTGGAGTGTTCTGTGGTGGTGCATTGGCTGTAGGAAGGTGAAGGTTGGGTGTATGAAAGAATAGTCAAAGAGGTAGGGTGTGTTTATAGTGAGAATGGGGTGGGTGTCAGTCTATGTGGGGCGTCCTCTGTGTGAAGGGGGGGCGGTCGGGTAGCCTAGTGGTTAAAGCGTTCGCTCGTCACGCCAAAGACCCCGGGTTCGATTCCCGACATGGGTACAATGTGTGAAGCCCATTTCTGGTGTCTCCTGCCGTGATATTGCTGGAATATTGCTAAAAGCGGCGTAAAACCATACTCACTCACTCCCTGTGTGAAGGAAGGAAGGTGAATCAACAGTGAGTCAGTTTAGGTCATAGTAGGTGAGATGGGTTTGGGGGCGGTCAGTGAATATTGAGAAGTGTGTTTGGAGGAAGTGGTGATGGATGGTAGGTCTTCATGGTTACTCAATAGTAGTCTGTAGTATGGAGGTACCGGTCAATATGTTATTTGGGCCTGTATGAGCCTGGAAATGTGAGGTTTGGAGGGAGATGAAGAGTGTTTTGCACTTGAAGAGTGCAGGTTGAATGCCTGTGAAAGGGATGCCTTGTTTGTGAAAGTGATGGCTGGTCTATCAAAAGGATGGTTAAGATCAGGTTTGGTAGGATTGTCATATATTGGAATGAGTTTTGAATGTGTAGTTTAAGGCCTGTGACAAAGACTGGTAGTTTGAAATGTGTGGATAAAGGTGGTTAAATGAAAGATGGAAAAAAAATTGAAAGTAGACAGTGTTGTAGGAGACACATGTCAGATCAAGTCCTTTTCTAGGTCCAAGATAATGAAAATAATGTAGATTTAACAGAAAAAAATTCTATCAACCCCAGTTTACTGATATTTTATTCTTTTTTTTTCAGTGCATATAAAAATTCCTCTGGTTTAAATAGAAGAACAGATCTATATTTGAAAGAAAATGACCACATCAGAAAGTAAGTAATTGTGAGAAATTAAATTGAAATGTTTACTTTCTAATGCTTAGTCATTGTGAGGATTACGCATTTTCACCTGTTTCTTGAGCTGCAAAAGACGACAAAAGATGGTACTTGTTGACCCTGTCTGGGATTCAGCAATAATCTTGGATGCGACAGTGTTTGTGATAGCTGGTATTTCTTAGAGGTAGTTCATGTTTTGTTCTCCTTGTCTTACTGTGTTTGCAACCTCCTCCGTGGTCTAGTGGATAGAGCGTCTATCCCCAGCCACGTCATACCTAAGACGTTACAAGATGGACACCCGTGAAGATCCAGGTTCGAATAGGTCTTCAGCAACCCATGCTTGCTTTAAAAGGGCGACTGTGCTTGTCGTAAGAGGCGACTAACGGGATTGGAGGGTCAGACTCACTGACTTGGTTGATGATTGTCATCGTATCCCAATATTTTGTGGATCGAAATCACTGGATTGTCTTGTCCAGATTCGATTATTTACAGACCGCTGTCATATAGCTTGAATATTGCTGAGTGTGACTTTAAACAACAACAAACAAACAAACAAGACTTGTTGTTACCCTGCCTGATGCTTGGCATTTAGAGTATAAAACAAGTACTGGATGACACAGAGTCAGTATACCGGTACTATGTCTGAGTGGGGTATCCATGTGGGACTAGCACTATGAATCCAGCAAGTCAGGACAAGTAATCAGCCACACACACACACACATGTGCATGCCTCAATACATTGTTCTGCCTCAATCATTCTACTCTGAACCCGTGACGATCCAGGTTAGAATAGGTCTTCAGCAACCCATGCTTGCCGTAAAAGGGGGCTATGCTCGTGTTGGTCAGGCTCACTGACTTGGTTGGCGCATGTCACCGTATCCCAATTGCGTGGATCGATGCTCATGATGTTAATCACTGGATTGTCTGGTCCAGACTCAGTTATTTACAGATCACCGTCATATAGCTGGAATATATATGCTGAGTGCGGTGTTAAACAACAAACAAACAAAACAAACATTCTACTCTAACGGTCAGGTGAGAGGTAGGTGACTCGCCATGCAGTCATGTTGTTTTTAGATGTGTGACAAACGGTGGGTGTGACAAATCAGGCCTCAAAGTTGTGACTAAAACGGTTGCCAATTCGACCTAAAGTCCAGTTTGTCTACTGTCTAAAATTCAGAGGTAGCCAAATGACTACCTTGAAAAATATTTTGTGGCAACTAATTTCTATTGCTTCACATTTGAAGACACAAAAATAAATAACAGCTGATCTTGGAAAACATGTCTGCTAATAATTGTACTTGCGTATAATACCTCCTAAAGTCAACAATGAACAGAAATACAAGAATATCAATGTAATTATTTTTTTGTTTCAGTTGACAGTGCTCATTGCATAAGCAAGGATATACCTAAATGATCTAGTAACATAAATTGCATTAATGTTTGAGTCACAAATAACAAAAATCAAGTACAGTTTCCACTAATTTCAAGACTTGTGCTATGACTTATACATACTATAATAGTTATTTTTATAAAAGATTCTTTCAAATGCTTTTGGCTACCTACAACATTTGCTTGACTCCTTAATTTTACCACTGGCTACCTGGAAAAAAATGCTTGTAGCCATATGGGTACTTGGTAAAAATTAAACTTTGAGGCCTGCAAATGGGAGGATACCCAACTGAGTGCAGGGTTAAGCAACAAATAAACGAGTCACACTGTCCTTACTTGATGGCATAAGATTTCACCACATTGAACATGTTAAACATTCAGTTCAGTTTGAGGGAGCCTGACAAGCAACAGTCCTTTAGTGCTAATGTTGATGATGATAGAAACTGCTGTTGTAACAATTGTCCTCTTGATTTTCACAGCTCAGAGAGATTAATAGATGACCAGATAAGGTGAGTGGCCTTTGTGATATTATTAGGTTTTTATTAACACATAGTTAGTGAATCTTTTTTGACGCTTGTCTTTGTCCTCCCTGTGGGCATTCTGGGTAAAAATATAGGTCCCCAGCAACCCGTGCTTGTCTCACTATGGGGAATCCGGGTAAGAATATAGGTCCCCAGCAACCCGTGCTTGTCTCACTGTGGGGATTCTGGGTAAGAATATAGGTCCCCAGCAACCCGTGCTTGTCTCACTGTGGGGAATCCGGGTAAGAATATAGGTCCCCAGCATCCCGTGCTTGTCTCACTGTGGGGAATCCGGGTAAAAATATAGGTCCCTAGCAACCCGTGCTTGTCACTTTCGGGATTCTGGGTAAGAATATAGGTCCCTAGCATCTCGTGCTTGTCTCACAGTAGGGATTCTGGGTAAGAATATAGGTCCCTAGCAACCCATGCTTGCCTCACAGTAGGGATTCTGGGTAAGAATATAGGTCCCCAGCATCCCGTGCTTGTCTCACTGTGGGGATTCTGGGTAAGAATATAGGTCCCCAGCAACCCGTGCTTGTCTCACTGTGGGGATTCTGGGTAAGAATATAGGTCCCTAGCAACCCGTGCTTGTCTCACTGTGGGGATTCTGGGTAAGAATATAGGTCCCTAGCAACCCGTGCTTGTCTCACTGTGGGGATTCTGGGTAAGAATATAGGTCCCTAGCAACCCGTGCTTGTCTCACTGTGGGGATTCTGGGTAAGAATATAGGTCCCTAGCAACCCGTGCTTGTCTCACTGTGGGGATTCTGGGTAAGAATATAGGTCCCTAGCAACCCGTGCTTGTCTCACTGTGGGGATTCTGGGTAAGAATATTGGTCCCTAGCAACCCGTGCTTGTCTCACTGTGGGGAATCCGGGTAAGAATATAGGTCCCTAGCAATCTGTGCTTGTCTCACAGTGGGGATTCTGGGTAAGAATATAGGTCCCCAGCAACCTGTGCTTGTCTCACAGTGGGGAATCCGGGTAAGAATATAGGTCCCTAGCAACCTGTGCTTGTCTCACAGTGGGGATTCTGGGTAAGAATATAGGTCCCCAGCAACCCGTGCTTGTCTCACTGTGGGGAATCCGGGTAAGAATATAGGTCCCCAGCATCCTGTGCTTGTCTCACAGTAGGGATTCTGGGTAAGAATATAGGTCCCTAGCAACCCGTGCTTGTCTCACAGTGGGGAATCTGGGTAAGAATATAGGTCCCCAGCATCCCATGCTTGTCTCACTGTGGGCATTCCGGGTAAGAATATAGGTCCACAGCAACCCGTGCTTGTCTCACAGTGGGGATTCTGGGTAAGAATATAGGTCCCTAGCAACCTATGCTTGTCTCACAGTGGGGATTCTGGGTAAGAATATAGGTCCCAAGCATCCCGTGCTTGTCTCACAGTGGGCATTCTGGGTAAGAATATAGGTCCACAGCAACCCGTGCTTGTCTCACAGTGGGGATTCTGGGTAAGAATATAGGTCCCTAGCAACCTATGCTTGTCTCACAGTGGGGATTCTGGATAAGAATATAGGTCCCTAGCAACCAGTGCTTGTCTCACTGTGGGGATTCTGGGTAAGAACATAGGTCCCTAGCAACCTGTGCTTGTCTCACAGTGGGGAATCCGGGTAAGAATATAGGTCCTCAGCAACCCATGCGCGCTCACTGTGGGGAATCCGGGTAAGAATATAGGTCAATATATATTGATCAGGTGGTCAGACTCTGTGACTCGGTTGATTGCATGTCATTGTACCCATACGGTGTGGATCAGTGCTCACAATATCAATCATTAGATTGTCTAGTCAAGACTTGATTATTTACACGGGGTTCCCACAGATTTGAAAAATGATTTAATTTAACCATGTCCTATAAAAAGTGCTTGAATTTACAGTCCAGAGATCCGTATGAACACTGTTACAGACTGTCTTCGTTTAGCTGAAATATTGTTGATTGTGGCAATAAACAACAAACAAACAAACAAACTTTGCCTTCATCGTGGGGAAATCATGTTTAATGGGTATGACAATGCTGTGACCTGGGATTATGTGGGAATTAAAACTAAGCGTCATGTTGGTCAAATTGGGGATTTATTTTTGTTTGCCTGACTCTTTGTCAGATTCTATTCACCTTGTAGGTATTCACAGGCTTCAAACCAAAAATTTAAACCATATCACATATGCAAAGATATTTTTACCAATATTTGCAACAGACTTAGGGCCACATTTGAGCCTCTGAAATTCTGAGGTAAATCTCTGGTGATTCAACAAGGGAGCTGTGATACCTAAGCACTACTGTTTTATCAGTCATTTATATTATACAAGTTTTATACTTCAAATCAACATGTTTATACTTAGTTTATCTTGTGTGTTAATTCAGTTGGTTTTGAAGTCTTCATCCTAGCAGAGTAAACTATCAACACATGTGATAAAGAGAACCTGTAATATCTTTGCACCCCTGCTGCCTGGGTGTTAATGTAGATTCAGGGGAGATAATTGCTGTTTGGTGTAGATCCAGGGGAGGTAACTTGTGATGGATTCAGAAGCGGTATGCTAAGTTGACTTCCATTAGACAATGTAAGAGGTGTTTTTTTCCGCATCAAACATATACCAGGTATATGAATTACAGAAGTAGGATTGGGCAGATCAGATAGTTTTGCATTTATGGTGTTTATTATATTATTTCTCTTGATTACAGCATTGCTATTGCAACCAAGGAAAATCTTTCATCACAGAAGAAGCTATTGGGAACCATTACACAGAAAATGAATTCATTAGCAAGTATCCTTTGCAACCATAGGGTCAGCCAGTATTATGTTTAGTACTACTGTACTAGGGCTGCAATGAATACACTATGAGGCGAATACGATTCGTATCAAGAATATAGGGTAACGATTATGAATATTAAATCACAAATACAATAAAAAGTCAGCAGTTGATTTATTATTAGTTATATTCAGTGAAAAAATAACAACAAAAAGTATTTGACATGGTTTGTTAATTATCAATATATTATACATTTATGTACTGCACTTATCCAGGTACTAGTATCTGCTCAAATGTGACAATGACCTGTGAATACAACACTGTCAAATTAAATATTATAAGAGTGTTGTCTTTGAAGAAATGTATGCATATAATATGTTCTTATGGATATTTTTAGGTACAGGGTATTTAAATGCACATGATTGCATATTCATAAATATTTGATTCTAGTGGCCATGAATAACGAATTCAATTCATAATTGGATACGGTTCGATTCACCGAATACGCGAGTGAATCGTAACAGCCTATTTAGTACTACACGTTGTCCCTGTAAAGCAGCCCTCCTGCTTACCTACAGGCACAGGTGGGTCGCTGTGCAGAGTTACTCCCCTCAGTTTGCCAGGATGTGCTAAACATAGGTTCAAATGCCAGATTCATCCTCATCGTGGTCCTTGGTTTGTCAGCGTCACACCTGTGCTCAAAAATGATAAATGCCCTTTCCACTTGGGGATAAGTTGATTTTAAAGGGATGGTTCTGTGTGTTTTTTAATCATACATGAATTAATTTCCGAGTTTGATGTCACATACCTCATTCAGTTCTCACTGGAACAGAAACGCAATAAGGTGATCAGAGCCAGGTTAGCGTCTACTGTTTACAAACAAAGCTTTTGAACGGTCGATGTCCTGTCCCTTTAAGTTGAATTTGTTGTACAATCCGACACAAAGGACAAATTTCAAAATGATGTATGAAGTATAAATATGTAGGTTGAGGGGTCCTAATCATAAGACCCGTGCAGATTCCGGGGTAGAATAGGTCTTCAGCAACCCATGCTTGCCGTAAAATGTGACCATGCTTGTCGTAAAAGGCGACTAATGGGATCGGGTGGTCAGGCTCGCTGACTTGGTTGATACATGTCATCGATCCCAATTGCGTGGGTCGATGCTCATGATATCAATCACTGGATTGTCTGGTCCAGACTCAATTATTTACAGACATATAGCTGGAATATTGCTGAGTGCAACAAACCAATCAACCAACCAACCTAATCATAATGTTTTAAGGGGTCCTCAGGTTAATGTACCGGTTCTATTGGAACAAACTTCCTTGACTCGAGAACCCGTTTAATTTTGATCACGTCACACTGAATACAAATTATTTTAAGGAAAAAATGTATGTAACAATTTCCCTTACTGTTTGTCCTTGACCTTCACCAGATCGCTTCCCACTGCTCAACAGCCTCATGCAGCGGATTAATCTGCGGAAACGCCGCGATTCCATCATCCTCGGTGGCGTCATCGCAGTCTGCGTCATTCTGCTTCTACTCTATGCCTTCCATTAGCATCCTGCTCATATCATAGCACACAAAGATACTGTTTGGCTGATGACAAGAGGACAGGGACAATGGCCGACTCACACAGTGGAGTTCAGCATGTCTTCGACTCCTAGTCTGTGACTGGGGACTGGTGTCGGTCATCGTCCGTGACTGGGGACTGGTGTCGGTCATCGTCCGTGACTGGGGACTGATGTCGGTCCATGTCAGCCAGCCTGTGTCACTGGTTGGTCTAACCATCGTTCACAACTGGAGAAAATGTCCGTCACGTGTGATCTTGTTTAGTCCAGCTCATCACCCGTGATCAAGTACAGAGTATGATGTATTCGCTGGACACCTGTGGCTTTTTGTCTCTCGTGGCTGGATACAGGAAGCAGTGTTGCCAACAAAGCAAGCAGCGATAGAAATTGGCAGTAGTCCTGTAGTCCTTGCCAAACTGCCCAATAGTTAAGGTATCCTGAGGACTAGTAAAAATTTGCCCTTTTAAGGGGTTTGGCTATATGTTGTCATCATAAGGACTAGTGGGCTAAAAACTGTTTGTTTCTATCGCTGCAAAGTGTGTCATTTTGCTTGCTCTTGTATCTGTTGGTCCGAATCTGAGATAATGGCAGTCACATACAATTGTGATGTACTGGGTCAGTCATGAAACTGCAGCATTTTGAGCGCCACTTGATGTTAATCAGCATTGATGTACCTTGTTTTTAAAATAGAAGGGTTAGTATTGTAAAGTACAAGGTGAAATCTTTGCTTTCCTGGTACCTCTAAACTGAGTGAGGTTGGGAGGTGAAATGGGTTTAATGTCGAGGTTATTGCACTTGTTTTGTCTTCACTGAGCATTTGGTTAAATACCATGGGGTGTATTTTGTAGTCTGGCGATTCATGATTCAATGAGTCATGTTAAATCATGTCTGAAAATGAAGCCTGTAATTATCTCAACGCCAGACTTTTATCAAACTTTGTTTATAAAATCACCGGACTCCCAAACATTGGAATTTGATTTAAAATAATAACAATAGAAAACAGTCTTTTTTTATTCTGCCGACCAGAAATTAGTAAAATGTTAAGAAAACCCAACTCATTTACTGCTCTATCAAAATCAATGAATCATTGAAGATGTACTCCTGTTTATCTTAATAAAATCCGAATATTTTTTACCTTACCGACCTAAAATTTGGGGCCAAAAATCTGTTAACCCCCAAGAGGAAACAAGGCCTGGCCTTGTTTGCAGCTATGTTTCGCCATATATTGGTGCACTCAAAATACTTGTTCACAATCTGTGGAGTTTAGCTTGGTAGATTAGGGACAGAGGGGCACGGGTGGCCCAGTCGTCTAAGGCGCCGCAATTCGCTGTGCAGAGTTGCGTCCCTTGGGCACGCCAGAAACCTATGATTGTGGGTTCAAATCCCATTTCGCCCCAATTATGTTTCTAGGTTTGTCAGCACCATACCCGTGCTCGTGGGTTTCACCGAAGTGGTAAACGTCTGGGACCTGCATCACTTCGGGCTTTCCTCCCACATTAAGCTGACACCACGATATAACTGGATTACTGTTAAAAGCTGCGTTAAACCCAACTCACTCACTAACTCATGGTTACACCAAAGTGGAATACACCCTAGACCTTCATCGCTTCAGGCTTTCTTCCAACTGAAATAGGGCGGTCGGGTAGCCCAGTGGTTAAAGCGTTCACTCGTCATGCCGAAGACCCGGGTTCCATTCCCAAATGTCTGAAGCCCATTTCTGGTGTCCCCCATCGTGATATTGCTGGAATATTGCTGAAAGCGGCGTAAAATCATACTCACCAACTCCAACTGAAATACTGTTCAGACCGGCGTCAAGCCCAACTGACTGACTCACTCAGGTGAATCTGTCTCGACAGATACAAAATGTTTACACTTGAAATATTCACTTGCTGCATGTGCATTATTATAGTCCGATACTGTAACACAAGAAACTATGAAGCCACTGACTAATTTATGGAGGCAGATACAGATAACCAGTGCCATCTTCCCGAGGCAAGAGAGTTAACTGACTGTAAAAGTCCAGTTTCCACCCTTGCCGAACTAGGCTGGTATTATGGAGTTACATTTTGGCTGGACTAACGAGTCTATGCATAATCCAATCAAAATCGTGCATCAAAATCTGGTTCGTAAAGTGTCATGCAGATTTCGGTCAACTGCAGGATTTGCAAAGCATGTGCACCGCTAACTCGTTGTCAACAGATATTTTCTAAATCTTTTCATGCTTTTAATCAAGGTGCTCACGTGATTTGATATACTTCGCGATGTAAGACTCGTTTTATCACAATATAGATCTTGATTATCAATCAGATCGTCTTGGCTGAGCGCCACCGTTTTGTTTGAAGCAAATGCAAGTGAGTGATACAAGAGGTTGAATCTGATTGGTCAATAGGAGAGGCATAGAAAGGACATAACTCGTAATAGCCACTGGTGGCGCTACGATCGAGCCCAGGAATTCCAGCCTAGTACGGCAAGGGTGGGAACTGGACTTTTAAAGTCAGTTAACTCTCTTGCCTCGGGAAGATGAACCAGTAGATGCTTGAATAAATTAGCTCAAGAAAATAGATTTTAATGATTGAGATAGTTAGGTGATTCAGTTTGAATTGTAGAAACATTCTTTAGAAAGATATCAAATGTTTCATATTATCCAAGAAAGCAAAGTGGTGCTCTGTGATAAAAGAATCTTATTTCCATGAAAAGGATTCTGTGGTATTTTCTGATCCTTTGAGCCCATCATCTTGCAGTAATTTATTTCCAGCCAGACCTGTGCATAAACATGAAACATGGTGATGTAAAACTTCAAGAAGGGCTGGGTATGCTTAATGTGTCAGATACAAGGTGATAGAAAATATGGCTGATTTCCACTGAGGAAAGAAGACAAGGGAGATAACTGATGGTGTCATGTATCTGAGCTATGTTGTGACCGTGACTGTTAGTGGAGGCTGGTGACAAAGTACTACGTTTGACTTGGTGAACTGAATGTCTTTTTGTGATATGTGGTGGTGTGTCCACCAAGGTGAACTGCTTGGTGTCTCCCAACTGTGTGTGTACTGGTTCTATACCCTGTGATACTGGGGACAGTAGAAGACTGCCGTGGGAGGAGAAGAGGACAGTTTCCCCATGACTGATCTATGTGAATGATATTGCAACTGTAGTGGAATGAGAGACGTTTGTTGTACATATTGTGGAGTAGCTGCGGTAACCACGCCTCTGTTCTATTCCCTACACATGATTTGATTTTGACTTGTCTGGACACAGAGCTACAGGCTGTTCCATAGTGTTTTCTGATAGATCCCCGATTCAAATCTGCATCACACTGAATATGCTTCATCAAAGTTCATGTGATGGGATCTAATGACAAATGCAACATGATTCACTTCCTAAGACACTTGGGGCGGTGGGGTAGCTTAGTGGTTAAAACAGTAAAGTGGTAAAGACCCGGTTCGATTCACCACAGGGGAACAATGTGTGAAGCCCCTTTCTGGTGTCCCCTGCCGTGATATCGTTGGAATATTGCTAAAAGTGGCATAGAACCATACTCACTCACTCACTCACTCCTAAGACACTTGCCTAGTACTTTTATTTTTGGCCATGCAACTATATTTACTTTCCACGTTGGAAACCAAAACAGTAAAGATTTTTTATCTGCCATTCGCTCAGTGATGGCAGCCAAACATCCATACCCTCTAGATTCCAGCCTGACATGTACATAGAAAGTGACATGGTCGAAAATATGAGTACACATATTTGAAGGCAAGTGGTTTAGGAAGCGCGTCGTGTTGCAGTTTTTGTGGGATTACGATTCATGTACATTATGGCAGGGTTGTCAACGAAGTATGTTCCAAATCGGGGATCTGTAAGGATGGAACGGTCTGTAGTGACAAGTCAAAATCAAAACCGTTTACAGGGAGCAGCACAGAGTTACTGCAGCTACTTGTGAAGTTTGGGAGACTGTTCTGGCAGATGAGCTATCTATGCTTGTATCTTAACATTGGAAGCATGTATTCCCTTGTAATCATGTCCAAGTGTTCCACTCTGGTGACTGTTGATGACTTGATGTCAGCATATCATGTTTTGTCTTTTATTTATTCATGAATATATTTGGTAAACCTAACATTACTTATTTTGCATAATTTTGCTTCTTTCTAACTTACAAGTTGTGCATGCTGGGTACTCGTCAGAATCCCAAGAACTGACCATTTGTTAGTCTTCTTCAGAGGAGGGGTTGGGGTCCAGTGTTAATACAATATTATTTGCACCCAAAGAAAATGGAGATATTTTTTTTTTTCTCATTTCTTGTACACATAGTATTAAGCAGTTCCCAATTGCCATGGAAAACAGTTGTATGTCTTTAAACAGTGAGTGAATAAATATTCTGTCTCTAACAGAAATCAAAGGCCCATCCTCCCCCTTGAGAATAAAACAGTCAGCTCCTTATCGTCACAAGGGTCTATTATCAGGATCAATCCTGAAGTAAATTATTTCAATGATTATAACAGCGTTCGAAATACCTGCATGCCCGACCATCCGAGACGGGTTGATTTCAACTTGGGCTGTCAGATTTTCAAATCCCCCTGCCCGACGGTGGGGTTATATTTCATAGGTGAAAATATTCTAAATATTTCCCGATGATAAGCATTAATTCACATGTAAAGATGAATGATAAAATGTAACCAAAAAGAAACCCCGTTAGCTTTTAGACAACCTAACATTTAGCGATGCGCTTATGCTACAAGCAATCAGTTTTCATATTTTTATTTAAATTATCCTGAGAAACATATGATTATAGTGGGCAGGCAGGTTTTGGTCAGGGCTGGCAAGTATTTCAGCTAGCCAGTCCTGTGGTCTGGCTGAAATTTTTGGGAGTTTCATACCCTGATTATAATGCACTAATACTGTCAATATCCCCTATTAACCCTTGTGGTATATGTTCGATTTCCTACCTCAGTAAAATAATCCATTTTATTCACACAACTAATATTTTCTCATGAACAGCCATTTGGTCAGGATAATGATGTGAAAAAGCATAAACCCTCATCTTTAGAAGTCTAAGAAGAATTTCTTGTCTGGGGACACGTCATGCCACTTGATATTTTATATCCCAAGTGGGAGTGACAGCATCACTTGATCTGTGTATGCTCAGTGGGATGCTTCTGCTGCTTGCATTTAGTTGGTTCTTGTAGTAATTACGGATAGCTCTTGGATTGACCTTCAGCCATTGTGACATCACATACCAGGTGGCTTAAGTCAGACAATGTCAAGGACAAATATTGGCTTTAGAGTTGGACCTCTATCAGTCGGTCGTTTCACTCAATTACTGTGACTATAAATACAATGTCAGATCATCTTTAATTCCTTGAAGCTTGTAGGCTATTGTTTGATTAATCTCATAGAATCTTGCCAAGGTATTTGTGTTTGATTCCTTCAAACTTGTACTGTGCCATTCTATCACATCTCTTTAAGCCTACCTGCCTGGGTTTGTGTGGACATTAAGCGAAATGTAGCACATGGTGGTCATATCACCTTTTGAAATTGGTGGGGCGTGGTCTAAGACATTGGAGTTCACTATCCAGAGCTGCCTCCCTTTGTCATCTCAGGATTCCTTGGTTTGTGAACACCATAACCCTGGTGGAGAGTTTCACCAAATTTGTAAACATCTGGGACATGAGCAACTTTGGGTAGGTCTGACATACTTACATAACTGAAATATTGTTAAAAGCAGCATTATTTCAAGCTCACTTTGCATAGGCGGATCCATAGTGGGGTCCAGGAGGTCCGGATCCCCCTTTTGAAAACCAAATGTAGTATGTTGTAGACAGTAAAATTATCTGAGAGAAGATTTTGATATTTTGGACCCCTCCCTTTCAAAAATGCTGGATCCGCCCTTGCTTTAGGGCACAGCAGAGTTGCGTCCCTTGAGCACGCCAGAAACCTATGATTGTGGGTTTGAGTCCCTGTTTGCCCTGATTATGTTTCTAGGTTTGTCAGCACCATACCCGTGCTCGTGGATTTAAAGAAAGTGATAAACATCTGAGACCTGCATCACTTTGGGCTTTCCTCCCACATTAAGCTGGCAGGCAGTGATATAACTGGAATATTGTTAAAAGCGATGTTAAGATAGACTCACTCAAACTGTATAACTTGTGAAAGGAGTTAATCATCTGAACCATGGTGATGTCTAGATTGATGTTCAGTAGCTCACCCTAATACACCACTCAAAGCTTGTTTCTTGTGTGAGCATAGCTTCAGTACTGGTAAATCCTTGGTGAAAACTATTGGCACTCTA